AGGATGCGATTCCATCAGCTCTAAATACATTATCTAGTCACAAAGTAACGGAGGACTCCTATGCTAATTTCAGTCCCTCCCAAATCGATCATCTTGTTGATAGTGCTGCTGGCTCGCTGCGAATGACACTCGACTCTGTAGCCCCTCTAAAAAAGAAAATACTAAAACAAAGACGGTTAGCTCCATGGTATAATACTGAAACTCGCAAATTAAAGCAAATATCACGGAAACTTGAGAGGAATTGGCGTTCCACCAAAGTGGAAAATTCTCGTTTAATTTGGCAAGATAGTCTTAAAACTTATAGGAAGGCCCTCCGTAATGCCAGAGCAGCGTACTACTCGTCATTAATAGAGGAAAATAGGAACAACCCCAGGTTTCTTTTCAGCACTGTAGCCAGGCTGACAGAGAGTCACAGCTCTATTGAGCCAAGTATTCCCATAGCTCTCAGTAGTTACGACTTCATGAGCTTCTTTAATGATAAAATTCTAGCTATTAGAGACAAAATTCACCAAGACCTGCCCTCAACTGGCACCGACTTCTCTCTAACTCAGGAACCTTAGAAACAGCTGTAGAACCAGATACATGTTTAGACTGTTTTGCTTCCCTCAATCTTTACCAACTAACTTCAATAATTTCTTCATCTAAACCATCAACCTGCCTCTTAGACCCCATCCCGACTAGGCTGCTTAAAGATGTTTTACCCTTAGTCAGCACTTCTATACTAGATATGATCAATCTATCTTTATCAACAGGCTATGTACCACAGTACTTTAAAGTAGCTGTAATTAAACCTCTTCTGAAAAAGCCCAAACTTGATCCGGATGTTTTATCAACTATAGACCTATATCTAACCTTCCATTTCTCTCTAAGGTTCTGGAGAAAGCAGTTGCTAAACAGCTGTGTGACTTTCTACAGAGCAATAGTTTATTTGAGGATTTTCAGTCAGGATTTAGAGCTCATCATAGCACAGAGACAGCACTGGTGAAAATTACTAATGACCTCCTTATTGCATCAGACAAAGGACTTGTCTCTGTACTGGTTTTATTAGATCTTAGTGCTGCATTTGATACCATTGACCATCAGATCCTATTGCAGAGACTGGAATATTTCATTGGCATTAAAGGAACCGCTCTAAGCTGGTTTAAGTCCTATTTATCAGATCGATTTCAGTTTGTACATGTTAACGATGAGTCCTCCATGCACGCCAAAGTTACTCATGGAGTTCCTCAAGGATCTGTCCTTGGACCAATCCTCTTCACTTTATATATGCTTCCTTTAGGCAATATTATCAGGAAACATTCCATAAGCTTTCATTGTTATGCAGATGATACTCAGTTATATCTATCGATCAAGCCAGATGAAACTCATCAGTTAGCTAAACTTCAAATGTGCCTTCAGGATGTTAAAACCTGGATGAGCTGTAATTTTCTATGTTAAACTCAGATAAAACTGAAGTTATTGTTCTGGGGCCTAAGCACCTCCGTGACGCATTATCTAAAGATATAGTTTCCCTGGATGGCATCGCCTTGGCCTCCAGCACCACTGTGAGGAATCTTGGAGTTATCTTTGATCAGGACATGTCGTTTAAGTCCACATTAAGCAAATTTCAAGGACCGCCTTTTTTCACCTACGTAATATTGCGAAAATCAGGAACATCCTGTCTAAAAATGATGCAGAAAAACTAGTCCATGCATTTGTTACTTCTAGGCTGGATTACTGCAATTCCTTATTATCAGGCTGCTCGAAAAAGTCCATTAAGACTCTTCAGCTGATCCAGAATGCTGCAGCACGTGTTCTGACAGGAACCAGGAAAAGAGATCACATTTCTCCTGTTTTAGCTTCTTTGCATTGGCTTCCAGTAAAATCCAGAATAGAATTTAAAATCATTCTTCTTACCTACAAAGCTCTTAATGGTCAGGCACCATCTTATCTTAAAGAGCTCATAGTACCTTACTACCCCACCAGAGCACTGCGCTCCCAGAATGCAGGGTTACTTGTGGTTCCTAGAGTCTCCAAAAGTAGACTAGGAGCCAGAGCGTTCAGCTATCAAGCTCCTCTCCTGTGGAACCAGGTTCCAGTTTGGGTTCAGGAGGCAGACACCATCTCCACATTTAAGAGTAGGCTTAAGACTTTCCTCTTTGATAAAGCTTATAGTTAGGGCTGGCTCAGGTAGTCCTGAACCATCCCTTAGTTATGCTGCTATAGGCCTAGACTGCCGGGGGATTTCCCATGATGCACTGAGCTCCTCTCTCCTCTACTTTCTCTCCCTCTGTATGCAACCTTATCCCATTATTGCATGTTACTAACACAACTTCTCCCCTTTCTGGTAGTCTTGTGCTTTCTCGTCCCTCTCCTCTCTCCTCCTATCACTTCCTGCAGGTTTTCTGGCTCTGGAGCTGTGGAGTCTGGATCTGTGGCTGCGGGTCGCCTGCTGCCCCCGTGTTCCTGCTCGACACCCTCTACTGCAACGACTATTGTTGCTAGTCTTATTGTTATTATAATCATTAACATTACGATGGTTACCATTAACACTATTATAAATATCTGTACCATTTTTCATTTAGTTTATAGCAACATTACCTTCGCTGTCTGTACCTCTGTGTGTATATTGTGTAGGCTGCCTCCCTCCCCTCTCTCTCTCCTTACATCCCTCTCTCTCTCTCTCTCTCTCTTTCTCTCTCTCTCTCTCTTTCACTCTCTTCTCTCTCTCTTTCTCTCTCTCTCTCTCTCTCACCCCAACCGGTCGAGGCAGATGGCCGCCCACCCTGAGCCATGGTTCTGCTCGAGGTTTCTGCCTCTTAAAAGGAAGTTTTTCCTTGCCTCTGTCGCCTAGTGCTTGCTCTTGGTGGGAACTGTTGGGCTTCTGTAAATATCATCACAGAGTTCGGTCTAGACCTGCTCTTTTATGAAAAGCGCTGTGAGATAACTGTTGTTGTGATTTGGCGCTATATAAATAAAATTGAATTGAATTGAATTGAACTCCCAACTCGTCACATACGGATGCTTTACCATCTGTGGACAAGAATTAACAGCGTCTGGTTAGACTTTTAAAATAAATTCAATGTTTTATTGTTGGCACCAAAACTACTCTGTTAGGTTTAGGGAAAGATCTTGGTTAGGGTTAAAATAACTACGTTACTTACAAAACATAACTAAACAGCTGTGTGGCCTGCTGTTGTTGCCTTTCAATTCTTTGTGAACCATTCGTTTGTTGTCGCTGTTTTATCGTGCAACACTTTGTGAACCCGGTTATTAAAATGTGTTTTATAAATAAAAATGGACACCCAGTTTCTAACCCACCAGTCCGCCCCAACCAGCTGCTCAGACCTTCCTGTCATTTACACTAGGGTCTAAGTCAAGGGGTCTTGACCAAGCGTCCGTACGTGACTACCTGGGAGTGAGAACGGGTTGTGCATTCAGTGACGTTCTGCCTCGGCCAGAAAAGTTCTCTGACGTTATTGGATAAAACAGGTTTATCTGCAGTCCACAGAGAGTTCGACAGGAAGCAGCGACCGAGCCGTGTTTTACGGTTGCGCTGTGTTCACTTTCTTCTCCGTTTTGTGTTTTGTGTGAGAGTGTGTGCTCTTTGAGTGCAAGGATCTTTGAGTGTCATCCAACTGGCTGGATTTGTGGGTGTTGGAGTGAAGCTGATTGGTCCGTTCCCAACATCCTGCCTTTTAAAATGGGGGGTTCCCACCAGTCTGACGGCAGCGCCTCGGTTCTGTCCTCTCTGTGGTGTTTGAGCTGGGAGGTCTTGTTAGGAGTGATCTGTGACCTGCGCTACGAAGGGAGTTTAACCTACTCAGTGTTAACTCGGGGTTATCAGGCAAACTCAGGGTGACAAACTCTGACCGCTACACTAGAGTTAAACGGTACTACGAAGGTGGATCAGAGCGTAAAAGCGGCCGGAGGAGGAGTTTTTTCACAACGGCGCATGCTCCGTGTTTCTCCAGAAGAACGCACGTTGGTAGTGTCAGAAAATTCTCAATGCAAAGACAAGTGAACGGTTAAATCTAACATTGTGGCGACAGAGCAAGGGAGGCTTGTTGGCATCGCACTGAGTAAATCTGTAGCCTGATTATGTTCAGTGTTCTTATTGTTGTTCAAATCTCTATTCTGTGTTTTATGGGCTCTTCTTTTATGTGTAATATGATGAAGATGTAAAGGTCCAGCTGCACATGAGGCCCACTGTCACAGAAAGAAAGGAGCCAGATTAATCTTCCAAGATTAATCTACAAGTAAAGAACTTGAATATTCTTTTTGAGATTATAGTCACACATTTATGAGAGAAACTTCACTTTGCAAGTCTGCAACATCACACATACATGTCTGCCGTGTAGAATGCAGGCAGTGGAAAGTTATATTAGACTTTGCACTCAGATTCAGCAGTGAGGAAACACTCGTGAGTTTAGCCCACAGTCACTGTCCTGCACCTCAGAGACTTGGGCGTATTCAGAAGAAAACAGAGTGATTTTCGATTTTTTATTACATGAATTTCTGGGAATTTCCGATTTTTCTTCTTGTAAATTTCAAACTTTCGTCTAGGATTTTTTTTCTTGGTTATTAACCCTGGCTCCCTATTTTTTGTGCACGTAGAATAATCAATCTATAAATGTGAAACCACTCAGGAGAATTCAATTATAGACTGCAGAAACTATCCCGTTAATTAAGATTCCTCTCTAAAATCACAGCTGGGCTGCAGGGCTCGCTGTCTGAACGTGATGCTGTTGTGTTCAGAACTTCATTTCAGCCGCAGTGGAACAAATCAGGAAGAAATCTAATGTTTTATGAAGTGGTGTGTATTAATACTTCTCATCAGTAACAGAGTACAGATGTGTAGTCCCCGTGCAGGGAAACCTCGAGGTAACCGCCAACAAAACCTGCTCGGAGCAGTTTAGAGATGCAGCGTAAATTGCCATGGCAACAGACCTCGGGTAACACCTGTCCACCTTTAGCAGAGCGGGTTAACCGGGAAGTTCCACCTGAAGTTACCCGGATAAGCCAGTTACCCCGCTCCATAGTACAGACCACTGGTTGATTAGCTGTGAGTAATTTGGTTTTTGATGTTTACAGTGTTGAAGTTCTACTTGTTTTTTATTCCAAACAGCTTTCACTGTACATGTAGAACGAGTCAAACCCTCACAGATCTGCAGTTTATCCTGCGACCAAAACCAGCTGAAACCTTTGAAAGGTGAAACATTTAGAGACTTTGTATTTCAGTCTGCAGCAACAACAACAGCAGCAACAACAACAACAACAACAACAACAAAAAGCCCTTTGTCTTATTAAAGTGTCAACAGTGTTAACAGTGTGTGGTGACATTACCTGTCAAGTACAGAAACATATAAACAGTTACATTGTTGTCAGGTAATTAATATGTCAGTTATCTGTCCACTGATTACTGAAATAAAAGAAGAACACAGTTCAGATTATGGATGGGATCAAAATATATAAATACGATACCGTGCAAAGTTTTAGGCAGGTGAGGAAAACTGCTGTAAAGTTAAAATGCTTTCAGAAATAAACATGTTAATAGATTATATTAATCAGTTACCAAAATGCAAAGTGAGTGAACAAGAGAAAAACCTCAGATCAGGAGTTGGTGTGACCTGCAAACAGCATCAGTCCTTCTAGGAACACTTGCAGAAGGCAAAGCGTTGCCACGGTCTGCTCTGTATGTAGACTTGTTTTGAAGTGCTGATTTTTAAAATATTTGTGTTAAAATCAAGTTTTCTCATCTCTGGAAAAGAACCGTAAAGTTCTGGATGACCGAAAGTGACGGGCTGTTACACCAGAGGAAGTGGAGTTAGTGTTTGGTTAAAGGGACTGCCTGCTAGCTAGCCAGGCAGTGCTAGCACTGAGCTAGAGTGGGTGTTGGACTTCGTTAGTGGCGTGTAGCTACCGTCTCGTCACTGTGGCAGTTATAGTAAGTTAGTTGTTTGAGTCCAAAGATCCGGCTAACGCCCCACGCTGATATTGCAGATCTTGCAGCTGGGGTCTTTCTTGGCGTTGACGGTGGACTGACTCATGAGCTGGTGCCCACTGATCTGCGTTACCGTCCCTGAAGACAGATCCACCGGCTCCGTGTAGATCACCTCCAGGATGACGTCCTGCGCGTGACGGAAAGACAGCGAGCCGTCGTCCTCCTCGGTGCAGCTCAGGAAGCGGTTGTTGGATCTGTCCAGCGCCGGCAGCCTCCCTTTGCAGAAGGCGTCTCCTTTGGAGCCGTCAGGAGCCAGGACCAGGATGACGTAGTGGTAGGACGTGTACATGCAGTAGAAATCCCCAAAGTAGATGTTGGTGTTCTGGTTGAAGAGGATGTCTGCTCGGATCTGTGCAGAAACAAATGGACACAGTGCAGCATTAATGGCTCTCCAGACTAATCCATGAACTAAAACACTCGGTGGGGAAGCCGGACCCACATCACAGACGGCCCGACCTGGCTCTGCATACTGACAGTACTGAGAAAGGCAAGGCAGAGACCGTTTCACCTCAGATACTGAGACATTTCTACAGCACCATCGGGAGCGTCCTGATGGGGAACATCACTGCCTGATACAGAAACAGAACCACAAGGCCCTGCAGAGACGGGTCCACTCAGCTGAACATAGCACTGAAGGGTCTGAGAGGCAGAGGACGCATTTTGGTTCTAACTGAACAAAGAAGATCAGAAGGTTTGCGACTTTGTAAAAAGCAGCTGTTACTCTCTGAGCTGCTGCTGCAACACAGGTGAAGCAGCGGAGGTTCCAGAAACCTGCGAAAAGACGTCACCTGTACGACCAAATCCCTGCAGAGCTGTTCATCCTTGTCAGACTGCAGCTGTTTGACTCCACAAAGGAAGAAGACTGTACTGAGGGTTCAGACACCTGGCGGATGTGACAGCTCACTGACATGAAACTATTTGAAAGCAGTGGGAGAAAAATAACCTGCGCGGGTTTTCTGTAATAGTTCCTGCAGTAGTTTAGACACAAAGCAACCATGTCTGTACCTGGAAGCGGTAGGGTCCATATGGGGAGTCCTGGGGGGGGTTTCCTGTGTTGAACTCTGTGTTGCAGCTGAAGAAGAGCCCCTCCAGTTTGCCGCTGATGGGGGAGCCGTGGCTGCCGCTGTTGTCTTTAACTGACGGCAGCATCCGGCGGCACTGAGCGTCTCTGGAGCGATAAGAGGGGCTGGGTGCAGAACAGAGCAGGTTAAAACTCAGATCAACTCGCCCTGGAGGGCAACACACACACACACACACACACACACCTGGCCTGTTGGAAGTAGTCCTGCTGCTGGTTCCTGTAGAAGACGGTGAACGGCAGCATCCTGCCGGCGATCGCCTCGGCTTTCTGCAGCAGCTGGTTCAGATGGACGGTGGAGTAATCTGGAGACATGTACGGTGCACGAATGTGAACGCGCTGATATTACAAACACTTTCAGTCACAAACACTTCTGAGTAGGAGACAGGAAACAACAGCGGGTGAGGATTTGATTTTCAAATGTTCAACTAAATATAGTCTCTCACTTCTGAGGGAAACTGTCTGCAAGATGAATTCAGAACATTGTAAGATCTCTCTGTGCTCAAAGCCTTCCAAACACCTCTCAAACTGAACATTTAACACACAGGCCTGATTCTCTAAAAGAACATGAAACTTTGTCCTCTTGATGTCTGCCGGACAAAATCCAGGTGACAGAAGCTCATCAACATGTGAAAGTCATCGTCAGTCTTCAGTTATCGCTGTGCACTCACAGCTTTTAAGCTTTGCTAGCAGCGGCGGACTTTGCATCTCAGGCAGCCCACCTTCTTGTGAACATTGTCGGGCTGAATGCAGCTTGTGAGGAAACCTGTAAACGTTACTGAGACTGCTGCAGAGAGGATGTTGGTGCGAGTTCATGGGCTGACAGGTGTTTAAGGTGTCCCACCTGCGGTGCAAAACTCGACTCTCTCGCTCCACTGAGAGACGGCGTACTCTCCGTCCGGCTGTTTGGCGGCCGTCTGGACGGCCACGGTGTACTCTGTGCGAGGACTCAGGAACCAATGACCTCTCACCGTCATCGGCAGGGGAACCGCCTTCGCCACCAGCTTAGTGGGCACGTCCTGAAAGACAAAGAGCGCAGGATGTCTTACTGTCCGTGAATGGAGATTAGACAAGTAGCCAAGTTTCCAGAAGATGGAGCAAAGAAAATGTGGATGTGAGAAGAACACGAGCTGATTGGCTGATAGCAGATAAACAGCTGGTGGAGCTGATTGTTTGTAGTAAATAAAACTTTATTTCTTGGGTTTAAAGATTTACTGGTGACATGGGAAAAGGTCTAGTGCTTTCACCTGTGTATGTTATTTGGCCGTGACCTCTCACTTGCTGGTTGTTCTACTCGGAGGATGGTACCAACCCCTGGTTCTGGATTATTCTCTGGGTTTCTGGTCGCTTCTCTTTGGAGTTAGACTTTCTCACTTGTGGTTACTGTGTTTTTGTTTGGACTGCCTGCTTCTGTAATATAAAGTCACCTTTATATTGGACCTCATCCGCTCTCCTGTCGGCGTTGTAGCCCAAACCCCAGTTTTTCAGACGGCTGACTAACACGTTATCTTCACGTGTTAATGTGAGGAAGGTTCCAGCCTCGTCATCGCTCCGCACACAGCTGATGCTGCCAGCTCTTCACCTTCAGCCACTGCTTCAGGTAGGGCAGCATTTAATCATCAAGGCTGTTTCTCTTTATCCACAAACTACTTTCACACCTCACAATATTCTGATTCTCTGGGGGGGAGCAGACAGAGGGTAAATGTGATTTTAACCCACAGCTATAAGTGTGATTTTTCATTTCTTTTTTTTATAGAGTGACACGAATGTCACTGTGATCTCAAGCCAAACAATCTGCTGCAGGCATCTCCTGAGATTTTCCTCTCTTTGGACTGACCCAAGAGTCATGAAAAGTCAGGCTGATCAGACTCCAGCTCCTGCAGCGGGTCAGACGTTGGGTCGTACCCACCTTGTGTTTGAACTTGTTGGAGTTCTTGTGCTCCTTCTTGTCGAGGTCGATGAAGTAGTGCGTGATCCTCTCCGTGCCTCTGCTGTCCATGTCCCAGCTGATCTTGAACGAGTCACAGGTGATGTTGCTGATCCGGATCTGCTGAGGAACCGGCAGGTCGTCCACGTCTCCGAGGCCGCTGTCTGCCGACTCTGTGCCTGGAAACAGTCAGTGTGAATCATGAACACACAGAGAGAAATTGAACGCATCATTTCATGTTTCTTGTGTTCAGTAATAACCTACTTTTTTAAATGTATAACTTGCCCCTCGCTAAAGCCCACGTAAACACGCCCAGTCACTGAATAAGACGGAGGCTCAGCTGCTTAACAACAAGATGTCAACGCCACCTTTAGCAGCACGGGTTTGTTAGAAAACGTTTATTGAAGCTTAAAGTCGGCCACATTTTAAAATCACTACAAAAGATTAAGAAGAGCAACGTTTCAGTGCTAGAAAATTCTCTGCATCCGTTTATCCTGAGAGACGAGGCTCGCTGATGATGTAAGGAGATTATGTCAGAGTCAACAGCAGTGTGTGTGTGTGTGTTTCATCATCGTTAGGGCACACTGAGGGATTAACCCATCGATGTTCAGGGTACACTGACCCAGACTCACATTCCACATCAGATCCATGTCACATCAGAGCCACGACATGAAGTCTTTTCCCTTTCAGCCTCGTCGGCAGCGTCCAGACTGAGACGTCTCAGCCGCTGTCGGATGGATGGGGATGAAATGTGGTTCACGCTTTCATCCAAGGAAGGTTAAAATCAAGGACAGCTGGACGGTTGAACACTTAAAGTCTTCTTCAGTTCTGATTGGGTGGTAGGTGGTCTCAGCTGTTTAACCTCTGCGGGGTCATTGTCAAGATATTTTCGAAAAGAGGAATCAAAGAGAGGCCATCTCTTAACAGGGAAAGAGGGCTAAGGCACTACTCATCCCCCACCTACAGGGACCAGTCCAGTCGCCCTCGATATTAACCCTCCTTTTGAGAACTATGGCCTGGATGACTGAGAACGTGGAGAGAATCATCAGGCCGACATGTTAACGTGTCCAAACATCTGCTGAGCCGTGACATTCCCATCAGCCTCAGCTGCACTCTGTGTTAACTGCAAATTAGCCAATGCCCGCATGCTAACAGGCTAAAAACATGTTAGGTTCTTCAGTCAGTGCCATTGACCAGACACTGCATTCGTTGGAGTTGGTCCCCGGGCGCTGTACAGCGGCCGCCCACTGCTCCCTTCAGGGACGGGTTAAATGCAGAGAATGGATGTCGCTGCATGTTTGATCATGTGACAAAGAAAGTACCTTTAAACTAAGAGGATGAACATGATAGACCCACATGGAGCGGCTGTGGCTCAGAAGGTAGAGCAGGCTGCCCGTTAATCGAAAGATCGGTGGTTCAAGCCCCGCCTCCTCCAGGCTGCATGTCGAAGTGTCTGAAGATACTGAACCCTGAATTGGATTGAATTGGATGTCAGCAAACCCACTCAAACAAACAGGCGCTGCTCCAGAAGGTTAGAGACCTCATCCTATATGTTGACGTACTGTTGCCCATCCTCTGAGGTCTACAACCTTGGTGTCATCCTGGACTCCTCCCTCTCTTTCCGGCCTTATATCACCTGATCTGCCTTCATCCACCAGCCGTCACTCTCTCACTCCATGGCAGAAACATGCTGTAATAACCTCTCGTTTGCACCACTGCAATGGTGTCCTGCATGTGGTCCCCACAAAACCTGGCAGCACGTCACCCCAACTCTTATCCACCTTCACTGGCTCCCAATCAAGTCCTTCTCTCCTTTGAATCCCTCCATGCCCCACAGTACCTCTCTGACCTCCTCCATCCTCCCCACCCAGGAATCTGCTCTCCTTCCCTCACCAGACTCTGTCCCTTCGGAGACAGAGCCTTTAGTATTGCTGCCCGACCCTCTGCTATGTCCATCCTGCAGATATCTGCAGCGCTTCATCTCTGGACATGTTAAAAAACAAACAGATCTGAATCTGAGCTTCTTTGTTCGAAGATAAAATACTACAGTAACACGATGACACGTTGTAGTAAATGTTTGTGTGTCTGAGTCTAGCTTGTGTCTCTCCGTATTCATCTCCTCTCCCTCCCTCCCTGTTTTCTGCTCGGTCCAGAGTTCGGCTCAGGGGACAAAAGGCTTCAGTCAGCAGGGCCCTCGCAGGCTGAACAAGGAGCCTGTTGAGGAGAAGGAGGACGGTCCACACTGCCAGCTAACGTCTTGTTACCACTCACATCTGATGATTTGTACAAGTCGTCAGTGTAAACAGGAAACTAATTCAATCTCTGGATCGGGGGCCACACTTTTTAGTCCAGGGGCCACGTGGAGGGAAAAAGTCTGTAGTTCTGAGTCATTTTAATTTAACACACAATTTCTAAGCACTCTGTGCTGTACACAGATCCTTTACTTCAATAAAGTACTAATACCACAGTATAAAATACTCTGTTCCTGCATTGAAAATGTTCCTTCAGTCAAAGTATAATCATGAAAATGTCCTTAAAGTATCAGAGCAGTAAAATGTACCTGTTGTACTATTATATATTCCCTCATCAGAGTCTTATTTTATGTAAAGCAGGATGCTGCTGCTGTAGTTGTTGAACTAGTATCAGACTGCAGCTGATGATTCTTTTCATTCTGGATCAATCTGCTCATTATTTCCTCCATCGATCGATTGTTCGGTTAGTAAAGATTCTGCGGTCACACTTACCCAGAGCCCAAAGTGACGCCATCACAACGTTAGAGCCATCAGATAAATGTAATGTTTTCCTCTGAGATGCAGCAGAACAGGAGGACGTTGTTCAGCTGATAAAACTGAGCGTCCTGTGAGCTTTAGGGAGATCGAACTTTTCCAGTCTGTAGACCCGAACCTCCCGGCGACTAAACGCTCTTGATCACTGGTGCTTCCTGATGTCATTTCACACCTTTCTGCACACTGTTGTCCACGTGACCTGGCCTTTTCTTTTCTTTGAACTGCCGCCACATCTACTGTGTGAGACTGACGAAGCAGTCCACGCAAATGTAGGTTTAATTTTGAAATAACCAGCGAGCCATTTTATTTAAAACTGCACTTCACGGCCTGTACAGCATGCGACACCCAGGAAGGAACAAACTGAGGAAAACTTCCCCCCACAAAGAAGAACACATGTTAGAAACCTCTGGAAGAGCGGCAGAGGACGGATCCCTCTCACAGGACGGGATGCCGTTGGGTCGCACGGGACCCACGGGCCGCTGTTTGGACACCCCCACTCTGTCCGGTCTAATAGCCAACAAACGGGGAAACCCTGAGAGAAAAGAGAGTTTCCGCTGACCCTCCTTCCTCCCTCCTCCTCCTCCTCCCTCCATCCTGTCAGTGAATGGAGGAGGCGAAGCATCTATTCACTCACCATGGGAAGGTGATTCACCAGACTGGAGCTGGTGCCACGTCGAGTTCCTGACAAACAGCAGGAGATGCTGAGAAACGCTTCACCTGCCCGCCTCTCTGACCCACCTGCTATCACCATAAAGATTTTCATTTAGACTGAAATTATTAACACCAAGGCAGACTGTTGGCCTTAAACACGGGGCTGTAAACCAGCCCAACAAATGAAGTCTGCTTGTTTATCACCTCAAACCCAAAGCTGCTTCATTTCATCAGAGGATGAAGAACAAAACACAAACACTAACTGATGGATTGAATGTGACACTCTGTAGTATGAAGCTCAGGGCCCTGCAGTCTCAGCGGGGCCCCTTCCCCTTTTGATACAACAGTTCTTGTGCATGAACAAATACCTGAGTAACTGCTAAAGACATGCATCTGTGCCGGAGACCAGGATCATCAGTAACAACCACATTTAAGCAGAAGATATCTTTTTTTTAACCGTGAGAACACTTTATAACCAACCCGCTCTCCCTCCCAAGGGGGACGAGTCCCAAGTCCCACAGATGGGGGACGAGTTGTGGGGAGTACGACGTAACAAATTTGGGGGCAGGTCCTGTAGAAACTGGGGGCCAGCTTTATTGTGTCTGTGTTAGTGTTTCTTTAATGTTCTCTCTGGTGGCTAACGCGCTGAGTTTTGTTGTCTCGTGTTAACAGCTTCCTCAGGTTAGATAGGAGTGTCCAGCTTTTCCATCGGACACTCGTTTCTTGTTTTGCCTTTTTTATTTTCGGAGCAAATCCTGGGTGAAGGCTGGTTTTGGCAGGGCGTGAGGACTTGTTTGGTTAGACTTGTGATTACTGTGAGTTTGTGGCTTCCGACGTCGGGGCTCGTCATGTTTTCCACTGGAAGAGAGAGCTCGTACTTTTGTTAAGCTGTGTCGTGGTGTTTTGCTTGTCCCCTTGTGAGGATCGCAGCCTTTGATTTGGTTGGGTTGTGGCTACTCCTACTCCGACCGGTGAGACAGATTAATGCTGACCCCTTGGCGTCCGTTTGTAATGCATATTCCCATAGCGTGCGGAGACACGGCTGGTAGCAACCTGCCCGCTTGAAACACATTCCTGAGGACCTCCCTCCGTTTTTCTGAGATCAGTGGCCCTCAGGTTCATGCGGCTGGTTTTGTTTCATTATTATCATTAATATTATGTGTTGATTCTTAAAGAGCATTTCTGTAGTTGTTTAGTCTTAGGGTGCAAGTTCTAACTTTATTTTGGTAGTTCCACTGGAGCAGCTCAGGGTGAATGACTTCCTGTGTACCTGCGGCCTCGCTCTGCTCTGTAGCCTCATTTACATCTATATTCAAATCAGAGCTGCCAAACCTCACCTGTCAGCAGCCAAATCAGCTGCATTTACATGCCGTCACCTGATATCTTTACCTCTAATGTCCAGACTGAGACGCTGACACGTGTTGTTAGAACAAGTCTGTGTTGTTGCAGGAACAGGTGAGACCAGACAGGAGGCAGCAGTGAACTACAGCCTACACGTAGGTGTGTCTGTAATATTGAAGTGCATTTTGAATATAAAATCTTGTAATGGAGTTTTATAAACGCTCCACGATGTTCACCAGCTGCTCTCTGAGTCTGAGCGTCTTTTTACAGAGTCACTGTAAGATTCAGCTGATGATTCTCTACCAGAGACTCGGACACGCTGTCAGCTCCATTATAGTCTCTTTAAAGATGTAATTAAAATGAACTAATACAGAAAGAATGTGTTGTGGATTCCCTGCTCTGGTTCTCTGGATCCGGAGTGGTCTAGTGGACCGAGTCAGGTCCTCTTGTCTGGAAGCCATGCTGTGACTAACTGTGATCTCGTCTGTTTCACTTTCCTCTTCAGACTAACTGAGTTTTTGGAGTCATGTGACAGCAGCTGCAGGATTCTTCTGAACAACAGGACCAGCAGAGCGAGTGCTTCCCCTGAACGCCTCCGTCACCGCTTCAACGACGTTCAACAGCAGACTCAGAACGGACCACGACGGGTTCCTGCAGGGTCTTTACTGCGTGAGCAGCATGTTACCCTTTTATTCCCTTTTCCATTTTATCATTTCTCTTGTTGCGTCTACTAACTTCATCTTTGCCACTGAGGAACCCAGGGGCCCCTGATGCTGCAGGCTGGCAGTGTGTCAGCTGAGGAAGCGACCAGGTTTTATAGAACTCCTCCTTTATGATCTTTAAACTTATGTTACTTCAGTGAGTTTATGTTGTTTTAGCTCAGTTTCTACCCACAGTGGGTTTTAGCTCCATTCAGACCGGCTGTCTGTCCGATGCTGTGATTTTAACACCACCTGCTCTGCTCAGTGATTTTAATCTCTGTGGGTTTTTATAACAAGAATCTTCTCTGCGTCGCTCAAAGGAGAAAAAGACGGGAAGCCTTCAGCTGGTTCACAGTGTTTGATGAAGTGTTATTTAGTATTTGGGATGAAAAGCATCCATCTTCTACACCTGCTGATCCTCAGTAAGCACGCAGGCATGAAGCTCATCCCGGCTTACAGATGGCGGGCAGGGCCCCCCTGGTGACCCCTACTGGAGTGAAAAGGTGAAAGGTGGCCGGCTCGTTAAAATCAGAACATCTGTAAGAGTTGTCTTGTTGGAAAGTCGGAGCGGCGTCACCTGACGTACGTGCACCAACGGTGTCCAACACACAGTCGACCTCGGCTGCGTTAAAGTCTCACACACACACACTGACCTTCCCGCTCGCACAGCTGCAGGCTCCTCGGCTCAGCACTCGGGCTGCTCAGGCTGCTGTGAGGAAGCTCCGTCATGTTCACACCCAGAGAGGAAGATCCAGCAAAACTAAACGTCCCAAACAAGAAAACATCAGCTGAAGAGTTCAGCTGTGAAGCTCCGGGTAGTTTCCATTCAGCTCCTGTCTGACTGCAGCTCTCTCTCTCTCTCTCTCTCTCTCTCTCTCTGCTTCAGTGATGTCAGGGGACGATCAAGGAGAGAGAGAGAGAGAGAGAGAGAGAGAGAGAGAGGAGGGAGGGAGGGAGGGGGAGTTTAAAGGATTTAATATGCAGCTACAAACTGCTGTGAGCTGACAGACTCTCAGCTGGTTGTTTATGTGTCCGGCTGCAGCTTCCTGTTCTGGTTCCCTCTCAGTCAACCTGTTCTCATCTCAGGCGTCACATATGGACCGTTTGTCAAGACCCCTGGTACTTGTAGGGCTCCGCAGTCAAGTTAGCAAGAATAAATATGAAAAGTCTGATTACACTTTCAAAATAAAACAGTTTAGGAAAAGCTCGTGGTCTGGGTTAATATAACTGCGATAAGTACGTGACTTAAATTATGTACGTTAGGTAACTTACTAAAGGGTTTCACACGGTACAGATTCAAGGTACTTTTATTTTACTTTAGAATATGACTTTATTTCTACTCCTACTCCACCACAACTCAGAGGGAAATACTAGACTAGCCAACAGGATATAAAGCAGTTCAAACATCTGTTTTTAGTTTTTTAGTCTCAAACTTCGTATTGATTTTTAATTTGGTTGGTGTGTAAACACACATACAGTCGGGAGGAAAGGTTTAATCTAACAGGGCAAAATACAAAAAAAAACTACTGGTCTGTACTTCAGGACCATGCAGGCTCAAAACATTAACATTATGCAGCTTATATTATATTGTATCAGCTGGATACGTCTCTTTGTGCAGCCCGGGTGGAGGTCTGCACTCTCTAGTTTGTGTTCTGCCAAAATGACATCATCATCTGTGGATTAAAAAATAATGTCATCAGGAGGAGGATTACAGGCCGCACTGAAAAGTGAATTAAACAAGCGCTTATATAAGCAGATAATCTGGAGTCCAGCTCAGGAATCACACACACGTACTTTTATACTTGTGAGGACGCTGATTTACACAACACACTCACCTAGAAGCAGGATTTCTGACTCAGATTCACCTCCTGCAGTAGCTTCAGTATGCTGCAGGACTTAATGCTCAATTCCAATTTATTGCCCAGATCTGACTTTTTTGATAGACTGTTGAGAATATTATTTAAATGTGGCCAGGCAGAAGTTAGCTTATACTCTAGAGCACTCCCGTTTTTCACAGGAGACTCATTGCTCTCCCCAGAGTCACAACTCCCAATTTATGACTAATCTTCAACACTTTGTGTCCTTTTCATTACAGTTTCTGGCTCTGTAAAGTGTGTATAAGGTCTACAACTCTCTCTCTTTACTGTTTCAGCCCAGACAAGTAGCAGGCACATGATGCAGAATTGAGGGGTCGGCAAGTAAGTTTGGCATTGGGCCAATTTTTTAAAGCCATTAGATGGCGGGCCACAACATAGTCAAAGGCGTAGAGTAGGGGGCTACGCAGAGGCTACGCCGTCGATTTGACGCAGAAGTATAAATTGCACTTAAGCCTTAACCTTGACACCCTTCCCCCTAAGTTCCTTGAGAAAGCAGTTGCCAAACAGTTGTGAGTCTTTCCATATAGCAATAGTTTATTTGAGGATTTTCAGAGTTCATCATAGCACAGAGACAGCACTGGTGAACATTACACATGATCTTCTAACTGCATCAGACTGTGCTTGTTTTGTTAGCAGATGATACTCAATTATATCTATCAATCAAGCAAGATGAAACTAATCACTTAGCTAAACTTCAAGCTTTAGAATGTAAAAACCTTAATGACCTGCAATTTTCTGATGTTAAACTCAGATGAATCACAGGTTCTCATCAGAATCAGAATCAGAAGGAGCTTTATCGCCAAGTAGTGTTTTACACATACGAGGAATTTGCTGTGGTGATAAGGTGCTACACGCAGACAAACATACAGCAACATAAACCATGTTGATGTGGAAATATATAAATATAGAATAGAAGAACAAGTTTGCAGATATACACATGTGCATTATTCTGGGTCTGTGTCGTGTAGAAGTAACGCAACGGAAGAGAATATAATATATATATATAAAAAAAATTTTTTTAAATTAAAAAAAAAATAAAAAGAGAATATCGTGTACATATAAATATATAAACTGACAACATAAAAATATACAACAACAAAGATCAACAATCAACAACAAATACGTGCAACGTGCCATTTGTCTCATTTGCAAGGGGGGATGGGAGTGGGGGAGAAGGTCCAGAAGAGAAGGAAGATTGCAGCCAATCACCTTCTCTGCAGAGCGAATGATGCGCTGCAGCCTGCCCTTGTCCCTGGCAGTGGCAGCAGCGAACCAGATGGTGATGGAGGAGGTGAGGATGGACTCAATGATGGTGGTGTAGAAGTGCACCATCATTGTAATGAATAAAGATTACTACTGTAATCCCCTTCCTCCGCCACCCGCCTCGCGGTCAAAACATAGTCGGACTTGCCCCTAGCAAGATTGCCCGACAACATTGCTCAAAAATTTGCCCTGTGTATCATCAGCTTTATGTTTCAAAGGTGCAATTTGGGAATTTGCTTGAACAGTCTTAATGGACTATCTGCCTGATAAGGTGCTTTAACTTTCAGCAAGGATCCCTAACATTTCTTCAGTTTATGTTGTAACCAATGCTTTGTTCGCAACACTTTCTGACACTTCCTTTGGAAATGATATGATCCAGAAATATTATCAAATGGTAAATAATTTCCCCAGCAAATGATTGTTTTAAAGAAATAATCAAAGTTATCTTCAGTCTCCTCATGGAACCAGAGTTCCCCCAAGAGGACAAACTAAGTTCTGAAATGACACACCTGCTGTTTAATGTATCACTCTTATCACGTACTTATTTGTTCGTAATTTGATGCCATGTTCGTGTAACTTGCTTATGTTCTCTGAGTAGGAATGTGTAACAGCCAATATTATCCAAGAAATATTGAGTTAAGTCTCTTTCTTTCTGAAATCCTGAAAATGTGTTTAACTGGTAAACATTATAATATTACAACGATTAAGTAACTTTCCTTCTTATCAAATGCTTAAAACTCAGAACGGTATAACTGTTTGACATCTAAGGTTCCATGGTGGAGAGGTATTTGATTAAAATACGCGCATATAGTCTTAGAACCATATTAAAAGTTAATACACTGAAGTCTCGGGGGAGAGCCAAGCCCTCTGTGGACACGCCCCAAGGGGCCAGACAAACAAACAGCAGAGCTGCTCGCTCTCTTCTCTTGTAATTCGGTTCTTCAGTGTGCTCCATTTCAGACGTGGAGATAATTGATTAAAACACTCTCACACTAACTGATCTAGACTTTAGACACAAAACTTGGTCAGTCTCATTTCTGGATTCACACAACAAAGTTTCACAAAGTCACATTAGTGTTAGTTAGGTTTGGTTTCTCACCGAGCCAGTACTCTCCAGCAGCGCTACCAAAGCCCAGCTTGTACTGATCCCAGCCCCTGTAGAAGTTCACGGTGCCGTCCATCCTCCTCTGGAACACCTGGGGGGGACGGGATGGAGGGAGAACTAGCTAAACACACCAGATACCTGACAGCTCATGTTTCCAGGCAACAAGGTTTTACTGCTGTGTCATTTATTGTGAAAGTCCAACAGGAAGTGCTGATACTGAAAGTCACTCTGTGGTAATACTCACCGTCCAGCGACCTCCTTCTGTCGTCATGTCACAGTACACCTACACACAAACACATTCAGTAGTAAACTTAACACGGCATATTCAAACATGCTACTGGTGCAACAACTATCTAACATACTTATCCATCCAATAACATCTGTTATCCATATCTGTTGTATTAGTAAGTATCAGTCAGAACTTGTAACTATGTTTCTGTTAGAGGTGAAGTGTACCTGGACAGCAGACCTCTCTCCAAGGGGATAGATGGTGTACACTCCACTGGGGAGGCTGCTATCATATTGTCAAATCACAGTGGGAAGACGAGCTGCTGGCAGCTGGTCAACAGAGGAGACTGATACCAGCTGGAACAGAGCACATGTAAATAAGATTTGAATATTATTTGTAGACCTCAATTACATTCAAAATGTTCTGTACGTATGTTTATTTATGTATCTGTTGTTCTGTGTGATAACCTAAAGGAAGTCTTAGAGGGTGAAATCTCAAAATCTTTAAGTTGGGTGAACTGTTCCTTTAACCTGTGGTTTATTCGTGGCTTCAGTTCTGAGAAGCTGCTCATCAGGTGACTGATGAGATAAGAGAAGAAGAGGAAACAGAATGTTTTATCAGCAGAAGAAGAGATGACAGACGAGAAGCGACAGGCGGTCTACCTGGACATGGATCACCTGCTGCTGGTGCTGCTGTTGCTGTGGAGCTCAGGTAGGACTCTGCTGGAATGATGAATGTTTGAAAGGTGCAAAACCTCAGTGTAAAAATACTGAATTAAAGCTGCAGACCTGCGTTAAAGACCTCAGTAAACATAACCACTATCAGTGAAATGTTATAACGTGTGAAAACTGAATAAAATGAAAACTGATAAAAATAAAATCGTAAAAAATTATAAAAATTAAAATCCCAACTATAGAGAGTCATTGTTCATCACTTCAAACTCATATAAGCTGTTATATGATGGGATACATTTTGTCCTCCGGCTACAAGTTTGTTGTTTGGAGATACGAGGTTTTCACCAGATAATGCTGTTGGCCTTTGTATGTAGGAAGTTAAGACTCACTCCCTCCATTGCGCAACAGAATTTCTGGGTACTGACGTTTCAGGCTTCTATGTTGCATTAACTCTTTAAGAAGCGGCCTGTAGGTTAACTGAATGGGAATATGGAAGTTTTAAAATGCCTAAATAAAAACAAGTCAAAAGTCAAACACAAAACAGTGATGTATGAATTTATTTTTATGTGGACACTCACTGTGTTCTAATTAGCTGGAAACATTTGAAGCTCCTTAATGTCACAGGTTTGTGTTGGTTGGCTGTGTTTGTGTGTTGTTTCATTCTGCTCTAGTGTTCTGGTCTTGATTTACTGTCTGTGTTCCCAGCTTTGACTTTCTCCTCAGGACTCCAGGCTGAAGGAAGTCACACCTCAACAGGTAAACAGAGAAGATTTTTTAAGGGGCAATAAATATAGAAATTTGATATTGAAAAAGTAATATTATATTTTCGCCTACTGTAGTTTATTATATAAATCTATGTTGTACGTTTGTTCTCTAGCTTTGTTTTTGGTCGACAGGGAAGAGCCTGAGTTTGCCTTGAGGGTAATTGTATTTTCCTTCAGCCAATTTCTGTTCCTGTGCATGTAGAAACGGAATTGAAGCGGGGGTACAAATTCTACCGAATGACGACTTTATATGCAGTAAATAACTAACCTCCTCAAATCGATTTCTTTTTAAATTCAACAGTTCTGTTGCTGCATCTGGACGCAATTCAATTTTATTTATATAGCGCCAAATCACAACAACAGTTATCTCACAGCGCTTTTCATAAAGAGCAGGTCTAGACCGAACTCTATGATGTTATTTACAGAAGCCCAACAGTTCCCACCAAGAGCAGCACTAGGAGACAGAGGCAAGGAAAAACTTCCTTTTAAGAGGCAGAAACCTCGAGCAGAACCATGACTCAGGGTGGGCGACCATCTGCCTCGACCGGTTGGGGTGAGAGAGAGAGAGGGAGAGAGAGAGAGAGAGAGCGAGAGAGGAGAGAGAGAGCGAGAGAGGGAGAGAGAGAGGAGAGAGAGAGAGAGGGAGAGAGAGAGCGAGAGAGGGAGAGAGAGAGCGAGAGAGAGGGAGAGAGAGAGAGAGAGAGGGAGAGAGAGCGAGAGAGAGGGGAGGGAGGCAGCCTACACAATATACACACAGAGGTACAGACAGTAAAGGTGATGTTGCTATAGACTAAATGAAAAATGGTACAGATATTTATAATAGTGTTAATGGTAACAATCGTAATGTTAATGATTATAATAACAATAATAACAATAGGACTAGTAACAATAGTCGTTGCAGCAGAGGGTGTCGAGCAGGAACACGGGGCAGCAGGTGACCCGCAACCACAGATCCAGAGTCCACAGCTCCAGAGCCAGAAACTCCTGCAGGAAGTGATAGGAGGAGAGAGGAGAGGGACGAGAAAGCACAAGACTACCGGAAAGGGGTGAAGTTGTGTTATATCCCAATAATGGGATGAGGTTGCATACAGAGGGAGAGAAAGTAGAGGAGAGAGGAGCTCAGTGCATCATGGGAAATCCCCCAGCAGTCTAGGCCTATAGCAGCATAACTAAGGGATGGTTCAGGACTCACCTGAGCCAGCCCTAACTATAAGCTTTATCAAAGAGGAAAGTCTTAAGCCTACTCTTAAATGTGGAGATGGTGTCTGCCTCCTGAACCCAAACTGGAACCTGGTTCCACAGGAGAGGAGCTTGATAGCTGAACGCTCTGGCTCCTAGTCTACTTTTGGAGACTCTAGGAACCACAAGTAACCCTGCATTCTGGGAGCGCAGTGCTCTGGTGGGGTAGTAAGGTACTATGAGCTCTTTAAGATAAGATGGTGCCTGACCATTAAGAGCTTTGTAGATAAGAAGAATGATTTTAAATTCTATTCTGGATTTTACTGGAAGCCAATGCAGAGAAGCTAAAACAGGAGAAATATGATCTCTTTTCCTGGTTCCAACACGTGCTGCAGCATTCTGGATCAGCTGAAGAGTCTTAACGGACTTTTTCGAGCAGCCTGATAATAAGGTATTGCAGTAATCCAGCCTAGAAGTAACAAATGCATGGACTAGTTTTTCTGCATCATTTTTAGACAGGATAAATAACTCCAAGATTCCTCACAGTGGTGCTGGAGGCCAGGGCGATGCCATCCAGGGAAACTATATCTTTAGATAATGTGTCACGGAGGTGCTTAGGCCCCAGAGCAATAACTTCAGTTTTATCTGAGTTTAACATTAGAAAATTACAGGTCATCCAGGTTTTAACATCCTGAAGGCACATTTGAAGTTTAGCTAACTGATGAGTTTCATCTGGTTTGATTGATAGATATAACTGAGTATCATCTGCATAACAATGAAAGCTTATGGAATGTTTCCTGATAATATTGCCTAAAGGAAGCATTTATAAAGTGAAGAGGATTGGTCCGAGGACAGATCCTTGAGGAACTCCATGACTAACTTTGGCATGCATGGAGGACTCATCGTTAACATACAAACACAAACACATAACAAACTGAAATCGATCTGATAAATAGGACTTAAACCAGCTTAGAGCGGTTCCTTTAATGCCAATGAAATATTCCAGTCTCTGCAATAGGATCTGATGGTCAATGGTATCAAATGCAGCGCTAAGATCTAATAAAACCAGTACAGAGACAAGTCCTTTGTCTGATGCAATAAGGAGGTCGTTAGTAATTTTCACCAGTGCTGTCTCTGTGCTATGATGAGCTCTAAATCCTGACTGAATATCCTCAAATAAACTATTGCTCTGTAGAAAGTCACACAGCTGTTTAGCAACTGCTTTCTCCAGAACCTTAGAGAGAAATGGAAGGTTAGATATAGGTCTATAGTTGGCTAAAACATCCGGATCAAGTTTGGGCTTTTTCAGAAGAGGTTTAATTACAGCTACTTTAAAGTACTGTGGTACATAGCCTGTTGATAAAGATAGATTGATCATATCTAGTATAGAGGTGCTGACTAAGGGTAAAACATCTTTAAGCAGCCTAGTCGGGATGGGGTCTAAGAGGCAGGTTGATGGTTTAGATGAAGAAATTATTGAAGTTAGTTGGTAAAGATTGAGTGAAGCAAAACAGTCTAAACATGTATCTGGTTCTACAGCTGTTTCTAAGGTTCCTGAGTTAAGAGATAAGTCGGTGCCAGTTGAGGGCAGGTCTTGGTGAATTTTGTCTCTAATAGCTAGAATTTTATCATTAAAGAAGCTCATGAAGTCGTAACTACTGAGAGCTATGGGAATACTTGTCTCAATAGAGCTGTGACTGTCTGTCAGCCTGGCTACAGTGCTGAAAAGAAACCTGGGGTTGTTCCTGTTTTCCTCTATTAATGACGAGTAGTACGCTGCTCTGGCATTACGGAGGGCCTTCCTATAAGTTTTAAGACTATCTTGCCAAATTAAACGAGAATTTTCCAGTTTGGTGGAACGCCAATTCCTCTCAAGTTTCCGCAATATTTTCTTTAATTTGCGAGTTTCAGTATTATACCATGGAGCTAACCATCTTTGTTTTAGTATTTTCTTTTTAGAGGGGCTACAGAGTCGAGTGTCAATCGCAGCGAGCCAGCAGCACTATCAACAAGATGATTGATTTGGGAGGGACTGAAATTAGCATAGGAGTCCTCCGTTACTTTGTGACTTGATAATGAATTTAGAGCTGATGGAATCGCATCCTTAAATTTAACTACAGCACTGTCAGACAGACATCTTGCAAATTCAGATAAGAATTCAGAATACGGACCAGGTGCTCGGTACACTATAATGAAGAGAATTGGTTGCAGTGATTTCCAACTTGGGTGCGAAAGACTAAGAACAAGACTTTCAAGAGATCTGATGTTTAAGAGTCCACATTTAACTCTCCTATTCGTTTGCACTATTGCTCTTGTGGTTTTAATTTTTATGAGGTTTTTATGCACAGCTCCTCTTCTGTTTACCTTTTTAAATAATTTTGATGGTCGGGGGGCAGACACATCCCGCAGCAGCCTACAGTAAAGTACCATCATGTGATGTCAGACGGTGTCACCGAGACTTTTGTATGTGCAAAGTACAGAAGTCAAAGAGAAAGTTATAGGGAGCGTGGTCAGTGCTGTCGTTGTCGAACTCCTGAAACGTCACTACAAACAGCTGAGCAGGAGGAGTCCACTGTGCTGAAATGATGCAGACTTTTTTGGGCATTTTCGGTACAATGACCTCCCGAATCACAGCAGCCACATTCCTCTTTGACAGAGAGGCGAGAGATTGTGGTGAATAAGAAAGAAAAGCGGCCTACTCATAACACAACACCGTGTCCTGAAAACAAGCACATCCACACTATCAAACAGGTGCTCAGCGGCGACCTGACCCCAAAATGATAACAGCCTTTAAAACAGCGGCACGGCAGCCACACCCAAAACACTGAAGAAACACTTGTTCTCATCTATTGAATAATAATATAATAATCCTTATTTGTAGAGCACTTTTCAAAAACAAGTTACAAAGTGCTTTAACAAGTGTAAAGAATAATACAAAAAAACAAGATAAGAGCATGAAAACATTGAAAAGACTACAATACAGATTAATATAAAATTAGTAAAATACAATAAAATAAAAGGGATAAAATAAAGTCAAATAAGATCGGGAAAGGCTCTCCTATAAAAGTATGTTTTAAGAAGGGACTTAAAAGATTTCACTGACTCAGCCGACCTGATTTCCTCGGGCAGGCTGTTCCAGAGCCTCGGGGCCCTGACAGCAAACGCTCTGTCCCCTTTAGTTTTCAGTCGAGACTCTGGAACAGACAACAGACCTCTGCCTGAGGATCTCAAGGTACGTGCTGGTGCGTATGGGACTAAAAAGTCAGAAATATAACAAGGTGAGAGGCCATGAAGAACTTTAAAAGTGATCAATAGAATTTTAAAGTCAATTCTAAAACATACTGGAAGCCAGTGTAATGAAGCTAAAATAGGAGTAATGTGGTCATATTTCTTTGTTCTGGTTAAAAGCCTGGCAGCTGAGTTCTGGACAGTCTGGAGTCGATCAATAGATTTTTGGGTTAAACAGGTGAAAAGGCTGTTGCAATAATCCAGGCGTGATGAGATGAAGGCGTGTAAAATGGTCTCGGTGTCCTTAAAAGTTAGCATAGATCGAATTTTAGCTATATTTCTAAGTTGATAAAAACATGATTGAACAAATGTGGTGTGCTGCTCGAAATTTAAATTACTATCAAACCAAACACCAAGGTTCTTTGCCACAGGCTTAATGTGATTTACTAGGGAACCAGCAGATGGCAGTATTTGATTTGCCATCTGCTGAGACCCGATGACCAGGATTTCTGTTTTGTCTTGAGTTGAGTTCAGCTGGAGGAAATTATTTGACATCCAATTTTTAACTTCACAAAGGCAGTTGTTAAGTGAACTCAGCATTCCAGGGTCTGTGGATCTGACGGGCAAGTATATTTGTGTGTCATCAGCATAAATATGAAAAGAAATGCCATGTTTATGGATAATATGTCCAAGGGGAAGCAGATACAAGGAAAACAAAATGGGTCCTAAGACCGACCCCTGAGGCACACCATATTTAACTGGACAGAACGAGGAGACATAGTTGTTTACAGACACACAAAACTTCCTATTTGACAGGTAGGATGAAAACCATTCTAGGGCAGTACCAGAGATCCCCACCCAGTGCCTCAGTCTGTCTAACATGATGTTGTGATCAATGGTGTCAAAAGCAGCGCTAAGGTCCAGGAGTACCAGGACTGAGCACATGCCTTCATCAGCAGACATTAAAAGGTCATTGGTGACTTTAAGCAGGGCAGTCTCAGTGCTGTGGTACTTCCTAAAACCAGATTGAAACTTTTCAAATAATTTGTTATTTTCCAGTACAGTGAGCAGCTGTTTGGACACAATTCTTTCTAGAATCTTTGCAATAAAAGGCAGTTTTGAAATTGGTCTAAAATTATGTGGGAGGGAGGGATCTAAACCAGGTTTCTTTAAAAGTGGGTTCACGCAAGCCGTTTTAAAATAATCAGGGACACAACCAGTAGATAGGGAGCTGTTGAAAACAGAGTTCAAATGGGGCCCAACAGAATCTATTACTTTCAGTAAAAATTTTGTAGGTATTATATCAAGTGAGCTGGAGGACACTCTCATTTGTGTTACTGTTTTCAAAAGCTCAGACAAGTCGATGGGATAAAACTGGTTAAAACTCTCTTGTTGCTGGTGAGGAACCTCTGAGTAAGAGGCCACGGGGGTAATAGAGGCTCTGATTGACACCACCTTATTGGTAAAATAAGATAAAAACAATTGACAGTCATCATTACTTCCAGCTGAGGCACAAGGAGGGGTTGGGTTTACCAGCTGATCCACAGTCTTAAACAGAAACCTGGGATTGTGTTTATGTGTAGTAATGAGTTCAGAAAAATAGTGTGTTCTCGCATCCTTAACCATGTTATTGTAGTTAATTAATAAATCCTTCAGACTGAGGTAATGGACTTGGAGACTGGATTTTTTCCATCTGCGCTCTGCTTTCCTGCATTCCCTTTTTAGGCTGCGAATGCTGTCATTTATCCAGGGTTGCTTACTAGCTTTAGACGTAGGCCTAACCTTTAGAGGAGCAGTAATATTTAGTGACGACAAGCAGATATGATTGAAGTGATCGACCAGATTGTTGGTGTTGGAATCAGACAGGTGTTGGCCTTGGCTCTGAAAGAATGTGCAAAACTTTGAAACACTTTGTTCATTAAAGATGCAAGAACACACAGAGCTTGGTGAGGCGGCATGAGTAACAGGCGAATCGCAGCTAAAAACAATACATCTGTGGTCAGATATGGTCAAATGCTGACACCCAGGGTAAAAACGTCCAGTGTATGACCACGGTTATGTGTTTGCCCTTTGACATGTTGTTTGAAGTTAAAAGAAGTGGCCATATTTAAAAAGTCAGCTGCATTAACATTGTTGGGGTCATCAACATGAATATTAAAATCGCCACAAAGAACAATTCTGTCATAATTTAAAACCAGAGTAGATGAAAATTCAGGAAGTTCTGATAAAAATCCTCCGGGCGGTTTTGGGGGGCGATAAATTATAACAAATATGATAGGTCGCAGCCCTCCAAGTTTAAGAGTGAGAACTTCAAATGAGTTAAATTCATCACAGCGTACTTGATGACATTTAAAAATTTTCCTATACACGCTCACTAGCCCACCACCACGACCACTGACCCTCGGTTGACTAAAGCAATCATATTGAGGCGGACACAGTTCAGCTAGCTGGCTATAGTCATTCATCTGCAACCAGGATTCAGTTAAAAACATAAAATCTAGATTTGCAGACAAGATAAAATCATTTAAGATAAAAGTCTTACTTGAGAGAGATCTCACATTGAAGAGAACCATTTTAAATGAGTTTGTTCTGGGTGCTGGAGTTGGTGCAGTTGTCCTAATCCTTAAGAGATTACTAATATTTCTGTGTATGGGATGTGCACATTTCGGTTTACTGGTCTATGCGTGATGATGACAGGAATAGAAGTCTGTGGAACAGCGCTGGGAGCAGACGGCTTTACATGCCAGCAGGTGGAGACAGTTGTTTGTGGCAGTGAGGCAGAGATCTGTTCAGTGATCGGTGGTGTGTCCAGGTGTGCTGCATGAATGATGAGTCATTCACGTAAGTCATGTGTGGACCGCACCACATGCTGTATGTGAGCAGCTAACATTTCTGAGCCCCGCTTGTTTGGGTGAAGTCCGTCTGTCTTAAAAAGAGACATTCTTTGCCAGAAAATATTAAAATTATCCACATAACACACACGGTGAGCCCTGCAGGCGGACTGGAGCCAGTCGTGGAGGCCAAGGATTCTACTGAAGCGGCCAGCACCGCAACCAACTGTGGGAATGGGACCAGAGATAAAAACGGACTTTCCACACTGCTTTAAAAAGTTAAGAAGACGGTTAAAATCTGATTTTGTCAGCTCAGACTGGTGAAGAGCTGTGTCATTTGTTCCGACATGGACTATCACTCTTGTGATGGAGGACGGGAAGCAGCGAGTGGTAGCGTTAAAGAAACGGAGGTTTCTGGTTATGGAGTCACCAATTATTAGTGTGGTTGGGGAGAAAAGAGGACGAGGAGATGCTGGTTGTGTGGTTCCAGAGCAGGACTGAGCAGAATCTGCTTCAACACTGCGTGCGGACTGAGGATGGAGTGTGTGAGCTGTTGAGTGTTGTGTTGGAGTAGCAGTAACAGACCTGAGAGAAGGGCTACCCGACGGTGCAGGGTGGAGACGGCCTCCGGAGCGTCTGAGCACAGCCTCCTTCAGGATCCTACGTCGGGAAGCGGAGGTTTTTGACCGGGATGACGGCCGCCGATCAGGTCCGGCGGCAGACCGGCGGCCCAGTGCAGGAGATGTAGCCGGTGGAGGAGATGCAACAGTGTCGGCAGGCACTGTGCGCCGAAAGAGATCCGTATCAGGGAGACTCGAAGCCGCAGGTGCATCCGCTGGATGGACCGGAGTGTCGTTAGACAAGGCTGCATAGCGGTTGGAGAGGCCGATGGACGGAGGAGAGGCAGCCCCATCCGAGCCTCTCTTGCAGCCACGGACCACCACTTCAGCCCAGGTTGACTGATGCTTCGGAGTCGAGCAGGATGAAAGCCTGGGAAGACTAGAGGGGTCCCAAAACACGGTGTCCTGGATGTTAGCGGTTGCGCTAAGAGAAACAATCTGTTTGGCTTGTACTGAAGCCACATCCATAAAGCCAGTCAGCAGGGAATCTTTCTCTTTGAGTTCCTCTGAAAGTCGTCGGATGTCTTCCATAAGGTCAGCAATCTTCTTGTTTGCTTTCTTAAGGAGTGAGCAGTCCTCATGGGGCAGAGTTATCTCGGCTAGCATAGTCACCGGAGCTTTGTTGCAATCAGTAGCGTTGATCGTGTTTTACGGTCATCTAGCTTAAAATCCATGTCGGATGGCTAAAATCCTTAACCCACATAAAACTTAAGTTAAATAAAAAGGATATAAAAAGGATATAAAAAATGTAACGAAAAAGAGTGGATTAAAACTGGATAAGAGTCCGGTTTAAGACGGAGCTTCCGACAGGCGGCTACAGACGCAGAGTGCAGATTAGGTCAGCAATTACGTCAGCGATCTTGCGATCTGAAGATACTGTGTGACATCTGACGAGCCTGCATTGAGCGAAATCTTATGTTAGCATGCTGATTTAGCTCAGAGCATCACTGTGGCTAAATACAGCCTCACTGAGCCGCTAGCATGGCTGTTAGTTCTATGTTTGATCTTTTGTGTATTGTATCCCACAATCCTCTGTTTTCCTCCAGGTGCTCGGTGTGACACCACAGCCAAGGCTGACATCGTGCTGTTGGTGGACGGCTCCGGGAGCATCGGCAACTTAGAATTTGAAATCTTCAAGTCTTTTATCTCTAGCATAGTCAGAAACCTCCACATCGGCCCAGACCGAGTCCAGATTGGTAATATTTGGATTCATACTACAGACAGTACACACACATATAGACACACAATAATGTGGAGAGACGTCAGAGTGATGGGGCTGCTGCATAGCACCGAGAGAGAGAGAGAGAGAGAGAGATGCTACAATTTGTCTGAAGATCAGGTAACGTGACCCACCCCACATGTGTGGACTTGTGGTCTGTTGTCTGATCATCAGTGCTTGCAGTTTCGGTTTTTACCTCCGATGAAGAGCAGTGCTCTTGTCTCATCCGGTACAGTCCCAGAGGAGCGCACATGAATGCACAGCAGAGGGGCAGGTAGGTTTTGTTAAAATATTATGACTTTATTCCATCAAACTGCAATTTTATTCTCAAAATATTATGACTGAAATAAATGTATATATATAATTAATGTTATTCTGAAAATGTCAAAGAACACAGATATGTGGGGAAAGATTTTTTTAATGTGCAGAAAGTTTTGAACATGAGCAGAAAAGCTGCTGAAACACAGGAGCTATAGGAGTCCAGAAGTTTCTAACTGAATTAAAATGAATTAATTTCTCATTGCACAGACTCAGATTATTTTAGAGGGTTAGAATTAGAATTTTGACCTGCCACCTGAACTTTGGGTACCTCTTCATATGTAGTCTATGATATTTAATAAACATATGAGATCTGTTACCTACCAGCCCAGATGGCCACTGTGCATCTTATTAAAGTCCATAAACACTACTTTTGTTTAGGAAACAATTTAACTGGTGTGTAGCCACCTGGGATGTTTCTGTAAACTGATTCATTATTGTCAGAAATAAGTCCTACAGTGTGATCTGTTGCCTCTACCTTCCTAGCATGGGCTAGTAGCCAAGTCCACAGCCAGCGAGCGGATCCTCTTGAACAACAAGGGGCTTCTTCCACCAGAAAACATTTACTGCTAACACAACGGCTACTCTGTTGTAACTCTGTTGTAGCCCAGGAACTCCCGGCAAGGCTGTCACCACTACACCTGTTGTATCATGAAACTGTACTCACTTGCCCGAGCTGATGCTCCAGCATCCACCCAGCAACCCTAACCCTCCCCTCTCATTCTCCCAGCATTAAATCAGCCTCGTTCACCTGCTGCTCCACTCTCAGGTTGTTGATTGGCTCCCCTGTGTTCTGTCCCTGACTGAGGGCTGGCTATTCAGCTGTTCTCGATCAGGGTGCGTTTCCCGTTCAACAACGGAAAGTAGAGTTTAACCATCTTGGTATCACGCATTGTTAAATTAACAAACATCTACCGTTTCCAAAAACTTTCCTAACTTGTTGGTTCCATTGTGGTTGAACTAACTTAGTTCGAACCAACATGTTTCCAGGTGTGTTTGTCTGACTTTCACAGCACAAACGTTGTCATATTAGCTATGCCCAAATAGGTCAGGTGTGACCAATATTAAGTGACATTATTATGCTAACTCATTACGTAGGCTTTTCATATTATGGTCGTATAGGCTACCGGCAATAACAAGAAAAACAACAATATATATAATATATAACCTAATCATTTTATTTATCCTAAATATAGCCTGTTTTATTGAAATAGCAACATTTTACAAGAAAAAAATAAGGACTATTAAACTAAACATTTAGTAAATTAGGTTTAATCTGCAAAGCGGCTGGAGTTTCATGTCGGCTGCATCAGCAGATTCTTCAATAAATTAAATGTAGAATTGTTCACGGCTGAAAGCTTTGAGCTGCTTGCACATGTTCAACCAAGCGTTCCCGCCAAAACACTTCCTGGATGTGGTTTACCTCCTGTCACCTCCCGGCTCATTGAATGTGACAATAAGGGGGAGACCAAGCAGGTTAAAGTGCCAAAAAAGAACATTTTATTAAATAAACTATGAACAAAAAAAGAACTATTTACAACAGAGAAAACGTGATTATCAGTGGCATCAGTGGTGAATGGAATGCATAGATTAGTGAAAATGTATGAACAAAGGTTGACCGCAACTCAGGAAACAAATCCAAACCAGGAGATGAGGAGCCTAGGAGAGAGAGACAGACAATGAGACAGGGGGAAATATGTAGCCTAGGCTGAGGCCGACACAGGTGTCAGTCCATTACTGAACGAGCCCTCCCAAACTGCCAGCTCCTGCAAGAAGCAACCAATGAAGCCACAGCTGGCAGAAAGGGAGGGGTCATAACACTCCTGATACAATGGCCAAAATGTTATGGTGTTAAGAGTGGGTTGTGAAGAGATCACATGGTATACTGTCCTAATGTACTCTGATGGTAATGCCTGGGAAATGCACTTAAGACCATTTTCCTGTTTCTAACTTTCAAAGAGTCCTGCCATCGAGTGAGAGGATTAAAAGAGGGAGGTGTTTTTAATGTTATGAACTGGGTATTGCCCTGACATTTGACATTCCATGGTTAATGTTGTACTTTAAATGTAATAAGTGTTTATGTTGAGGACATTTATTTTGCAGGAATGTTTGTTTCCCCCGTGTTTAATACATGCCCAGTTACTTTAATGCAACAAGTTGTTAAATAGTATACTTTGAATATGTGATTGTCCAGTTATTTTTCCTTGGATTACCAGTAGGTGGCAGGATAAGCTACAATATATGCAGGCAAGCCACACAGAAGCAGCTGCAGTTGTTAGACAGCCCTGGTCTGTTGTAAGTTTGTTCCCGGTGCTGCAGTATGAACAGCTTGGGTCCACTAATGCTGCAGCTGTCTGAGTGGAGTAACATGAGGAAAAAGTTTTGACAAATTACACCTTTTTTTTCTCTACACACATCACTTTAGAATTTTGTAAAGAATACTCATTATTTCTTTTATGATTGAAAAGAGGGCTGGTTCAGCCTGTTCTTGTGTTTGTGTTTTCTGCAGGTCTGGTTCAGTACAGTTTTAGACCACAGACTGAGTGGCACCTGAACACCTACCAGACCAAATATTCCCTGCTGGGGGCCACAAGCAGTCTGCGACAGATTACAGGAGGCACCAAGACAGGTTATTTAGTATTGATGTTATTGTAATAGTGTTGTATAATATTGTGTTACAACATTATAGCACAACAATATTATCAACAAAAGATCGTTAATATTGTTTTATTAATAATGCTAACAGTAATTAGAATAATACAATAACAATGTTAGAAGTCATGATGCAAGCTCAACATTTCAAACTCAGTGATTGGATGTGAACTTATAACTGAACTCCTCTCTGTCTGAACTGTCAGTCACCTAACAGCTATGGGAAGTTGAACGGGATATTTACTCATGGAAGGAGGGGTGACTGAAACCCCCCAGCTTCGTACCTCTCTGCCTTTTGATGCCTCTTTATTTCTGTCATACAGGAAAGGCTCTTAACTTCACCCTGCAGAACAACTTCCAGCCCGATGTGGGAATGCGTGCGGACTCCCAAAAAATTGTTGTCTTGCTGACAGACGGAGAGTCCCAGGACGACACACGGCTCCCGTCACAGAAACTGAAGGACGCCGGCATAGAGATCTACACTATTGGTGACTGACTTTCAGTTTGAATAGGGACAGCTGTGAAACCACATTACTTCACCACAACAGAAATAAAATGAATTGGGCCTGTTATTTCATGCTTGTCACAATGAAAATGATAGCTAGCCAGTCCCTTATATATTATGATGATGATTATAAGAGATGCAAATTACTACATTTGTTGTTTTTAATCAGTCAGTGTCTTTATGAAAATCAATTCAAGCATGTTTTAAGTATTTGCAAGTTGATTTTAATCATTTGAAACAAAAATATATTAACTAAACTCAATGGCTGTCCAGAAGGAAGAAAGTCCTGCTAAAACATGGGGTTTGTTTTAGCTGACAGTCAACGGTAAAGTGCATCTGATTTCTAGTTAATACGATTAAAAACACACAACCATCAGTATGGTCTGTCAAACGTATGTAGTTTATATAGTAGTCTCGTTTTTTCTGCTCTGTATTAACACCACATTTTTCTCTCAGGGGTGAGGCGTGCCAAAGAGAGTGAGCTGAAATCCATCGCCTCCGAACCCACTGAAATTCACACGTACAGTGTCGCAGACTTCTCGTTTCTCCCAGCCATCGTTGACAACCTCACCATCAACCTCTGTGACAACTCTAAAATCTTAGGTAGGCAAAGAGTCCATCATCATACTGGACTATACAGGACTGTGCTCTTGGCTGTCTTCAAGTGGGAACCTCAGTGTCTGAAAAGTGAAGCCAATACTGAAGCACCTTAAACCTGCATTCTCTCTTTTCCTAGTCAAAATTACCATCCTGGTTAAAATCAGTTAATGAGAATTACGTATAATCCCATACTCGAGGTTTCAAAACAGCAGTCCGCAAGACGTCATGGTGACTCCGTCCACTTAGCTAGCAAGGACCATGCCACAACAGTATGTGATTTAGAGGTACATGCAAAGGTGGAATGCATGGATTATGGAGGATGGATTAATGCATATGAGGAACGGTGATGGTGGAAGAAGGATGCGGTCTGATTGGCTGGTCTGGGAGGGTGTACAGAAGACCAGGCAGAGGAGACTCAGTGTGGGGGTTCCGTCTCAGAAGTGTTTTCACCTGAGCTTATTTCAAGCCCCCAAAAGAGTCAGATTAAGATCCGGTTCAAGCTTCCTCGAGAGTGTCTGAGAGACGAGACGATGATGGTGATGCAATGGTGTTGTGGTGGCCAGTGTGAGCTGCCCTGAGGATGAACCAGTGTATAACCGAGATTTGGGTAAGTCTGCGACAGAGCTGGGTGCTGACTGTGAAATGGGATCAACTTGGTTGAATCTCTACGACTATGGTGTCATCTTGGTGGTTGAGTTTGAACTTGGTAGACCCTCAGGGCTTAAAGTTCTCTGGCGCTGTGCCGGAATTCCGCTGCAGGGCGTTTTTGAATACGAGGATATGTAAATATGTTTGTGGAAAATATGTGTGTAAAGCACCGGTCTTCCTCGGGTGAGGAGTGTCTGGAAGGACTATTGTCATTTCTCTGAGGAAATTCGGGGGAAACCAATCGCACGTTTACTGATGGCTTTTTCAGAGGTGTGTCACGCAAGCCAGAAACTCTTTTGAATGTCCTACAGAACTTTTCAAAGTAAAGGCTCTCAATAAACTCTACATGAAGCATTGCTGCAAAAAACTTTCTTGCGCTTTTATTTAGTAGGCACAATCAGTTAAGAGGAAGTGATAATGAGAGGGCCAGATATTATTGCTGGCGGGCTGGTTCTGGCCCGCGGACCGCCTATTGCCGACCACTACTGCGACACACATTGGTAACTATAAATCTAACCCCCTATGTCTATCAGCCAGGGTCCAGCAGGGTTCTATACTGGGTCCAAACCTGTTTAGCATATACATCAACGATCTGCCCTCTGTCTGTGGAAAATGTGTTATTTTAATGTATGCTGATGATAAGGTTATTTTACTCATGGTAAGACTGAAGAGGTTGTAATCAAGCTAACAGATGTTTTAGTGAAGGTCACATCTTGGCTTAAGCACTTTTGTTTGCAACTAAATGTTTCAAAAACAGTTTTTTTTTGTTGTTTCTTTGAAAAGGCTGCAGCATAGGTCAGGAGACAGACTAAAAGTTGTCTCAGAACATAAGTATGTAAGACTACTCAGGACCACACACCTTGCCTATAAATCCCACATAAGGGTCTGTAATATAGTGAAGTTCAGTATGGCAAAATTCAGGTATATCAGAAACCTTCCATTCATTGGTTCTCTCCCACATCACCTATTGTCTGATAAGTTGGTCCAATGCATAGTCTACACCTTTAAAACCATTGAAATCGTTATACAAACAAGCACTTAAAACTCTAGACAAAAAGTCATTTCATTCTAGAATCTAAATCTAAACTCCACAATTGGTGTCCCCATCACTCATTTCAAGGTAATGTTAAGAAATGGCTTGTAGAAAACCTACACTGTCAACACTGACGCTGGTCCCATCCATCACCGATAACTGTATCATCTATTTTTAGATCTTATCGGCTCATGTAGTTTAATCGATAATGATTTTTTAACACAGTGTACTTTTTACTATTGTCTATAGTATAATGTATTTTATTGTATTATATTTGTTTACTATAGGATGCCCAACAAAATCTGGCAAAGGGACTGCCGATGAAAACTAGCCTGTGGCTTACTCGGGTAAATTTACATTTGCTTTGAATGTTGATCAGTGTAAATTGTCCCTTTTCAAATAAACAATAATTAAGTTATGCATCAAGCACTGTCTGTATTGCTTCAAGCAAACTGAAACAAGCAGGGCAGGCTGAGTAGAATAGGTATACATAGCCTTGACAGGTGATTGGAGGTTTGGTTGAGGCCCCACTACTGAACCTAAGTTAATACAATTTTTAAAAAATGGTCTGTGGGAGGCCATGAGTCTGCTCTCCTGGACTGTAGAAGCTCAGGCTCAGCTAGAAACACCTGCTCATCTGGAAAAGCTGTTGGACTCACCTGCTCAGGTAGAAGAGGAGCTGCAACTTTGACTTGGCTTCACCTCTGTTCTAATAAAACACTTTGTTATGCTGATGAGTCTCTTGTTTCTGTTCAGAGCCTGTCAGGTTGGATGCAGTTGTTATCTCCAGACTGGTGGTCCTGCCGCTGTTGTTCATCGCTGCCATCTGTTTCATCCATAAGGTACGTACACATCTCTGTTGACCAGAGGACTGGCTGAAACGAAGCTCTCATCTTCTGAACATTGAACTGAAGAGAGCAGTGATGCAGTGACTCATATCTGTGTGCTGCCATGTCTCTCCAGGCCACCAGGGGGCAGAAGCCAGACCAACAGGAGAACGTGGAGCTGGATTATTATAACCTCGGTGTTTGCAGAGCTGAAGGGGGGCCGGCTGAAGAGGAAGGAGCCCAGGCAGGAGAGTAGGACCTCCAAAGAGCTTTTCCCACATCTAGATGGATTTCTCAGCTTCAACACAACTGTGCATCAGCTCCGTCAAGGTTACACCAAATGTTTTACCTTTAGACTTCTACTGAAATGAGAGCAGAAAAAAATGACCAAGAACCAAACCAGGTCTTTGCAGCCCAGTATCTCTGGGAATAATGTCTAAGCTGTTGGAGGTCGGGGTCCTCTAATGTGTGTTTGCCTTAACTGAAACCACAATCTTTCCATACCGCTAACCTATTGGCTAACACTAACTGACTCTAATGGGTTCTCTGTGGGCTCTAATAACATATAGCATAAATAACATCTTAAATAATATAGTAAATCAGTAAGTACAGCTGCTGATCAGGTATACTGGTTCACTAAAACGCTGAAGATTCGTAATTCCAGTTTGTGGCACCATAATGTTCATAATGTTCAGAGACTTTCATGAATAGAGTTTTATTGTCTGATCTGGATAAATGTTCAGCCAATAAAAATCTATCCAGTTTGGATTATTTAATTCAGTTTCTTTTGTGTTCATTACCTTTTATATACTTGAGTGTTTGAGCAGAGAGCAGTGTTATTCAGCTGAAATATTTTACTTCCTCTATTTGTATTTGTTCTTTGAGTTTTATAATAAAAAATTAAAGTCATAGAGTCAAATCAAAGGTTTGTTTTTCTTTTATGTTATTAGTAGTTTGACCAGAGTTACAGCTAACTGCCTGACAAGCATAGTACTTACAAAAATACTAACAAGACGTTTTGTGATGGTTCCATCCATTCTCAAGTTTTGCTGACACTTTTGAACTTTGCTGGCTTTACTTACAAAAATGGATCCCAAAAATAATTAAGATGTTTACGATTCCGGTCAGTTCAGCACAGCTCTCCCTCTGGACTCTGAGAATACGAAGACAAGCAGCAAAAGGGAAACCGGCACAGAACGTTAAAACTGAACTCATAAGGACACAGTCGAATGTGTTTATGCCAAAGTGTTGGTGCTGCAGAGGGATTTCCTGCTCCATCTGTTCCTGTTTGTTCAGCTGATGCAAGACAAAGTGAAGACATCAGCTTCACGCTCAGCTTCTCATTTATTGTCAGCGTACAGCAGATAATGATTCACATTAGGGTTTCAAACCTCCACCAAACGTTGTGTTGAAACTAGTTAGTTTGATTTATGTTCTCTTTGTGGCTTTATTTGATCTGTAATACGGCCTGTCTATGCAGTAAAATTTCCTTTCATGAGTCCATATGTGCCGACGTGAAAGTGAGAACAGGCTTTCTGCAATCTCTTCTGGAGGGACCTGTTCCATCTGTAACACCATTAATTTGAACTTTTTCCTCTTCCTACTTGCCTCTGGCATCGCAGAAGACAGTCTAGCACCCTGTTAATCTGTCTCTCTACGTACGTCAGATGGTCCCCCATTTTTCTCAACAGATTGCTGGAGAGTATTGCTGCGCTGTCCTCTTCCAATCTGAGCTCTGGGCTAGCTTTAGCATTAGCCTCTCGAGTTTATACTGTTGGAAGAAGTTTCCCCTTCAGAGGACTTTGTTTTTATTTGGAGTTTCTATCTGTGGCGACTCATTCTGTCATTAAATGTCACATGCCACTCTTGAATCACTTTTAAGGAGAGTTGCGGAATTGAGTTTGGGTAGGTCACAGCTTCAATTTCAAGTCAGTTGCCAAAACTAGAAGCTGTCCCGGTCCATTTCATCCATCTGCTGCTTTTAAAAGAGATGAGAGTAGCTGGGACTGCTTTGAGCCACAGATGGTAACAAATCAAAAATGAGAGAAAGAGAAAGAAATGAAGAGAGAGATCAGCTGCTGATATTCTGCTGTACGTTGGTCCTGGAGAACTACTGCACAGGATGGATCTTCATGCTGATGGTCTTCAGGGAGTAGTTATAACCCTTCCATGTAGACCAGTCGACTCCAACAGCACGGAGAGTGCTGTCAGTCTACAAAAAACCCAGACCTCTGTGGTCTTAAAGACTATTGAGTGCCTTGGGTTTTTCCACCTCAAGTCCATTACAGACTCCCTGCAGTTCGCCTACAGAGCCGACAGGTCTGTAGATGATGCAGTAAACATGGCCCTTCACTTCATCCTCCAGCACCTGGACCCCCCAGGAACCTACGCCAGGATGTTGTTTGTCGACCATCTGGTGACCTGGTGCAGCCAGAACAGTCTGGAGCTCAACGCTCTGAAGACAGTGGAGATGGTCGTGGACTTTTTGACTCATCAGTCAACACTTCCTGGGCACCATCATCTCCCAGGACCTCCAGTGGGAGCTGATACAATTATGTCACATTGAAACTAATTACACCATTTCAAACTTTTCCAAGTCTTCATAATCCTTTCTAAATCTTTTCAGGTCATATCTTTACAACACTCGGGACTTTCTCACATTTATTCAACTAGAAATTACATTCAAACCTTAAAATGTTCTACAACTTTTAGTGCAATTAGAAGTTTATTCATGTTTAAAATCTTGTTGATATTATTTAGAACATTCTCATTTTTCCAAGTTTGGACAATCCTTAAGCTACTTCATGCACATAAAAACTAGCAATGCAGTTTAGCATCAGCTTTTCAACAATCCTTCAAACTTTCCACATCTTTCACACATTTGTACTACTCAACTTTTTTCAAGCCAGCAATTCAGTTTAGTGCAAGCCCTTCAACCGACAGCATTCACACCACAATTTCTTCAGAAATTGCTTTTCTTTTTATGGTTAATTTCATACTGTATATCCTAAAAATCTAAATGCTTAAATTATTCAAATATTTAACAATAATTTATTGAGCTTGCTGACTCTGCATTAAGCTCTGAGGTTGTTGTGGCGCCGTGCCCTTCTTACATGATCACGCAGGTGTAAATGTGTTCTGTGAAATCACATAAATACTAAACATTTTGTTAATAATTTATTGGTTTATTAGTCAGGCACAATTAAAAAAACACTAGAACAGGTTCCAGTAAAATGATAGAGATGTTGCAGAGAGGATCTGCAGCCGCTGTGTCGTAACATTTCATCAGTACCAAGAGCACATTAGTTAAACTGAGTACATAATAAATAATGACATTCTGTGACAAGAGACATAATCATATAAAGATTACAGTGTTTACACAACTATCATTTACACGTGTTGCCTATGTGTATGTTCCCTAGTTCATGGCAGTATATGTGTATGAGCTACATTGTATGGGTGTGTCGTAGTATTTGCAATCATGTAGTCTTTATGAGAATGTGTCTGTACGTATGTTTATTTATGTATCTGTTGTTCTGTGTGATAACCTAAAGGAAGTCTTAGAGGCTGAAATCTCGAAATCTTTAAGTTGGGTGAACTGTTCCTTTAATTTGGGGTTTATTCGTGGCTTCAGTTCTGAGAAGCTGCTCATCAGGTGGCTGATGAGGAGATAAGAGAAGAAGAGGAAACAGAATGTTTTATCAGCAGAAGAAGAGATGACAGACGAGAAGCGACAGGCGGTCTACCTGGACATGGATCACCTGCTGCTGGTGCTGCTGTTGCTGTGGAGCTCAGGTAGGACTCTGCTGGAATGATGAATGTTTGAAAGGTGCAAAACCTCAGTGTAAAAATACTGAATTAAAGCTGCAGACCTGCGTTAAAAACCTCAGTAAACATAACCACTATCAGTGAAATGTTATAACGTGTCTTCAGTTGCTCATCAGTTCATCATAGATGTGCCTGTTAGTGTCAGAGGAAAACCTCTTATCTACCACACTCTGCTCAGCTGTTACAGTTAGAGGAAAAACTGATATCTGCTTTATTATCTTGTCGTCACATGAAATCCTTTTTTCTTATCAGAGTAATTTAACAGCAGCAGAGCAAGATGAAAATAGAAACACTACTTCCATCCTGTACATAAAAATGATTTATTTTTTATTTAACCTTTATTTAACCAGATGATTATCTAACAAGACTCTTAAGATTCATAAACAAACAACATTAGACTACTTAAGTACAATTTGTCCATACCATTGGTTTAAAGGATTTGGTTATTTTAAAAGCAGTGACAACAATTTATAGCATCTACTTCCAAGCCTTTAAATTCACCAAAAGAGATCAACAGATTTATCAACTGCAAATCAGTCTGCAATGAGTTCCAGGTGGATGGAGCAGCATAACTAAAGGCCTTCTTACCGAGCTCTGGACGGACCGTAGGTACAGATAACAAATAGGAAGTGATTTTGTGTGACATAAAAGTACAAAGATAAGAGGGCAGCAACATAGACCTGTAAATAAAAGTGAGCCAATGTCTGGGCCTCCTCACTGATAATGAGGGCCAAGGTACAATGGTGTGTTGATGCTTTACATCCAGTCACAAATCTCAATGCACTATGGTAGATAGAATCCAACAAAGATAAACATCGGCCAGGCGCATTTCTATAAAGCAGGTCACCGTAATCGAGTGCAGTGAGAAAGGTTGCTGCATCCAATCTATGTGTATGTAGGAAGTTAAGACTCTCTCCCTCCATCGCGCAGCAGGATTTCTGGGTACTGACATTTCAGGCTTCTATGTTGCATTAACTCTTTAAGAAGCGGCCTGTAGGTTAACTGAATGGGAATATGGAAGTTTTAAAATGCCTAAATAAAAACAAGTCAAAAGTCAAACACAAAACAGTGATGGATGAATTTATTTTTATGTGGACACTCACTGTGTTCTAATTAGCTGGAAACATTTGAAGCTCCTTAATGTCACAGGTTTGTGTTGGTTGGCTGTGTTTGTGTGTTGTTTCATTCTGCTCTAGTGTTCTGGTCTTGATTTACTGTCTGTGTTCCCAGCTTTTGTATATGTTTGGTTAGTTAGGCAGTCATGTGTTATTATATCCTTCCCTGAATGTTTCAGTTAGCTTTACTTCCTGTTTTAGTTTGTCTGCTCCTACTCTGTGTTGTCATGTTTTACTTCCTGTGCTTGCTTTAGTGGATTCACCTGTGTCTTATTGGGTGGTTGTTTTTCATTCCTTGCCAGTTCACTGTTGATTTCATGTAGCCTTTGTGTTTCTCCTGCTTGTGTGGATTTATTCCTTGATTGAACATTTGGATCACTCACATCACTCCACCTGCAAGTTTCCCGGTTTGCAAATAAACCTCACCTTCTCACAAGTTCCATCAACGTGTCTGCTTTTGGGTCCAAAACCCCTGTTTCCTGTGTTCAGCCAGCAGCTGAACGTAACACTTAAAGCTTCACAAGTAGTTTGTTTCCACGTGAGCTTTCACTCTATTCTGCTCCTGCCGCTGCAGTGATGTTCACAACTGTGAACATATAATAAAGAAGTTTTAATGAACCCGACTCTGTTAAGGTGGGTGGTGTGGAGGCAGGTTGGAGGACCCAAACGCAGGACACAGAGCGGAGCAGGTATAGTTCAGTGGTTTAATTAAACAAACAAAAGGCGAGCACACTTACTGATTGAGTGGCTGATACAGAATCCAAAACAAAGGTAGTTCCTAACAGAAATCCAAAGGTACAGGGTGACAAGACAAGCAAGACTGGTTACAGGAAGGCAGAGAGTGCACAGACGACAGACTGGGGGGTAACATGAACAATGACCGGACAAGGGTTGAAAAGAAAGACCACATATATACCAAGGATAACGAGCAGGGCGGGAGCAACACAGGTGACAGACATGAGACTAACGAGGGAGGCAGAGAGAGAGCAGGAAAACAGAGAGGCAGGCAGACAGAGACAACAGAGAGAGCACTTAAAAAGCAGACATGGGGCAGAGAGAATAACCAAGAATGTGACAGAGCTAAACAGAACCAGTAAAAGAACAAGGGAATACACAAGACCAGGAGTAAACACAGAAGATATTAACTAACGTACAGGACAAGGAACTAACAGAACAAGATACAGAGAAACATAGAACCAAAAACAGACTTAAACAGGAAAGACATGAACACAAATACCACACTCCTAACAGACTCTTTGTTTCCAAATCTTCGTCCAACATTCTGAAAATCTATGAATTATTATTTGCACATTCTGAATGTCGATGGCACATATTGAAAACTGCTTTATACTGATGTTTGTTTTCTGACTTTCTCCTCAGGACTCCAGGCTGAAAGAAATCACACCTCAACAGGTAAACAGAGAACGTAAAGATAAATGAAGCCAACAAAGGGTCTGACTTTGAGTTCACATCCTGTTTCCTGCTGAAAGTCAGAGCTGGATTATTTTGACCAAAGCCGAGCCAAACATCTCTTAAAGGTTCAGTGTAGTGGAAAGGGTTGCCAACGAATTGCAACAAACTGCTCACTTAATCCTTGATTTCTGCCATGATCTGTCCCAATTTTGTCTGGCTTGATCATGTTTTCACTTCCTTGACGACGAAGTTTCACACTGTGTCGGCTCTTGTGTTCCTCCATTTGTCCAAATTACATTTCTGATAAATCAGACGCTGACACTGTAAATTATTATTATTATTGACTGAAGTGGGCTGTTTTTAGGTAACGTGTTTTATTCTTTAGTTTGGAGGGCTTGTTGGAAGAGACATACAAAAAGTAGGAACATCAAAGCAGAAAAGATTTTTAAAGGGACAAGAAATATAGGAGATATTGATAATGAAAAAGTAATATTATCTCCTGCTGTAATTTATTATATAAATCTATGTTGTACATGTTTGCTGTCTAGCTTTGGTCGACAGGAAAGAGCATGAGTTTGCCTTGAGGGTAATTGTATTTTCAGCACCGCTGCCTCACCTTCAGCCAGTTTCTGTCCCTGTGCGTGTAAGTAGAAACGGCATTGAAACGGGGGTACGAATTCTAACCTACATGGACGGTTGTGGATTCTTGCTTCATCACTTCAGGAAGCTTGACCACACGTCTCTGGTAATCCAACTTGTCACTCAACTTAACTTTGCTATCAACTGCAGCAAATGCAGTCCATAAACTCATAAACTAATGACACTGCTTCACCTGCTTCAGTAAACAGAACCAGCCGCCGTCGTCACAGCGGAGATGGTCATGTCTCTGATTGGACTGATGTGAGTTGCTCACCTGGTTCTATCAGAAATTGTGCAGTGTTCTCTGGCAGTAACAGGTTTAGGACCCGGTCACAGACGCTTGAACCTCAGCAGGATGATTTTACTAGATTTATTAAGAAAAACATAGAGAGAGTACAAACTTACTGTCGTAGTCCAGGCACTCAGCGTGAGGCGGTCTGAAACATAACCAAGGAAGTCCACCAAAAACAACAAAGGTAATCCACAACGTCCATCAGCAGAAAATAATCCCGTAAATCAGGCAGACAGCTGAAAAGATATACTGTATGATAATGACGAGAGCTACAGATACACAGAGCAGGGAGGGAGGACAAACATGTGAAGGGAATGTGGCAGCATTTTGGTCAGTCAGCAGCCAAGCTGTTCGTAAGCAGGAAAAAAACAGCGTCCTCTGTAGATCTCCCTCTGACTCAGAGACGCTCCCCCTGGATCAGGAGGCCTGAGTATTTTGTGTGTCATCTGCAGAACGAAGCCCCCGGCTGAACCTATTCTTCCCTTAATGTTTCAATGAGCGCTTGATGTTTCCGTTTGTCCAGTACTTTAGTTGATTACTAATACTTGCAAAATGAATGACATTCCCATCAGCCTCAGCTGTACTTTGGGATTAGAGTGTTGTGCAAGTCTGAAAATAAAGATTAGAACACAAGCTCGTCTTGATAGGTTTTATTTGAGCTTGTGGAAAATGCAGCTGAGTCGACTCCTTTTAATCAGTCAGACAGGTACACGAACCACCATTTGTGGTTAACAAGTAGAAGAACTAGGCACAGCTCAGTTGCTCCTCGGTTAGAACTGGTTTAAACCGGATGTGTGGTTGACACAGACATCTTACGCGACATCAGTATGGTTGTTCAGAGTGCAGATGTTCAGCAACAAGCTGCATACAACAAAGTCACACAATAAAAGTTATTTTTCTAAACAATGTTAGCATGCAAACTAAGAACATCTGTAAACATTGTAAACTTTATACCTGCTAAACATTAGCATTATGATCATGTTAGCATCAGTAGCGTAAGGCACTAACAGGCCCCAATGCAGGCTCTTATAACCCTACTTAAATTTCTTACATATTAGATTCAACAGTTCTCTTTATGTACTTCTCTCCAGCTCACCTGATCTGGACGCAGCAGCCTACAGTAAAGTACCATCATGTGATGTCAGACGGTGTCACCGAGACTTTTGTATGTGCAACGTACAGAAGTCAAAGAGAAAGTTATAGGGAGCGTGGTCAGTGCTGTCGTTGTCGAAATCCTGAAACATCACTACAAACAGCTGAGCAGGAGGAGTCCACTGTGCCGAAATGATGCAGACTTTTTTGGGCATTTTCGGTACAATGACCTCCCGAATCACAGCAGCCACATTCCTCTTTGACAGAGAGGCGAGAGATTGTGGTGAATAAGAAAGAAAAGCGGCCTACTCATAACACAACACCGTGTCCTGAAAACAAGCACATCCACACTATCAAACAGGTGCTCAGCTCCTGACCCCAAAATGATAACAGCCTTTAAAACAGCGGCACGGCAGCCACACCCAAAACACTGAAGAAACACTTGTTCTCATCTATTTGAATGACATCTGACGAGCCTGCATTGAGCGAAATCTTATGTTAGCATGCTGATTTAGCTCAGAGCATCACTGTGGCTAAATACAGCCTCACTGAGCCGCTAGCATGGCTGTTAGTTCTATGTTTGATCTTTTGTGTATTGTATCCCACAATCCTCTGTTTTCCTCCAGGTGCTCGGTGTGACACCACAGCCAAGGCTGACATCGTGCTGTTGGTGGACGGCTCCGGGAGCATCGGCAACTTAGAATTTGAAATCTTCAAGTCTTTTATCTCTAGCATAGTCAGAAACCTCCACATCGGCCCGGACCGAGTCCAGATTGGTAATATTTGGATTCATACTACAGACAGTACACACACATATAGACACACAATAATGTGGAGAGACGTCAGAGTGATGGGGCTGCTGCATAGCACCGAGAGAGAGAGAGAGAGAGAGAGAGAGACATATTAATAATTATTAATAAGAGCAGTATTCAGTATTTTTCAAAAGTGTTACGTTAACGCCACTTTCTCCCGACGAGTCCAAGCATCACTGGCAGTAGCTGCCGGAGTTTCATGTCAGCTGCTTCAGCAGATGCCTTAATAAATGTAGAATTGTTGCCGGTGGAAATCTTTTTGCTGGTTGCACAGAGTTTAAAACGGACGACAATGTTCTTTGCATCTTAGACTGGGACATAGTAATGGCAGTACTTCCCGCTGTGGAAAGAACCTCTCTCCCTCGTTCTCCATTCTTTCTTTACCTTCTTGGCTAACAGCTGACTTGAACAACACATGATCCGGTGCTGCTGACCTGCAGCGCTGTTGCGCATTCACGTCAAGGATGGTGCGTTCAGTAATCTGTCGTTACTTGCATTAGTAACTGTAATAATATTACTGTTTTGGAAAAGTAACCCGTTACACTACTAGTTACTGGGAAAAGTAATATTATTACAGCTAACACTGGTGCCTGCACTGCAGCTATTTCTTTATTGTCCGTGCTGGAGGCTTCGGCTGAAACTGCTTTTCCAACATAATGTACCTCATTTTTGAACAAGTCACATTTGTCTGGCTTCACTTAGTCCCCTTGTTTGATGTGGTTTGAATGCATATCTGGTTCCTGAGACCTTCTAGGCTCTCTTCCATACTACACTGGAAAGCTGAGGGTGCGTTTGTGAGGCCAAATGGAATTCTGTTCCATTCATAAAGCCCCCATGGGGATGTGAAGGCTGTAATTTCTTTGAATCCTCACTGATGCTACCTTGATAGTAAGCCTTTCCTTGGTCCAGCACACTGAACCACGTGTTCCCACCAAGACCATCAAGTATCTCCTGAATGCGTGGTATGGGGTTCCTGGATGTGGTTCTTTACCTCCTGATAAAATGGCCAATGCTGCAGTATGAACAGCTTGGGTCTGAGTGGAGTAACATGAGGAAAAAGTTTTGACAAATGACACCTTTTTTTTTCTCTACACACATCACTTTAGAATTTTGTAAAGAATACTCATTATTTCTTTTATGATTGAAAAGAGGGCTGGTTCAGCCTGTTCTTGTGTTTGTGTTTTCTGCAGGTCTGGTTCAGTACAGTTTTAGACCACGGACTGAGTGGCACCTGAACACCTACCAGACCAAATATTCCCTGCTGGGGGCCACAAGCAGTCTGCGACAGATTACAGGAAGCACCAAGACAGGTTATTTAGTATTGATGTTATTGTAATAGTGTTGTATAATATTGTGTTACAACATTATAGCACAACAATATTATCAACAAAAGATCGTTAATATTGTTTTATTAATAATGCTAACAGTAATTAGAATAATACAATAACAATGTTAGAAGTCATGATGCAAGCTCAACATTTCAAACTCAGTGATTGGATGTTAACATATAACTGAACTCCTCTCTGTCTGAACTGTCAGTCATCTAACAGCTAACGGGATATTTACTCATGGAAGGAGGGGTGACTGAAACCCCCCAGCTTTGTACCTCTCGCCTTTTGATGCCTCTTTATTTCTGTCATACAGGAAAGGCTCTTAACTACACCCTGCAGAACAACTTCCAGCCCAATGTGGGAATGCGTGCGGACTCCCAAAAAATTGCTGTCTTGCTGACTGACGGACAGTCCCAGGACGACACACGGCTCCCCTCGAAGAAACTGAAGGACGCCGGCATAGAGATCTACACTATTGGTGACTGACTTTCAGTTTGAATACTTCACCACAACAGAAATAACATGAATTGGGCCTGTTATTTCATGCTTGTCACATGTTAGCTAGCTAGTCCCTTATATATTATTATTATAAGATATGCAAATTACTGTTGTTTATATCAGTTAACGTCCATCCATCCATCGTCAACAGCCTATCCTGCGTACAGGGTCGCAGGGGAACTGGAGCCAATCCCAGCCAACATTGGGCGAAAGGCGGGGTACAACCTGGACAGGTCGCCAATCCATCGCGTTATATAATGTATATAACTGCAGTTATACATTATTTACTCACGCCACACAAACAACCACTCACACTCACACCTAAGGGCAATTTTAGAGACACCAGTTAACCTAGCCTGCATGTCTTGGGATGGTGGGAGGAAGCCGGAGCACCCGGAGAGAACCCACGCAGACACGGGGAGAACATGCACACTCCACACAGAAAGGCCGGGGCAACCGGGGTTTGAACCCACGATCTTCTTGCTGTGACCGCACCGCACATATCAGTTAACATATTTATGAAAATCAAGTCAAGCTTTTTTTAAAGTCTTTGCAAGTTGATTTGAACAGTTTGAAATGAAATGGCAGAAGGAAGAAGTTCCTGCTAAAACATATGGTATATTTGAGCAGACAGCAGTAATGTAAAGTACATATGATTTCTAGTTAATAGGTTTAAAAACACACAAGCATGTCTGGTCTGTCAAAGGTTTAGTTTGGGCAAACCACAATTTATTACTTTGCTAATCATATAGTTTTGTTTGTTTTGAGTCTCGTTTTTTCTGCTCTGTATTAACACCACATATTTCTCTCAGGGGTGAGGGGTGCCAAAAAGAGTGAGCTGAAATCCATCGCCTCCAAGCCCATTAAAATTCACACGTACAGTGTCGCAGACTTCTCGTTTCTCCCAGCCATCGTTGACAACCTCAACATCAACCTCTGCAACAGCGCTAAAAGCTTAGGTAGGCAAAGAGTCCATCATCATTAAACCATGATACACATTAGCACCACACCGATCCACTGATATTAGACTCAATCCGATTTTTTAGAAGCTCTTACACACCGGCCAAGTGTTGGATTCCAACAGTTCGATATCTTGGTCTTACACAGAGCTTTATGGTCCTGCGTAGGGAGTTGCTGTTGAAGCCTCTGCAGCTAACCTCAACAGGCACACAAAGCCTACCAGGTCTGTGATCCCTGGCAATCAGGATAGAGGCGAATCGTATCCACTGCTCTGTGAAAATTTTACCGGAATCTGAATTCTTTATTTATCCCTGAGGGGAAATTCTTTGTTAAAGATACCCGCATCTTTTTGTGTGCTGTCTGTGTTTTTGTCTCAGAGCTTTGACATGATGTGTTTTCACTTCATGAAAGTTAACTGTTAAATTTTGGTTGGACCACTGGTCTTGTTCAGTGGTCTGTGTTGCTTAAAGATACTCTGAGGAGTCGGCTGTTAAATATTTCTGGTACATTTTGTACTTTTTGTTTTAAGCCTGATTTTCGTTAGAATGAGCATCCCAATATCACAGTTCATGCGAACCAACCAATCAATGCCTTAATCCCATCAGGTCCTTGCTGCTACCGCATTCCTATGATCTCCCGGCACAAACTTCCTCGTACTCTGCAAGTCTTGTCTTCCCAAACTCACTGTTTCAGCGATAATGCATCTCATTTACTGAAGGGATCAGGAAGACTCAAAACCTTCCAGTGAACCTATCCCGCCAAGACTATGGACCTGGACTTTGTAGGTTAAAAACTCAGCTGGGCTCTGATGGGGGCTGCTGATGGGGGGCTCTACCTCTACTGCTTTGAGAACCATGTTCATAGCCAAGCCTAACAGAATCACTAAAATGGTGCACACAGCGATGATCCCATCCTTAATTTAGTTTCTTTATACTGCACAAATTACCAGAATTGCTAAGGTTTGCCCTACTCCACCCCCTTTTGAGGCTGCAGATCTTGTTTATATTATTCATCATGCATTGCTGTCTACCACAGTGTGATTCTTTATGGTACTATATTTTTTGATACTTAAAGGCTTGTGTCAGGATCTGAATGTACTCTCTCTGTCTCAGTCTTTGTCAGGCTGGTGAATGGGACTGGTCTGTGTTCAGGCAGACTGGAGGTGAAGTCTAACCAGTCTAACCAGTATAACCAGAGGTGGCCCTCAGTGTGTGAAGCTGACTTTGACCAGCAGGATGCAGAGGTGGTCTGTAGGGAGCTTGGCTGTGGGGCTCCTTCAGTCCTCCAGGGGGCGCTCTATGGAGAAGTGGAGGCTCCGATGTGGACCAAAGAGTTCCAGTGTGGAGGCCATGAGTCTGCTCTCCTGGACTGTAGAAGCTCAGGCTCAGCTAGAAACACCTGCTCATCTGGAAAAGCTGTTGGACTCACCTGCTCAGGTAGAAGAGGAGCTGCAGCTTTGACTTGGCTTCATCTCTGTTCTAGTGAAACACTTTGTTTTGCTGATGACTCTCTTGTTTCTGTTCAGAGCCTGTCAGGTTGGTGGGAGGAGCCAGCCGCTGTGCAGGAACACTGGAGGTGAAACGAGGAGACTGGAGACCAGTTTATGGCTCTAACTGGATCCTGAAGTCAGCAGCTGCAGTCTGTAGAGAGCTGGAATGTGGATCTGCTGTTTCAACACGAAGAAGAGAGGACTCCTCAGACAGACCTGGATGGGAGATCAGCTCCGACTGTGTTCAGTCTGGATATGGCCTGAGGGAGTGTGTATCATCAGGTTCCTCTTCCTCCATCATAGAGATCACCTGCACAGGTGATACATACATTTGTTTGCTTGTCCTTGACAAGAATGTGCGACTGCTCAGCAGGTCAGGAGCAGTTGAGAAGCCGGACCTTCTGTTGTTCAAGTCAGCTGTCAGGGAGAGAGCCGTTCTTTCCATAGCTGGAAGTAATGCCATTATAGTGTGAAAGTCCAAGATGCATATATTTTTTTTTAAAACCATGTCCATGCTGCTTTTATGAATATGCTGTTAGTTAAAAAGTCCGAAGAGAACTACTTTATTTTTTATTTAGTTACATAGTTTATCTGATTCTGATATCCAGAGCCTGTACTGTACAGCATCATCTGGTCTGGAGAGGCTGTTCAGTTTGGCTGCTTGTTGACTCCTCAGGTTAATTATTGTTCCAGTAAAGTGGATTCCATTTTAAAATAAGCTGCTAAACCGACTGTCCGACACTTTTTGGGAGTAATACAGTAATGTAACTACTTTAATACCCAGTGATAAGTAAAGTAATATTACTTTTTTAAGGACTAAATTTAAATGCTCAAACAGAACTACCATTCACACACGCAATTCGGGGTTCAGTGTCTTGCCTAAGGACACTTCAACATTGAGCTTGGAGGAGCTGGGGATTGAATCGCCGATCTTCAGGTTAGTGGGCAACCCGTTCTACCTCCTGAGCTACAGCCGCCCTGAGTTAAGTGATTTATTACAACTCCTGAGTAACTTGCCCAACACTTTGAAAATGGATAACTTTGACTCCAAGTGAAACAAATCCCAGCTGATGCGACACCAGAGTACTCCATGATAGTAATCAAGCGGACTTGCTCTCACGCTGTGAGTCACAGACATTTTGTGACAGCGTGGTAATGTAATGTAAAAGTAATGTACTTTTGGAATATACGCATCTAAAAACTGAAACGCAACCGTGCTCTGTTTGAGACTGTGGAATGCACTGTTTCATAGCCGCTGAAGTTAACATGTGGATTTCTGGGGAGATTTCTGACTTACAATCGTTTTCTACATCCTTGTCTCATTCTAACATACAGTCCCGAATGGGGTTTTGCGTCTGTCAGAACAACTCATATAGTTGCAGGAAAAGTATGTGAACCCTTTGTAATTACCTGGATTTTTCCATAAATTGGTCATAACATGTAATCTGATCTTCATCTAAGTCACAACAATAGAAAAACACTTCTTAAACTAATACCACACAAACAATTATATGCTTTTATGTTTTTATTGAACACACCATGTAAACATTTACAGTGCAGGGTGGAAAAGGTATGTGAACCCCTAGGCTAATGACTTCTCCAAAAGCCTATTAGAGTCAGGAGTCAGCCAACCTGGAGTCCAATCAATGAGACGAGATTGGTTGGTGTTGGTTAGAGCTGCCCTATAAATTTGCAAAATGTTGCTATTTTCATGAAGCATTGCCTGATGTGAACCACCACTGCTGGAAACCAAAAGTAGAGGTTTTTTTTTGGGAGGTACACACACCAACATCAAAACCTCATCCCAACTGTGAGGTATGGTGGAGGGGGCATCATGGTTTGGGCCTGCTTTACTGCCTTGTGGCCTGGAAGGGTTGCTATCATCGATGGAAAAATGTATTCCAAAGTTTATCAAGAATGTAAGGCCATCTGTCTGCCAGTTGAAACTGAACAGATGATGGGTGATGCAACAGGACAACGACACAAGACACAGAAGTAAATCATAAACAGAATGGCTTGAGCAGAAGAAAGTACATCTTTTCCTTGATTTAATGGTATAACTTTGTACAGTACTTTGTTCAACAGTGCCTGTTTTGAAATGTGCTTTATAAATAAATTGACTTGAGTTGATCTTCTGGAGTGATCCAGTCAGAGTCCTGTCCTCAACCTGACTGAGATGCTGTGGCATGACCTCAAGAGAGCGATTCACACCAGACATCCTAAGAATATTTCTGAACTGAGACAGATTTGTAAACAAGAGGAAGGGTCCAGAATTCCTCCTGACTGTTGTTCAGGTCTGATCTGCAACTACAGAAAACATTTGGTTGAGGTTATTGCTACCAGTTATTAAATCCAAAGGTTCACATACTTCTTCCACCCTGGAACTCAGCAGTCCATCTGATATGCAGCAACAGGCTAACATGCTCATCTATGAAGCTAATAATTAAATATCCTCCTCACCTGGAAAAGCTGTTGGACTCACCTGCTCAGGTAGAAGAGGAGCTGCAGCTTTGATTTGGCTTCATCTCTGTTCTAATGAAACACTTTGTTTTGCTGATGACTCTCTTGTTTCTGTTCAGAACCTGTCAGGTTGGTGGGAGGAGCCAGTCGATGTGCAGGAACACTGGAGGTGAAACGAGGAGACTGGAGACCAGTTTATGGTTCTAACTGGATACTGACGTCAGCAGCTGCAGTCTGTAGAGAGCTGGACTGTGGCTCTGCTGTTTCAACACGAAGCAGAGAGGACTCCTCAGACAGACCTGGATGGGAGATCAGCTCCGACTGTGTGGAGTCTGGATCTGCTCTGAGGGAGTGTGTGTCATTAGGTTCATCTTCCTCAATTATGGAGATCACCTGCTCAGGTAGGACCATCAGTCTCAGTGTCTTTTGTAAAGGCAAAGCTTCCTTTGTTGTCTGGAGGCTTACTGCTTTAAACTGTCATCAACAGATGTTGATGATAACTCACCTGTGTCATTTCAGAATCAGCTATATGTTACATTTATTCATTTAGCGACTTACAATTGCTATACATGTCAGAGGGACACATGGTGCATGGGTCACAGTGGGGAGTTGAACCTGGGTCTCTCACACTAAAGGCAGGCATCTTATCCATTGCGCCATCACCACCCCATGTTGAAGTACTTTTAGGGGATTTAACATCACTGAAGTTTGTTCATGATGTCATGTGATCTGACGTGATGTGTTTCATCAGATCCAGCAGTTGTTATCTCCAGACTGGTGGTCCTGCCGCTGTTGTTCATCGCTGCCATCTGTTTCATCCATAAGGTACGTACACATCTCTGTTCATCTGTTGAGGACTGGCTGAAACGAAGCAGGGACAGTCCGTGTATCATCCGATCATTCAATTATTCCATTTAATCTGACAAATCCAAAAACGAAAAAAAAAAAAATCAATATTTCATTTTTCTGTATGAACCAAATATGAAAACTGATGTTTGTTTCCTTGCTTTCAGCTCAAAATGGAAAATATACTACAAGAAAATCAAAACGTAATAATAGGTCGAATTTAGGTTTTCTTAATTTTTTTTAATTTGTTTTCCCATTTCCCACGATGCAGTCAGTTCTGCTTTGTGCATGCGCAGAGGATAATCTCCGACTGTATCCAACTGCGTGGAGCAAGCCTATACGATTATCATGCTGAATAAAAATAGCCTACTTAAAACTATGTTGGTATAAGAAGCCTAAAGACAGACTTCCAACGTGCCTGTGTTTAAAGCAAAAACAGAACTAAATCATACTCTTGATCTGCTCTCATACAGGGTTTAGATTTGTTTTTGTTTCAGACACTTTTTTGACTTAGTGATTAAGTGACTTACACAGCACAGTAGGCCTATACCTGGCATGTGTTATTTTTAAAAAGACTGCTGTTCTAGAGGTAACATTAATATTCACTAACAAAAGTCATATTTAAACACTGTTGCACTTTTAGGTGTTAAAGTCATCGCAGGTTTCATAAGATAAATGTACATTAATGCCAGGGACACAACAATAACATCCAGCAATCTGCAAACTATAGGAATGGCCAAAATTGTTGATTTAAAAGTTTAAAATTTTCAATTGATTGCATCAAACTAGCTTATGAACTTATCTGTGACTCTGACTCTTTTTCTTTCTGCTGCTGCTGCTGCTGCTTCTCCTGATTAAGAGCGGGTTGCTAACAACGTTTAGGTGCAAACTGCCAACTACTGTACAGGAGTGTGTAGCACACACATAATTCACGACCCTTGATACTTTGTCTAAAACAATCTTTCTTTCTACCAGATTGCTGGAATAAGCTGTGAACAGGCTGCGTCAGGATTAGTAGGCTACACCTTAAGGAAAATATTTTTGATGTTGAGTTACATTCGGGGCTAAGAAAAAGAAAAAAAAAGATTGGGGTCATAGCAAGGTCGAACAACAAAGACATGGAGGTGTGAAAATGGGTGTGTGTATTAGGGCGTGTCCGGCCTCATCCTCAGTCATGGACATCGCAGGTAATCAATTAGGAGTAACAACTCCAAAACGACGTGTAATTATAGATCCTGTTGTAAAGAGTATGACTCGCAGAAAGAAGACTCCCCCAACAACATTGGCTGATTTTCTGGCCTGAAAGGCCTGGGCGCCGGGGGGGGGTTGTGATTGGCAACATCATAACTAAGTAATTAAATTGAGGAGCTACTATCATTTTAATAATATTAACTTTTCCTCACAAGTTTTATCTTTTGCCACTTCTCCAAGTTTGTTTTAATTTTTTGCAACACTGGATTTAAGTTTAACTAAAGGCATCTCTCCTAAATCTTGACTGAGTTTAATTCCAAGGTACTTCATGCCTTCTGGTACCCACTTAAATTTAAGCCTTCCATTATTGTTAATAATAGTTGCAACTTACACTACTAAATGTGCTGATAAGCTGAAAACCTGAATCATATATCATCTAAGGCTTCATAAACACTAGAAATTCAGTCCATTCTCCCCACCTGCACAGTTGACATTTACACTGGGGACGCTGGGGACATGTCCCCACCACTTTTTGAAACCATTTGTTAAAGATGTTCTGAAAAATAGCAACAAGAAATGTTAAATAACAAATGTAAGTGCTATGAGAAAGTTTTTTTGGCACAATTAGGAAACATGCAACGCAATTTAAATGTAGAAAAAACAGATCTGTCCAAACAAATAGTTACTAAAAAAAATTACTGATTACTGCATTATATTATTATATTCTGAATTGACACCTGCCACCTGAATTTTGTTCACCTTTGTGTAAATAAAGACATTTCCACCATAAATTGGTGCAAAACATGTCTCCAGAATACAAGAAATTAAGTGTTTAATGCTCAAAATCTTCCGGGGGTGGACCCCCAGACCCCCCAATGGTATATATTTCATCAAGGAATATTTCTTTAAGTAAAAATCTTCTAGTCTTGTTCTATTGTCGTGTCTTGATTGCTAAGTGTTTTGTCACAACTCTTATCTGAGCCCTAAAATGTCACCACCCCTTTTCAACAAGTGACACCCTTGCCCACCTGTGACTGTGTCACTGGCTGTTAGAGTCTTTGTAGTGTACAGCTGCATTCACCAGTCACACACATTCATACACTGGCGGAACAGCCACCAGGGGCAATTCGGGGTTCAGTATCTTGCCCAAGGACACTTCGACACGCAACCAGGGGGAGCCAGGGATTGTACCGCCGACCATATGATTAACGGCCAACCCGCTGTACCCACGGCCACTCCATCAGAATGCTCTCTATTATTATTATTATATTATTATTCTATTACATGTACATGCATGCTGTAAGTATTAGTGTGTGTAGTGGTGCTTACGTGACGTCGTTCTGGGATGCGTGAGTATGAGGCTGGGAGGGAAAAATCACAGTATACCCACAACAAAAAACTAGACTACACCACTGCTTATACTGACATATTTTTAAGTAGGCGATTTTTATTCAGCATGATAATCTGCATTTATCCTATTGACAGATATTTATACGAGAAAGATCGAAATTAGACGCAAGCTTTTATTTTTAGATTATTAGATTATCCACTGCGCATGCACACAACAGAATTGACTGCACCATGGGAAATGGGAAAACAAATAAAGAAAAATAATGAAAATGTAAATTCTACATAATATTTCATTTTGGTTTCCTTGTTTATTATATTCCCCGCTTCAAGCCGAAATCAAGGAAACAAATGTCAGTTTTCATATTTGGTTCATACAGAAAAACAAAATATTGATTCATTTTTGGTTTGTCAGATTAAATGGAATAATCGATTGGATGATACACGGAGCAGGGACTCATATCTGTGTGCTGCCATGTCTCTCCAGGCCACCAGGTGGCAGAGGCCAGACCCACAGGAGAACATGGAGCATGATTATTATAACCTCGGTGTTTGCAGAGCTGAAGGGGGGCCGGCTGAAGAGGAAGGAGCCAAGGCAGCAGAGTAGGAGCTCCTCCCACATCCAGATGGATTTCTCAGCTGCCACACAACTGTCCATCAGCTCCGTCAAGGATTTTCAGTTACACCAGATGTTTTACCTTTAGACTTCTACTGAAATGAGACCAGAAAAAAAGATGACCAAGAACCAAACCCAGCCCAGTATCTCTGGGAATTATGTCCAAATACGTCAGCTGTTGGAGGTCGGGGTCGTCTAATGTGCGTTTGCCTTTTTTTTTAACTGAAGCCACAATCTTTCCATACTGCTAACCTAGTGTTGTCTAACTCTGTGTAATAGGTTCTCTGTGGGCTCTAATACCATATAGCATTAATAACATCTTAAATAATAAGTTAAGTACAGTCTGTTGATCAAGTGTACTGGTGTCCAGATTTCAGTTTACATTTAAAAGCCTGAAAAAACTAATTCCAGACAGTGGCACCAAAATGTTAATAATTCTTTAGAGAAAACACACATCTGACACCATTCTGATTATCTGTACTTGGTTAAGACTTTATTTTAAAAATCCATCCAGTTGTTTCATTCTGTATATTTCATCATTACCGTTTTAGACTGTATTATACTATATACTTTATATGCATTGTTATTCAGCTGAAATATTTTACTTTCGCTATTGTTATTTGTTATTTGAGTATTGAAACAATAAATGAAAGTCATTGAGTCAAATCAAATGTTTGATCTCTGTTATTAGTAGTTTGACCAGAGTTACAGCTAACTGTATTAAAAGCACAGTACTTTTACAAAATATTATACTAGTAAGTATTTGTTGTGACAGTTTGAGGCAAATAAATCACTTTTGAACTTTGTTGGTTTTACATCCCAAAAATAATTTAGATGTTTACGAGTTTGGTCAGTTCAGCACAGCTGTCCTTATGAAGTTAATTTGTTAACTTAGGTTCGGGAGCAGGGCCACGCCTCCACCACACCTCCATCACCTGTCAAAGCTACATATACCGCTCTGTTCAGCCTGCCCTGCTTGTTTCAGATGGCTCGATGCAAGACCGACAACGATCCACGCTCAACAGCCTATGCTTAACAGCACAATCACAATCATGGATCCAGAGAACCAAAACCACAACTCGATTCAGAAAACGATCCATTCAAAACAGAGTGACGTTAAGTTCCAAGCAGATCTCAGTCAAGTGTCTCAGGGGAGCAGCTTGCGATCCAGGGCCAGGATCTCCAGTTCTCAAACAAGATATCCCCGACTCCCTGTGGCTCTCAGGCCTTTTCCTCTCCATCAGCGAGGTCAGGAAATTGAGGACGTCACGGGAGTCGGCATCAACCCTTTCTTTGTCAGCAGCCTTCCTCCCATACAAACACCAGCTACTCTACATGGCGCCCGCCTCTGCAGCACGGCATTAGAGACTGGACCGTCGCCCGCCTTCAACGATTCCTCAGAGGGAAAGGCATTCCCTTCAACTGCAACTTAGCCTCCAGCAACACTCGTGCAACAACAAACACCAAGCCTCGTGCACTTCTGGTTTCTCCGCCAGGGTCGGCCATGGCCACTGGCGTCACGCATGACGTCACAGGGCCTCAGCGGCCACAGCATGCATCTCCAGCTCCCCCTGGCGGGGGTCAGGTTGTATTTCCCCATGTGCCTGCTCCCTCTGTGTCTGAAATGTCGCCGGCGATTTCTGCCTCCTTGTCATCCCTGTGTTCGCATGCTTCACAAAACTCTTGTGCACATACATCCTTTCATCCATCATCCCTTCCTCTAACCTTCCTTCCTAGCAATACAACTTCTGCTCCTCTCTCTTTCCAAGCAGCCAACGCAACAATTCAAGAGCCCCTCACAACAACTCAATGGTCCTCACTATGCGAGTTGGCAAACCTCAGCTTTCTTCTCCATCTCCAACTGGTCTGTCCTTACCCCAACCCCCTCTGTCCATCCCTACATCTTCCCTTCCCCAACACCCAAATGTTTTACGTGGGTGGTGTGGTGTGGGGACAGAGAGGAAGCTTTTAAACACCAGAAGAGAAACCGAGAGAGATTATGCGGACATGACGGGTGTGCTAATCGTCCTACTTGATAGATAAAATTAATTAATTGTTCTTTCTATACTATTGCTGTTGCTGGTCAAGCGGCTAATTTACGGCAGGCCAAAACAGCCTTCAGGCCAACAGTAAATCTCCTGACCCTCCGGGCGGCCAATCCACTAGTGCCTCTAACTTTCTTATAGGCCTATTCACACTTCGAAGAATTAAACGGATCAGCCAAGAGTCTCCTTCCCCATCTGCATCTTCCACCTCAACTCAGCTCCCATGAGCCATGAATCAAATACATTGGCTCCAGGTACGCCGCATGTCATCACCACAACACCTACTTTTCTTACAGAAACGGGAAAATGGCCACTCGATTCTGGTTCCACTTACATTGAACAGAATATTCTGCATTTCAGTCCACAGCGGCCAGACTTGGCAGGTTGTCTGCTGCTGGTCATTTCAGGCATACCGCTTATTCAAAGAGGAGCTATAAAGAGGAGCTGAAAATTGTGCAGAGGGACTTGAGGAAGAGGATCAGGGATGGTAAATGCAGCTAAGAGGAAAATGGGAGTATCAGCTGCAGAATAACAACGTCAGAGGTGTCTGGAGGAGCCTGAATACCAACAAAGTCACCACACCTCAACTGGAGGTGGACCATCAGTGACTGAATGACCTGAATATCTTTTTCAATAGATCTGACCAGGCATCTGCCCCTCCCTCTGTCCAGACACTCCTTACGAGCACATCGCCATTGTTGGCAGAGCCTCTTCACACCTCCAGCACACCTACTCCTCCATATCCCATCCCCCAGACTAAAGCTACCTCCAGCTCTGAGCACCCATCTACAGAACTGTGTCTTACTGTTAACCAGGTGAGAGGAGAGCTGAGGAGACTGAAGATGAGGAAGGCAGCAGGACCAGATGGAATCAGTCCAAGACTCCTTCGGTCTTGTGCCTGACTAGCTGTGTGAGACTCTTCAGTACTTGTTCAACCTAAGCATGAAGCTGGGGCAAGTCCCACAGCTGTGGAAAACATCATGTCTGGTTCCTGTGCCTAAGACACCACACCCCAAGGACATGAACAGCTACAGACCGGTGGCTCTGACGTCTCATCTGATGAAGACGTGAAAGACTCGGTCTTGGATATCTGTCATATACCGTCAATGGACTCACTGCAGTTTGGACATCACTGGCATCGGAGTGGATGATGCCCTCATCTACCTTCTCCACAGATCCTTCTCCCACCTGGAAAAAGCTGGAAGCTCTGTGAGGATCATTTTACGATTTCTCCAGTGCTTTTAACACCATCCAGCCTACGCTGCTGACAGTCAAGCTGGAGGACGCTGGAGTACACCTTCACCTCTCAGCCTGGATCCTGGACTACCTCACCTGCAGACCACTGTTCAGGAGGATTAAGGACTGTCAGTCTGACACGGTGGTCTGCAGCACAGAGGTGCCACAAGGAGAAGTATTGGCACCCTTCCTTTTCACCCTCTACACTGCAGACTTCACCTTCAACACCACAGACTGCTACCTCCAGAAGTTCTCTGATGACTCTGCTGTCCTTTGTCTAATCTCTGATCTCTTCTCAAGGCATACTTCCCCTAAAACACGTGTGCTCATCACAGGAGCCATCGTGTTTATCATTAGTTGCTTGTGACCTCTATAATCTACATAGATTAAGAATTTATAGCAGAGAATATGATACAAATCTTGCATTACATTAATTATGGTGTTGACACACTACGGTTGTGACATGCCAGGTGTCAACAAGTAGGTATGAAATATATAGAATCTAAACAACTTACCAGAGCTGGAGTGGTCTTATAGCATTAGAAAGAACAAGGAAGTGATAAAGGGCTCCTCAGAGTTTTAGCAGCCTTCAATTATTCCTGATTTTTTTTATTTAAAAAAAAGTCTGACGGACAAAAACCCAGGACACAAGTTAAATCGTCTAAAACGTACATTAAAATCAGTTTTAAATTGTAACTTTTGATACTTAGAAAATATTTAATGAACTACTAACAAAAAGTTAGTATAATGGTTCATTTTGCATTACTTTTAATTCTTTTTAAGCTATTGTAATGTAATGACACGGACAAGGATTTTTTACAGGCACTGGTCACATATTATATCATTTATAATTAAAAAAATATAAAACAACATTAAATAAATTATTGGGTGTGTTAAAACTGTCCCGTTATTTTTCTGGTTAAATGTATGAATAATATTAGGTAAATGTTTTACCCAAAAACTGTGTTTTATCTGGTGGACATGTTTTGTCCCAGATCACTGGCCACCAAATATTAAATGTTATTTACTTTAAGATTATTTGTTCTATTACTTTTGCTCACCTATATATGTGTGTGTGTGTATATATATATATTTGAGTTTTTTGAAGAGTAAATGATTGATCTCTGTTCTCTAAGTAGTCGTTAGAGAATACAAAGACAAAAGCAGCAAAAGTGAAACCAGCACAGAACGTTAAAACTGACACAGTCGAATGTGTTCATGCCTAACTGTTGGTGCTGCAGAAGGATTTCCTGCTCTATCTGTTCCTGTTTGTTCAGCTGATACGTGACATTGACTCCAGCTCCTTCATGATGATAATAATCTAATAATAACTTTATTTATATAGCACCTATTAAACAGAAGTACAAAGTGCTTTACAAAAGATAACAGGGCATAAAAAGGGCACATAACACAAACATAAAAAATAAAATACATGTGCACAGTACAAGACACAAAATCCAAATTAAAATTGAAATCACAAATAGGTAAAACAGATTGACTATAACAATAACACTAGAATAAACAGCTAAACTTCATATAGCTAAAGTAAAGAACGTAAGATAAAACAGGCAGCTCAATTAAAATCGGGATATGCCTTCCAATAAAAGTGCATTTTTAAAAGTGAAAAGTTTTAAGTGATTTACTCTGCAAGCCTTGCTTTCTTCACCATTTCGTTCCAGGCCTCGGTGCCTTGACGGCAAAACTCTGTCCCCTTTAGTTCTAAGCCAAGACACAATAAGAAAACAGAAAACCCCAGCCGGAAGATCTCAAATTACGCAGAGGTTCATAATGAGTTAAAAGGTCTAATATACAAGCAGGAGCCAAACCATGGAGAGCCTTAAAAGTAATCCATAAAATCTTAAAATCAATCCTAAAACAAACAGGGAGCCAATGTAAAGAGGCTAAAACTATTCAGCTCGGTGGGCTTCATTGTTTGTTGTATTGTTTTTGTTGTTCATTGTTTGTTGTATTGTTTTTTGCCCCCGGTACCGGGGGCGATGGTGCTCTGGGCAATGATACTGATTGAAATTATTTATTTTCCCGCCGTTTTAACTCCGAAACCCGCTGATGTTGTTCCTCCGAGTCTAAGCGGGCGCCATCTTCATTATTTCGCAATACCTGCAAGCTGCCTGCCTGCTGTCGTCTTTTTCTGCAGAGAGGAAACATGCCGCTTGAGAACATACGGTGTTTTTTGATTGAAATTAGCCTATTTATTTCTGGTATTTGTTTCATAGTGGTGCACTGACGGTGAATGCATGATACATTTTATAATGGCGCCGGTGAAACTGATCTTGGCTTCAGGCTATTAGTTTTTCAGGAAGGGAGAGTGAATATGGGTGGATACAACAGTCCTTCTGGACATCATGCTCGGGTCGGTTGAAGACCAAATATGTGACATTGTGTCTGTGACATTTTTCATTAAATACCGCTGTGCCATGTTACAGGGCTCTACGTCTGCCTCACGTTTAAATGATCAAAAATAAGGCTCGAGTCGCTCGTTTCCTCTTTCTCAACAAAAAAGCTGTCAAACTAAACATGAGGTCAAAGACTGTGTCCGTCCTCTCTCCTTAGTGTCCGCCCGTAGCTTCAGACCCAAAACACCTCTTCAGACACACCACTTCCTCCTTCCACAGCTGCCCAAATCTCAGATAACCAGTAAGGTTAATCAGAACAGCTACATTAAGAAACAATTAATAAATCCAAATAACTATTCTAAATGATAAAATAATTAAACACAAAAATTGGCTCCAACACCTTGATTTAACCTTTGTTGGAGAACTATGACCTGTGTGAGAGAATCTTTTTACTGACAATTTTCCCAATAATTTGACATGTTGCATTTTACATGTATGTTCCCTCCTTCATGACAATATGTGTGTATGGGCTTCATTTTATGGGTGTGTGTGTCCATGTGCCTGCAAGCATGTAGTTTTTATGAGTATGTATCTATTCAATTCAATTCAATTCAATTTTATTTATATAGCGCCAAATCACAACAACAGTTATCTCACAGTGCTTTTCATAAAAAGAGCAGGTCTAGACCGTACTCTGTGATGATATTTACAGAAGCCCAACAGTTCCCACCAAGAGCAGCACTCTGTCACTATCTGTATTCATGTTTATCTGTTCTTCTATCTGTGTGTGCGTGTCCATGTGCACGTGTCCGTCATGAATTCTCAGAGGCCAATATCTTAAAATCTAAAACAGTTGAGTGAACTCTCTCTTTAACCTGTGGTTTATTAGTGGCTTCAGTTCTGAGAAGCTGCTCATCCGTTGGCTGATGAGGAGATAAAAGAAGAAGAAATTAGCAGAAGAAGAGATGACAGACGAGAAGCGACAGGCGGTCTACCTGGACATGGATCACCTGCTGCTGGTGCTGCTGTTGCTGTGGAGCTCAGGTAGGACTCTGCTGGAATGATGAATGTTTGAAAGGTGCAAAACCTCAGTGTCAAAATACTGAATTAAAGCTGCAGACCTGCGTTAAAAACCTTTTTTGTTGTTTCTTTTAAACTTATGACTTCAATTTTGAAAATTCAGATTTTTTCTCAGAATATAACCCAACTTACACGGCTAGATAAAAAATTGTTTAACCTATACAGTGGGCTAATATGCTGTTGTCCAGTCGTGCATTCACAACCAAGTGTAAAAATAGTGAATTAAAGCCACAGTCCTGCGTTCAAAGCCAGACAAGTTGTTCCATTTCATCACTGACTCAGTCAAAAAGCACGTTTCAAGGCACATATCAGTTTGTTTGTTACTGCTTTTATGTCAGTCATTTGAACGGCTGTTTCTGCCCTCACATTCAAATATTACACCGCATCAAGTCCCCCTCAGCTCAGAATGAAACCTCTACACTTTTTAAAATAACACTGACTAGCAAGTTCATTTAGTGTTGCATCTGTGGCTGCTGGTTTCCAGTCTACTGTTCTGCAGTGTTTCTTGTGACTCTCGCGTTCCCTGTGTTTTGTGGATTTACCTTCTGTTGGATAACTCACCTGTTATGTTTTGAACTCAGCCACGTCCAGTAAGTGTGACACCTTTTGTTAAATAAACCTTGTTTAAGTCTAAACCTGTTACCTGCATTCAGCTGAATATAACAAAACGTAGTTAAAACAGCAGAGAAGAGTGCACTGCACAACAAACCCAAATCATTTTCAAGCGCAAATCACCAAACACATTATTACTGGATCAGATTGTGAACTTACAAACCTGTCTCTAAGTCTGGATATATTTCAAACCCTAACTTGCTGGCCTCTCTGTTTTGTAGCCATCATAGTTGTACATTTTAATATATATATTTAAAATGTAATGTTGGCTGCAGCCTAACACACACAGTCAGATTACACCTCTAACATAATGTATAAAGAAAACGTACATCTGGTAAATGATGGATGAACGAGCAGTAAGTGTGAACTGGTGACACAGGGACAGTAGGGACCAGCTGTCCTGAGATGAAGGCCTATCAAGGACAGTCTGATAAGAAAATTCTCTCGAGCATCTTTCCCACGGGAAACTTCACCAGCTGTAACATAATAAAATAATCAAACACCACACAGTGAAACACTGGTCTGTTCTGATGAAGCGTGCAGGGTGAAACAGTAAACACAGTAAAATATCACATTTCCATCACAGTGGTCTGCAGTACACACATGACCGAGGCACAAAAAGCAAAGGAAAATCACTCAAACAAACTCCTAGCAACACTGAGAAAATGCACGTGTTTGTAAGGATGGACCGTTTGATACCGAGGCGCTGAAGCTCGTTTCACTTTTGCAAAGCATACAGGTTCGAAAGCGTGTTGAAGCTTGTATCAAGGATTCGTACGTCACTGAAACACAGGAAGCGTTTTGACTCATTTAAAGTTTTGCCGCTATCTCATCAGCTAAAAGGACAAAGGAGAAAGAGCCGGCAGGTTTGAGTATTGTTTCATACTAAGCTGTGATACAAATATCATAAAATGTGTAGATGGCTAGTGGAAAGTGCTGATGTGAGTGTGGGAACATTTCAACCTGTTACTCCTGTTCTCCACAGTGCCAGGTTCATGGCCGCTATAATTTATGCAAAACACTCAGTCAGTGTGCTGTGTTCTTTTTCGATGCTTCAAAACAAATGTGTTTTTGGACACAGGAAGAAGCCTCAAAACTTCCACTCCCAACCTGGGGATAAGAGATAATAACAATTCATCTGAATAAGTACCTGAAAGAAAAGCGTAATTCTACATGTGACAACCAGGGACATTTTATTCATTTAGCTGAGGCTTTTATCCAAAGCGACTTACAGCTGTTCTACATGTCAGAGGTCGCACGCCTCTGCAGCTACTAGGGGTTAAATGTCGTGCTCAGGGACACAATGGTGGAAGCGTCACAGTGGGAATCGAACCCAGGTCTCTCACAACAAAGGCATGTGTCTTATCCACTGCAACATCACCACCCCCCGCAATCTAAATGTTTGGATATGTGTGTGCGCATAAGCCTGTTACAGAATGTAGTTGTTAGTGAGAGTGGGACGCCACAGCGCACCGACCCCAGTGACAGGCAGGCAAGAACCCCAGTAGCCAATAGGGGTGGTGGAAAAAAATTGACCCTCAAAAAAGACCCCGACCTGTTGCGGGACCCCACAACAAGGGAGCCACTGAAACAGAGCATCACCATAGCGTTCGATTCATTTTATTCATTTAGCTGACGCTTTTACTCAAAGCAACTTACAATTGTAATATCTGTCAGAGGTCGCACGCCTCTGGAGCAACTAGGGATACATTGGCGGATGACACAGTGGGGAATTGAACCTTTTAACAATTCAAAAGCATGTGTCTTATCCACTGTTCCATCACTGTAGTTGATGTAGAATAAATTAAACTTTGTAGGTAAAAGTAAGCTTAAAAATAAATGTTTGAATTCACAGTCAACAGTCTAAACTAAGATGGTGTACATTGTAAACGCTGTAACCATCAGCATTATGATCATGTTAGCATGCTGATTTAGCTCAGAGCAGCACTGAGCCTAAAATCAGCCGCTCGTGTGGCTGTCACTCTTACTTCTGTGTTTGAACCTTTGCAAATTGTTTTCCTCCAGATGCTCGATGTGACCCCACGGCCAAGGCTGACATTGTGATGTTGGTGGACGGCTCTACGAGCATCAGCGACTCAGATTTTAAAATATTTCTGTCTGTTGTCTCAAGCGTAGTGAGCGCCTTCCACATCGGCCCAGACAGAGTCCAGATTGGTAATATTTGGATTCATACTACAGACAGTACACACACACCCGCACACCCGCACACCCGACATATAGACATACATTAATGCAGACTGGACAACATCAACTGTCCAATCACAGCTCGTGGGCGGGGCTCATCTTTCCTGTACTGAGTGAACCAATGCAGCTGCCGTGTGACGAGTGAACGTAAGAGACCAAGACCATTCATGCATGCGTGAACGCGTGAAATGAACGAATCAACTCGGCGAGACTGCTCGTTACTCCCAAGTCATATAAAAGCTTAGTTGAATATGAACGAAACACAACTGATGACAAGAAAAGAAAAATGATAATAATTATTATTAGAAAAATGTTGTTGCAGATTTACATTACTGACATTCTTATTACAGAGAACCTGCAGTGCACATCTTCACTCAGTTACTACAGTCCCCCCCTAACTGCTTTAACTCACATCACTTTTTTGTAAAAAATACTCATTATTATTTTTATTATTAGGATTTTAAAATAAGGACTGGATCACCTGATGTTTTACACATTGCTGTGTGTTTTCTGCAGGTCTGGTTCAGTTCAGTTATAACCCACAGACCGAGTGGCACCTGAACGCCTTCCAGACTGAATATTCTCTGCTGCAGGCCATAAACAGGCTGAAGCCTTTAGGAGGAGACACCAATACAGGTGACTGAACATCATGCTGTCGAGTCCAAAGCAGGTTCACGCCGAGGGACTGTGGGCCCACGGCCTATAATAGTATTTATAGATTAGTGTACATTATAAAGGTAGCAATGTGTGAAGGGTCCACAACACTTGTTTATACTCTTATAATACAGATTTAATGAATAATTGTTACTTTAGTATTGATAAAGTTATTTTAATAACATTTTGTGATGTAACATTATAGTTCAGTTAGTTCAATATTATGAATGAAATACTGTTAATATTGTTTGACTAATAGCGATTGCAATAATAAGAATAATATAATAATGTTAATAATCATAATAGTGCAAGTGACTTGAATTTGAAGCTCAGTGATTGGTTGTTGCTGAAATGCTCCTAGGGAGTGGTCATTGACTCCTGTCATTCAGTTTGTTTATGCCCAGAAGCTTTTTCTGCTTTTGAACCAGATCTCTTCTAACAGCTGTTAAACTGTCAGTCACCCTGCAGTCTGAGAGAAGATGACTTCTGGAACGAGGCACGACTGAAATAACCCCCCAGCTTCGTACCTCTCGCCTTTTGATGCCTCTTTATTTCTGTCATACAGGAATGGCTCTTAACTTCACCCTGCAGAACAACTTCCAGCCCGATGTGGGAATGCGTGCGGACTCCAAAAAAATTGTTGTCTTGCTGACAGACGGAAAGTCCCAGGACGACACACGGCTCCCCTCACAGAACCTGAAGGACGCCGGCATAGAGATCTATGCTATTGGTGAAACCACGATACTTCACCACAACAGAAATAACACAAATTGAACCTGTTATTTAATGCTCGTCAGTATAAAAATGTTAGCTAGCTTGTCCCTTAAACATTATTATTTTTATTATTATTATAAGATGTACAAATTACCACATTTGTTGTTTATATCAGTTAATGTCTTTATTTTAGGAAAATCAGGTCGAGCATGTTTCAAGTCTTTGCAAGTTGAGTTTTAATAATTTGAAACAAAATAAAGAACTTAATGGCTGTCTAGAAGGAAGAAAGTCCTGCTAAAAACATGGGGTTTGTTTGAGCAGACAGTCAGCAGTATGGTCATATGATTTCTAGGTAACAGGATTAAAAACTCCCAAGCATTAGTTTTCTCTGCCAAAGGTTTAGTTTGGACAATCCACAATTTATTACTTTGCCAATCAAATAGTTTTCTTTGTTTCTAATCTCATTTTTTATGCATTGTATTAACACACATTTCTCTCAGGGGTGAAGAATGCCAATGAGCTTGAGCTGAAATCCATCGCCTCCAAGCCCTTTGACATTCACACGTACAGTGTCGCAGACTTCTCGTTTCTCCCAGCCATCGTTGACAACCTCACCATCAACCTCTGCAACAGCGCTAAAAGCTTAGGTAGGCAAAGAGTCCATCATCATTAAACCATGATACACATTAGCACCACACCGATCCACTGATATTAGACTCAATCTGATTTTTTAGAAGCTCTTACACACCGGCCAAGTGTTGGATTCCAACAGTTCGATATCTTGGTCTTACACAGAGCTTTATGGTCCTGCGTAGGGAGTTGCTGTTGAAGCCTCTGCAGCTAACCTCAACAAGCACACAAAGCATACCAGGTCTGTGATCTTGGTTGTCTTCAAGCGGGAACCTCAGTTTCTGAAAAGTGAAGCCAATGCAGGAGTGCCATAATACTGAATTATATCTTACGGCCAGCAGGGGGCGACTCCACCGGCTGCAGAAATAAGTGTGATTGTATAGAAACCTTGTGATTAACCATGGCGACCTGTCAATCGGGATAGAGGTGAATCGTATCTGCTGCTCTGTGTGAATTTAACTAAACGTGATATTGTTTTTGGCTGCTGTCAGTGTTTTCGTCTTAGAGGTTTGACCCTTTTGCAATTTTTTCCACTTCATGAAAGTTAAGTGTTAAATTTTGGTCACCTAAATATGTCATGTTCAGCGGTCAGTGTTACTAAGAGACAGTCCTTTCATTTTTTACAGTAAGTACATTTTGTTTTAAGCCTGTTTATTTTTTAAATAAAATAACATTTTATTAATATAGCGCCAAATCACAACAACAGTTATCTCACAGCGCTTTTCATAAAGAGCAGGTCTAGACCGTACTCTATGATGCTATTTACAGAAGCCCAACAGTTCCCACCAAGAGCAGCACTAGGAGACAGAGGGAGGGAGGCAGCCTACACAATATCCACACAGAGGTACAGACAGTAAAGGTGATGTTGCTATAGACTAAATGAAAAATGGTACAGATATTTATAATAGTGTTAATGGTAACAATCGTAATGTTAATGATTATAATAACAATAATAACAATAGGACTAGTAACAATAGTCGTTGCAGCAGAGGGTGTCGAGCAGGAACACGGGGGCAGCAGGTGACCCGCAACCACAGATCCAGACTCCACAGCTCCAGAGCCAGAAACACCTGCAGGAAGTGATAGGAGGAGAGAGGAGAGAGACGAGAAAGCACAAGGCTACCGGAAAGGAGAGAAGTTGTGTTAGTAACATGCAATAATGGGATGAGGTTGCATACAGAGGGAGAGAAAGTAGAGGAGAGAGGAGCTCAGTGCATCATGGGAAATCCCCCGGCAGTCTAGGCCTATAGCAGCATAACTAAGGGATGGTTCAGGACTCACCTGAGCCAGCCCTAACTATAAGCTTTATCAAAGAGGAAAGTCTTAAGCCTACTCTTAAATGTGGAGATGGTGTCTGCCTCCTGAACCCAAACTGGAACCTGGTTCCACAGGAGAGGAGCTTGATAGCTGAACGCTCTGGCTGACAAAACGCTAGACTCAGGCCCGCTGGAAGTCCAGATCTGTCCTCAATACTTAACAAGTATTGCTGGTAGATAACACTTGGAGTTCGAAAGAAATTACTGGAGTCGGTCAGAGATCGATGCAATAGAGTTTATTGTCAAAGCAAGACAAAATCCGAGCATGCCTTAGCAGACCGGTAAGGCACACTGAAAACATGGTGTGAAGCTTCTCATTATATAGCCCTGGGCTCTCCCCAGGGAAGTGGGGCCCCTGCAAGATACCTGCCTATTTTTCAGTTTAATGTGGCCATTAATCAGTTCTACTGGTGTAAATCTCTTCTTTGACGTTTTCTTTTACGACTGTCTTAAAAACCCTGTTCCTGTAATATTATACTCCCTTAAAATCCTAATTCTTCTGTTCTTCTTAAAAACATTAATTCATCTTTATTGTCAGTTAACTGTAAAAACACATTATCTGAGGGTACTATTTCGTAGTCATAACATTTTTAAGACATTTATGTGTTTACACCAGTAAACTCTCGGGTCAGGCACTTCCCAGAGTTTGGGCCCCCTTAAGAGCGTCTCTAGTCATATACCAGTAGCTTCCAAATTTATAGGCCCTGTTTTTTAATAAACGATCTATGTCTCCGTAACTGTATGTTCTGTCACAGGTATGGAGATCTATGTCTCCATCCGCATATCTTCTCTCATAGATATGAGACCCAGAAATTATATAATATCTGGGTACACGATCTTTTCTCCTCTCCCACTGAGTAGCATCTAAGTCCTACAATAAATCTCAGATGCATATGCTTTTAGTTACATGCCCTTTTTGACCCATCCCTATTGCACACATTCCACTGAACACTTATGAGAGGGTCATATCTCTTGGCCTGTCAACTTTGGTCTTATGCAGAGAGTCCTGATTTTCGCAATATTACGTAGGTGAAAAAAGGCGGTCCATGAAATTTGCTTAATGTGAGACTTAAACGACATGTCCTGATCAAAGATAACTCCAAGATTCCTCACAGTGGTGCTGGAGGCCAAGGCGATGCCATCCAGGGAAACTATATCTTTAGATAATTCGTCACGGAGGTGCTTAGGCTCCAGAGCAATAACTTCAGTTTTATCTGAGTTTAACACTAGAAAATTACAGGTCATCCAGGTTTTAACATCCTGAAGGCAAATTTGAAGTTTAGCTAACTGATGAGTTTCATCTGGCTTGATCGATAGATATAACTGAGTATCATCTGCATAACAATGAAAGCTTATGGAATGTTTCCTGATAATATTGCCTAAAGGAAGCATATATAAAGTGAACAGGATTGGTCCGAGGACAGATCCTTGAGGAACTCCATGAGTAACTTTGGCATGCATGGAGGACTCATCGTTAACATGTACAAACTGAAATCGATCTGATAAATAGGACTTAAACCAGCTTAGAGCGGTTCCTTTAATGCCAATGAAATGTTCCAGTATCTGCAATAGGATCTGATGGTCAATGGTATCAAATGCAGCACTAAGATCTAATAAAACCAGTACAGAGACAAGTCCTTTGTCTGATGCAATAAGGAGGTCGTTAGTAATTTTCACCAGTGCTGTCTCTGTGCTATGATGAGCTCTAAATCCTGACTGAAAATCCTCAAATAAACTATTGCTCTGTAGAAAGTCACACAGCTGTTTAGCAACTGCTTTCTCCAGAACCATAGAGAGAAATGGAAGGTTAGATATAGGTCTATAGTTGGCTAAAACATCCGGATCAAGTTTGGGCTTTTTCAGAAGAGGTTTAATTACAGCTACTTTAAAGTACTGTGGTACATAGCCTGTTGATAGAGATAGATTGATCATATCTAGCATAGAAGTGCTGACTAAGGGTAAAACATCTTTAAGCAACCTAGTCGGGATGGGGTCTAAGAGGCAGGTTGATGGTTTAGATGAAGAAATTATTGAAGTTAGTTGGTAAAGATTGAGGGAAGCAAAACAGTCTAAACATATATCTGGTTCTACAGCTGTTTCTAAGGTTCCTGAGTTTAGAGATAAGTTGGTGCCAGTTAAGGGCAGGTCTTGGTGAATTTTGTCTCTAATAGCTAGAATTTTATCATTAAAGAAGCTCATGAAGTCGTAACTACTGAGAGCTATGGGAATACTTGGCTCAATAGAGCTGTGACTCTCTGTCAGCCTGGCTACAGTGCTGAAAAGAAACCTGGGGTTGTTCCTATTTTCCTCTATTAATGACGAGTAGTACGCTGCTCTGGCATTATGGAGGGCCTTCCTATAAGTTTTAAGACTATCTTGCCAAATTAAACAAGAATTTTCCAGTTTGGTGGAATGCCAATTCCTCAAGTTTCCCCGATATTTGCTTTAATTTGCGAGTTTCAGTATTATACCATGGAGCTAACTGTCTTTGTTTTAGTATTTTCTTTTTTAGAGGGGCTACAGAGTCGAGTGTCATTCGCAGCGAGCCTGCAGCACTATCAACAAGATGATCGATTTGGGAGGGACTGAAATTAGCATAGGAGTCCTCCGTTAATTTGTGACTTGATAATGTATTTAGAGCTGATGGAATCGCATCCTTAATTTTAGCTATAGCACTATCAGACAGACATCTTGTATAGAAATTTTTGCCCAATGGCGTGTAGTTCAGCAATACAAACTCAAAAGTTATCAAACAGTGGTCAGATAAAGAGGGATTCTGTGGGAACACCACTAAATGTTCAATTTCAATACCATACACCAAAACAAGGTCGAGGGTGTGGTTAAAACAGTGAGTCGGTTCATGAACACTCTGAGAGAAGCAAATGGAATCTAACAGAGAGATAAACGCAGTACTGACTAACATCCACATGAATATTAAAATCCCCTACAATAATAACTTTGTCCGTTTTAAGGACTAAAGTTGACAAAAACTCAGATAAGAATTCAGAATACGGACCAGGTGCTCGGTACAGTATAACGAAGAGAATTGGTTGCAGTGATTTCCAACTTGGGTGTGAAAGACCAAGAACAAGGCTTTCAAATGAGTTATAGTTTAGTTTAGGTTTAGAGCTGATTAGTAGGCTAGAGTCGAAGATAGCTGCAACGCCACCTCATCGGCCTGTGCCTCGAGGAATGTGAGTATTAATATGACTGGGAGGGGTGGATTCATTTAGGCTAACATATTCTCCATCACCCAGCCAGGTTTCAGTAAGACCAAATAAATCAATATCATAATCTGATATTAGTTCATTTACTAGTACACCTTTAGAAGAGAGAGATCTGATGTTTAAGAGTCCACATTTAATTTTCCCATTAGTTTGCACTATTGCTCTTGTGGTTTTAATTTTTATGAGGTTTTTATGTACAGCTACTCTTCTGTTTACCTTTGATTTAAATAATTTCGATGGTCGGGGGGCAGACACCGTCACTATAGGGTTTTCACTAAGTAACTCCTGAAATGGAGGAGCAGAGAAGTGTGTTAGACTGCGACTCTGCGTAGGGTTTTGGGTGGGTAACTGCTGAAAAAGAAGGGCAGAGAAGTGTGTTAAACTGCGACTCTGCCTCCTGGTCTCAACTCTGGGTTGTCATGGATTTGGTCCACTAATAAACTTGGCCAGATTTCTAGAAATGAGAGCTGCTCCTTCCCAAGTGGGATGGATGCCATCTCTCCGGATCAGACCAGGTCTTCCCCAGAAAGTCTGCCAATGATCTACAAAGCCCACATCGTTTGCTGGACACCACCTCGACAACCAGCGGGCGGAATGACGGCTATACATGTCATCACTGGTCAGATTTGGCAGGGGTCCAGAGAAAACTACGGTGTCCGACATTGTTTTTGCATATGTACACACCGACTCAACATTAATCTTAGTGACCTCCGATTGGTGTAACCGGGAGTTATTACCGCCGACGTGAATAACAATCTTACTGTATTTACGTTTATCCTTAGCCAGCAGTTTCAAATAAGACTCAATGTCGCCCGCTCTGGCCCCAGGGATGCACTTAACTATGGCCACTGGCTTCGCTAACTTCACGTTTCTCAAAATGGAGCTGCCAATGATCAGAGTTGGTTTCTCAGCGGGTGTGTCGCTGAGTGGGGAAAATCTACAGTAGCTAAAGACTGATCTACCAAGGTGCGGAGCCGGACTTCTAAATCACTGAGCCTCGCCTCCATGTCTATAAATAAACTACACTTATTACATGTACCATTACTGCTAAAGGAGGCAGAGGAGTAACTGAACATCTGACACACCGAGCAGGAGAAAGTAGGAGAGAGAGAAGGAGAAGCCATCGCTAGCTGCTAAGCTAAAGTCGCTAACGGCTAAGCTAAAGTACTGTAGCGTCAGCTACCAAAACTTTTGAACAACTATGAGATTGAACAGCAGTCACTAAAAGATGGAAAGAACTGTGAGTGCTTAGGCAAAATTACTGTAAGAAAAAGTGTTTAGCAGACAGTTGGCTGCTGTAATCTAACAAATTTAACTGGTATTTAGCGAGAGCAGCACAACACGGTATCAACACACAAGCACCGGAAACGGAAAAGAGTCGGCACGCTTACAGCAGTACGTCAGGATCTCTTTTTGTTACATTCCTTTGTTGATTTCCACAACTTCTCATCTTCTGTAGTGGGTTATGTTTTGCCCTGTTTCAGTAAACATTCTTTCAAATTACAAAGACCATCTGGTCCTGACACCTGACAAGATTTGTGCGACCAGCAAAAAGCTTTCTACCGTAAACAATTCTACATCTGATTTACTGAAGCATCTAAAGCAGCACAGCATGAAAACTGCTGTTAGTGCTGCATGCACTTTTCTGGAGAAAGTGGCATTAAGCAACTTTTGATGTTTTGTAAAAACACTTAATACTGCTCTTATAACTACATGTGTAGAAAAACATTAGACAGGAGAGACTTGCTTTAATTTTTAATACAGCCAGTGGCGTTTAGAACATTATGTTTTGTAAAAAAAAAAACATACTCCTCACTACTGCTATGAATATGCGATTAGTTAGAAGAGGAACTGCAGCTTTGATTTGGCTTCATCTCTGTTCTAATAAAAACATTTTGTTTTGCTGATGACTCTCTTGTTTCTGTTCAGAACTTGTCAGGTTGGTGGGAGGAGCCAGCCGCTGTGCAGGAACACTGGAGGTGAAACGAGGAGAATGGAGACCAGTTTATGGTTCTAACTGGATCCTGAAGTCAGCAGCTGCAGTCTGTAGAGAGCTGGACTGTGGCTCTGCTGTTTCAACACGAAGCAGAGAGGACTCCTCAGACAGACCTGGATGGGAGATCAGCTCCGACTGTGTGGAGTCTGGATCTGCTCTGAGGGAGTGTGTGTCATCAGGTTCTTCTTCCTCCATCATGGAGATCACCTGCTCAGGTAGGACCATCATCATGCTCAGCTATGAAGCTAATAGCTAACAATCTTGAATTAATGGTTTGGAAATGTGTAAATCTGTACTGTTTGTAATGATCTATATAATGCATTTTTCATAGTATATACAATCACAAATTAAGATTCTCTCTCTCTCTTCAGACTCTGTGAGGCTGGTGAACGGGACTGGTCTGTGTTCAGGCAGACTGGAGGTGAAGTCTAACCAGTATAACCAGAGGTGGTCCTCAGTGTGTGAAGCTGACTTTGACCAGCAGGATGCAGAGGTGGTCTGTAGGCAGCTTGGCTGTGGGGCTCCTTCAGTCCTCCAGGGGGCGCTCTATGGAGAAGTGGAGGCTCCGATGTGGACCAAAGAGTTCCAGTGTGGAGGCCATGAGTCTGCTCTCCTGGACTGTAGAAGCTCAGGCTCAGCTAGAAACACCTGCTCATCTGGAAAAGCTGTTGGACTCACCTGCTCAGGTAGAAGAGGAGCTGCAGCTTTGATTTGGCTTCATCTCTGTTCTAGTGAAACACTTTGTTTTGCTGATGACTGTCTTGTTTCTGTTCAGAACCTGTCAGGTTGGCGGGAGGAGCCAGTCGCTGTGCAGGAACACTGGAGGTGAAACAGGGAGACTGGAGACAAGTTAATGGCTCTAACTGGATCCTGAAGTCAGCAGCTGCAGTCTGTAGACAGCTGGATTGTGGATCTGCTGTTTCAACACGAAGCAGAGAGGACTCCTCAGACAGACCTAGATGGGAGATCAGCTCTGACTGTGTTGAGTCTGGATCTGCTCTGAGGGAGTGTGTGTCATCAGGTTCCTCTTCTGCCATCATGGAGATCACCTGCTCAGGTAGGACCATCATTCACAGTGACAGATGTTGATGTTAACCTGTTTCATTTCAGCCAGACAGGTGCATTAAGAAGAGAGCCAGCAGGCTGTAAATCACTATCACAATTCAACTATCAGTACACAGAGAGGATCAGAGGACCTCGCTCTGTAAGAACAGAATCAGAGAGTTACATGCTGAAGTGATTTTAGGCAAGGCAAGTTTATTTGTATAGCACAATTTAACAACAATGTAATTTAAAGTGCTTTACATAAAACATAAAAGCAACAGGGAAATATGTAAAAGTTTAAAAGAAACATAAAATATAATAAAAGTTACAGTGTTATAATCAGGGTTAAAAGAGATAAATGGAAAATAATACAAAGCCAAAAACAAACAGGACAGTAAAAGTTACAGTGCAGTGTAAGTTATCAATAAAAAGAAAAATCTTAAATATTTAATTAAAAGCAATGGTAAAAAGAAAAGTCTTCAGTCTTAATTTAAAAGAACTGACAGTTTCAGCATTCTTCTGGGAGTTTGATTTTTAACATAATAACTGAACGCTGCTTCTCCTTGTTTAGTCTTGACTCTGGGGACAGAAAGCAGACCTGCCCCAGACGACCTGAGAGATCTGGATGGTTCGTAACGAAGCAGAAGTTACTCAGCACCCGTATGGGATCATAGTCCCCTGTTGAAATGGTTATGTAAATCTGTGTGTCATCTGCATAATTTTGATAACATATTTTGTTTTTCATAATCTGAGCCAGTGGAAGCATGTAAATGTTAAAAGAGGTCCCAGAATGGAGCCTTGGGGAACTCCACATGTCATTTTTGTCAGCTCAGATGTGTGATTACCTATAGACACAAAGTAGTCCCTGTCCTTTAAGTAGGATTCAAACCAGTTTAGTACTGTGCCAGAAAGTCCAACCCAGTTTTCAAGTCTGTCTAGTAATATGTTGTGGTCGACCATGTCGAATGCAGCACTGAGATCCAATAATACTAAGACTGAAATTCTGCCACTGTCAGTGTTTAAATGGATGTCATTGAAGACCTTAACAAGAGCCGTCCCAGTGCTGTGGTGTGGTCGAAAACCTGACTGGAAGACATCAAAACAGTTATTTAGTGCCAAGAAAGCACTAAGCTGTTGAAAAACAGCCTTTCAATGATTTTACTTAAAAATGGGAGATTTGATATGGGCCTATAATTTCTCATTAGTGAACTGTCTAGATTGCTCTTTTTTAAGAGTGGCTTAATGACTGCAGTTTTCAGGGCCTGTGGGAAAAAACCTGAGAGAAGAGACATGTTGACAATTTGTAGTAAATCTGAGGCCATGCATTTAGAAACATTTTTGAAAAAACCTGTTGGCAGAATATCAAGGCAGCATGAGGAGGATTTCAGATGTTGTATTATGTCCTCCAGGTTTTTATGGTTAATAGAATCAAATTGTCTCATGCTATATGAATTGTTTTTAAGTGGACACAGGGACAAGACATATCCTGTTACTGACATGGAGGCACTGATTGCTTGTCTAATTGTTTGAATTTTGTCCATGAAGATTTAACATCACTGAAGTTTGTTCATGTTGTACTCTACTGCAGATGTAGTGTAAAAGCGCTTTGAGTGGTCGAAAGACTAGAAAGGCGCTATACAAGTACGGAGCATTTACATTTACATTTACTCCTGATGTCATGTGATCTGATGTGATGTGTTTCATCAGATCCAGCAGTTGTTATCTCCAGACTGGTGGTCCTGCCGCTGTTGTTCATCGCTGCCATCTGCTTCATCCATAAGGTACGTACACATCTCTGTTGATCAGAGGACTGGCTGCTCAGCTTCTGAACATTGAACTGAAGAGAGCAGTGATGCAGCGACTCATATCTGTGTGCTGCCATGTCTCTCCAGGCCACCAGGGGGCAGAAGCCAGACCCACAGGAGAATGTGGAGCTGGATTATTATAACCTCGGTGTTTGCAGAGCTGAAGGGGGGCCGGCTGAAGAGGAAGGAGCCGAGGCAGCAGAGTAGGACCTCCAAAGAGCTTTTCCCACATCCAGATGGATTGCTCAGCTTCAACACAACTGTGCATCAGCTCCGTCAGGGATTTTCAACCAGGTCTTTGCAGCCCAGTATCTCTCGGAATAATGTCCAAATATGTCAGCTGTTGGAGGTCGGGGTTGTCTTGTTGCCTAACACAAACTGGGCTCTAATAACGTACAGCATTAATAACATCTTAAAGCCAGTGTATTTAGATATTTCTATGATATTTCATATTTTTCCTCAGTCATTTCCTCACAATGTTGACTACCCACATAGTTTGCCAAATATTTTTTGCCAAATAGCTTAATTTTGTTTGCAAAAATTACTTAGTTGTTAAAACGGGGTGGTGACGCATGACTGTGGTAACTCCATAAGTCATACGTCATTCTCCAAGTTAAAAAACGACGTCGCGCCTCGTTAAGTCAGAGCATCTAACCAATTTATCACGTAATTTACTTAGAACTTACAGTAGGTATGTCTCTCTGTGTCTGATTGTTGGTTTGTCTTTCTAGTTTAGTTAGCTACCGTTAAGTTAACAAAGTTGCAGTTAGCCATGTGAAGTTAGAAAGTCGGCAAACAGAAGGTCTTCATTTTATTTTTTAGTTTCCTCCTCTTGGTTTAGTGTGCTGCTCATTGTCATTATGGCATCTGTTGATTTGGAGGACAGATGACAGAAAACGCATCACACTTTCACCTGCAACCATCTTCTATACAGTCTGCAACATGCATTTTACTACGCCTGTTATACCAATGCATCAGCGGAAGGCCCCCCCCACACCCCCGGGGTAAAGTAAGCGCACCATAAAACGTAGTGGGAGTTATCGTGTGCAGTGCGTGACAGAACCGTCGACTGTATGATTGACAGCTGATACGCGCACATTAGTTTCTGTCATGGGTAAGTAAGAGCTGCTCCTGCCAGACAGTAAAGTGTAGTGATGTTAAAAACAGCATATCGTTAGTGAACACTCCAGCCGGTCAGTTTTTGGTTGTCATGGTAATGTATTACGTCCGACTATTGACCACACCCCCGTTCTCTGTTTGAGAATGAACGTTCATCAAAAACGGCAGTTGAAACTGGCTGGAGGGGGCTTTAAATAATTATGTAATTGTGGTGTCCAGATTTCAGTTTACATTTAAAAGCCTGAAGAATTGTAATTGCAGATTGTGGCACCGTAATGTTCATAATTCTTCAGAGAAAACACATCTAAATATCTAACACCACTGCCGACCTCTCCAGGGTGTACGCCGCCTTTCACCCGATGTAAACTGGGATTGGCTCCAGCCCCCCACGACCCTGTACGCAGGATGGATATCTAACACCATTCTCATTATCTGTAAAAATGTTTTATTAACTGCTATCATGTGAGCACATGTAACTTTCTTTGATAGACTTTCATGAATAGAGTTTTATTGTCTGATCTGGATAAATGTTGAGCTAAGACTTTAATTAAAAATCCATCCAGTTTGGATTATTTCATTACTTTTGTCTTCATTACCTTTTATATACTTGAGTGTTTGAGCAGAGAGTTTGGAAACAATAAATGAAATTTATTTAGTCAAATCAAATGTTTGATCTCTGTTATTAGTAGTTTGACCAGAGTTACAAGCATATAGTACTTACAAAATACTAAGAAGACGTTTTGTGATGGTTTCACGCAAGAGTCTGTTTCTAATGTTTTGCTGACACTTGAACTTTTTTGGTTTTACTCTCCCTCTGGATGCTGAGAATACGATGACAAAAGCAGCAAAAAGGAAACCCGCACAAAACGTCAAAACTGAACTCAACCTCCACCAAACGTTGTGTTGAAACTAGTTAGTTTGATTTATGTTCTCTTTGCAGCTTTATTTGATCTGCAATACGGCCTGTCGATGCAGTTAAATTTCCCTTTATGTGCCTTGAATGCGTCCAATAGCATGGCTGGCCCACCTCCCCCGGATCGTTTAACTCCAAATAGGCTTGAATTTGAATCCTTCTTGGTCTTGACTGAGAGTCCATATGTGCCGACGTGAAAGTGAGAACAGGCTTTCTGCAATCTCTTCTGGAGGGACCTGTGGGCTTGTTCCATCTGACAGTCTAGCACCCTGTTAATCCGTCTCTCTACGTACGTCAGATGTTCCAGGGAGATCATAACCGATGTCTCTGCTTTCAGCTTCTCATTGTTCTCTATTCTAAATGTTTTCAGTGTGGAGAGTATTGCTGCGCTGTCCTCTTCCAATCTGAGCTCTGGGCTAGCTTTAGCATTAGCCTCTTGAGTTTATACTGTTGGAAGAAGTTTCCCCTTCAGAGGACTTTGTTTTTATTTGGAGTTTCTATCTGTGGCGACTCATTCTGTCATTAAATGTCACATGCCACTCTTGAATCACTTTTAAGGAGAGTTGCGGAATTGAGTTTGGGTAGGTCACAGCTTCAATTTCAAGTCAGTTGCCAAAACTAGAAGCTGTCCCGGTCCATTTCATCCATCTGCTGCTTTTAAAAGAGATGAGAGGAGCTGGGACTGCTTTGAGCCACAGGTGGTAACAAATCAAAAATGAGAGAAATAGAAAGAAATGAGGAGAGAGATCAGCTGCTGATATTCTGCTGTACGTTGGTCCTGGAGAACTACTGCACAGGACGGATCTTCATGCTGATGGTCTTCAGGGAGTAGTTATAACTTTTCCAAGCAGACCACTCCACTGCAACAGCATAAATAGTGCCATCAGCACCCCCACGATAAACCCCGTTGGGGTTTGTACTGTGACACACACCGTACCAGAACGCCCCCAGGTATGATCTGGCACAGTTTCCAGACCAAGTGTCCTGGTCCTCGTTTGTTGTCGGTTCCTCCTTGGTTCCTGATTCCACGCTAAATGATGACATTATGAAGACAATGTGTTGAATTGAGGCAAATGTTATGTTAAATCTCAGTGACCATTTTTAAGAGGTTCTGTGTCCTGGCTGGGGGTTGTGACCAGAGCAAAAAAATAGTGCCAAGGAAACTGGTTTGACCCAGTTTGCAGAGAAGGGGAAGTTAATGACTATTTAAACTGACATTCTTCCTGATCGGTGATGACTGGAACAACAAGTGGAGTAAAAGGATGTAGAAGGCAACATTTACATGACGACATCACAGACCTGCTGGATGTCAGAGACCTTGGGCTTCTCCACCTTCCGTTTGAGGAGCCCCACAGAAGCTCAATAGGGTTCAGGTCTGGAGACATGCTGGGCCAGTCCATCACCTTTACCCTCAGCTTCTTCAGCGAGGCAGTGGTCGTCTTGGAGGCGTGTTTGGGGTCGTTATCATGTTGGATTACTGCCCTGCGGCCCGGTCTCCGAAGGGAGGGGATCCTGCTCTGCTTCAGTATGTCACAGTACATGTTGGCGTTCACGGTTCCCTCAATGAGCTGTAGCTCCAGACCAGGACACTCTTTTTCTTTTCTTTTTTTTTTTTTACTTTGTAGTATTTAAGTGTCATTTCTTCAGTGTTGTCACATGAAAAGTTATAATCACATTTACAAGAATGTCAGGGGTGTACTCACTTTTGTGAGATACTGTACATCCCATTGACGTCATGTTCAGTTGACAAAGAGCATACTTGTCAACATTAGGATGTGAAAATAAGGGAATAGGGAAAACAAAAACCCCGTTAGAATCTGAAGTCAGATGCTGTGTGCCTTGATCAGTCAGTCTGAATGATACCCAACTGAACACAAAGGTAGAACTACGTAAATGAGGTACCTGTAAAGTAATGCAGACACAGCAGAGCCTCTTCAGATTTTACTTTGTTTATTTCTTGAATATTATGGATCATAAAACATCAGAATTTATCAAAGCAGTTTTCTTTTTATGTTATGAAAACCCTCCAGAATACCCACAATTCTCTCTTCTCATTACAGATTAGTACTGATTCAGTGTCACGTTTCTGTTTCCAGGTCAATTACGAAGCCAAAGAGAATTCAAAATAACTCTATACAAATAGCATCTGGATATTTATTCTTTTTCCTGGTATAAAAATAAGTTCTAAGTGCTTCACACACTTTAATACTGTCTCTGCTTTGGCATGTTCACAGCTCGGATGTCAGCGTGTGTCGTCAATTGTAAAACTCTCCAGAAACACAAAAGAAAGAAAACTCAAGTCGGACTGAATGATCTGTGCTGCTGCTGATGCTGCTGATGCTTCGTCTGCTTTGGTTGTTGTTGGAAAAAGAGACATCGATTTGTCTTGTGCACAACACAACCTCACACTCACCACCTTTTTTGAAAAATATCATTTTAATATTTTATTCAAATCAATAGTTAAACAGAGATGGTTTCAATGAGGAAACAAATTTAGATTTAGATTTTTAGTGGCTCTAATTTGTTTGAACTGAATTCCTATATTTGAGACCATCATTTAGGGACAGCCGTAAAAGCTCTTTCCAAATAAACTGAACGTAATCTGAGGTTTGGCGAATCGTCGTTGTTGTTTGGCGACAGGGTGGAAAAATTGTGGAGACGAGGTGAGTTTTAGGGTCGCAGCTGGCTGGTCTTTTTTTGGTAGATGTGGAACAAATGACACACGATGTGAACATGAAAATACTGAAACAAGGTAAAGAAGCCCTGAAGCATTTTGACAGCTGATGTTTCTGTTCTGATTCTGAGGTTTACATGAAGGCGTTTTGGTTTAATGCTGAGCATCGGTGTAGCAGAACAGCAGTGAGCTTTCTTCTTTTTGTTAACGTAACACACATCAGAATGAAGTGAAAACATTTAGTCCAAGCGTTGGTCTCCTGTGTTAAGGATGTGGGAGGAAAGGTTTATGACACCATGTTCATTTGGTTTCCGTTCAGATGGACGCAATCTAAAAACTACAAATTCACAGTTTGTTAAACTAAATCATCCAGAATGTCCAAAACACGGCTTCCATTTTACAATCCCAGACTCCGTCCACATGTCAGTTGTATCTTCAAGTTTTCTTCTGTTGTATTGTGACAAACTACATCACTGAAGTGGTCAAAAAGTAGACAACAGTGCAAAAATATATTTGCAGTTGAAAGTTAGAGACACTAAGAGAAGAACTACAAATCCCAGCTATCTTATCTTGGAGATAATAATGCAGGGTTGCAAAGTAGGATAAAATAACAAAATCTATTGTAAACATACTACTAGAAACAAGCAAACAAACTAAAACTGATTAACTGATCAAAACATGAATTCACAGCTACAGCCAATCACAGGCCAGCTACGTAATCAACCATACAATGATCACAGATAAGTACGTACACATAATTCTGATCAAATAAAGGGAGAAGAGCAGAGAGAGAGAACATGAGAAAAGAAAGTGTGTCAGGTGAGGTGAATTTGTTTCAGGGCGACTGGCGAGTCCAAAATGTGTCTGTGTCGAACGGCCACAGCGGTTTTGTCTCGATGTAGAAGGTGCATTCACACGACTCTGCTTTAGATTTTGTAGAGAAAACTCTGCCTCACACAGAGTTCACACTGCGGACGAGCCTGTACCGTTTTCAAGCAGCCAATCAGAAAGAGGAAACTTTTAAAAACCAGTTTAACATGGAAAATGTGAAGCAGCTTGGTGTGAATGCGACCTCAGCTACGAGTGTTTTTCCTCTTTAGAAAACGCCGATCTAGAAAACGCCATATCCGTCGGTGTGGCGCGTCGCCACAGCAAAGGCCGGGTAGCCCTCATAGGTGGTGTAGGCGGTCAGGTCCTGCCCCAGAGACACAGCCTGCTTCAGCTGGGAGGCGACCGCCGCCGCCGCCGGGCTCGCCAGAGTGTAACCTGGAGAGAGACGAGACAACAGCTCCAAACTTTTATCAACGAGTCTTTCACTTTATAGTCAGCTGTTTACATGTTAGTTGGTCACTGAGGAGGAATTTAGTGTGTGATCAGTGTTTTTTCATTGTGCCCTGTATTTCAATGAACGCTCACGACCTGGAAATCCTGCAGAACTCCACAACAAGCTGGGACACTTTCCTGCCTGAGAGTTAGTCTGCTAGTGGTTTGTTGAGTGAGGAGTTAGTTGGCTTTGGGTACAGACCTTCACATACCTGGGAAGGCTACTGAGGCCACGGCGGCAGCAGTAGCACAGCTGGACTCGGCGGCGCCCTCCGTCTGCAGACCGAGCGTCTGCAGGGTGTGCTCGGCTGCGTGGACTTTAGCTTCTTCTACTGCCGCACACAGCTTCGCGGGCGTGAAGGGATGGCTGCAGAGAGAGAATCCACATCTAATGTAGCTGGATAAGACCTAATAATTGGGCATGTAAGGTTTATATAAGGGCGCACAGGAGCTGTGGTTGAAATACTTTTCACCTTGATATGAGTATAAATATTTCGTGGCGTGACAAACGTGAGTGCATGTAGTCGTAGGAGGAGCAAGAGTAGTAGTGGTAGCAGCAGTATTCTTACACGTTGGGGTACTGTGTGGCCAAAGCTGGTATGGTGATCTTGTAGAGAAAGAGTTGTCTCTGGTCTGGACCGATGGCAGAGTGGAGCTGATAGACGGGCTGACCCCAGTTATTCTTTTGACACAACTCCTCCAGAACCTGAGAGAAATACAGTCAGTCAGACTTCTATCCATGATCTCATTCTGTCAGTAATTACACAACGTTCAGGCCACAGTGAGGGTGGGAACATAGATCAACCAGTAAACCTCTTCACCACGGTGGTCCGTTACGCCGACACAGCTCCTCTTAGGACGGACTCTTTTCTGGATCCGTTTCCAAGATGGTAAAATTCCCACATTTGTTAAGTTCTGAATCTTTCAATCACCATCTCTCTTAGATAGACTCCTTATCCTCTTTCTGACCCTGCAGACATTTTCCAAAAAGAAAAACCTGTGACTCTCAAACTCGTGCTAAACCAGTGAACTGACACGGTGACACGGTGACACGGTGACACGGTGACACGGTGCGGACAGACTTCATCAAAGTCAATGAAACAACTGCCAAATGTGATATTTGCAGGAGGGAACTCACAACAAACAACAACAAATCCCTTGCTGAAATATTTATTTACCGTCCAGCATGTTAAAGTAAGAACTTCTGTTCTTTTTGAACTTAACGAGCTCTCGGCCTACCAGTGACCAACCAGGTACTGTGACCTGTAGCTATGCCACTTTTACCAGTTCAGAGCATCCATTCATTTAGTGATATATAGATATTTGCTAAATGATAAAGTAGAATGAATAAAATTTCCTGTGTGCATCGCAGTGAGGTGCAAATGTCGATTTCCCCGCAGAGCAAAATAAAAAAGGACTCAGGACATCGTTAATGAATGTTACAGAGATTAACTATGTGGTAAAAGCTTGACATCCTTTCACATAATAAAAACAGTGCGTTTAAGGTGTCTTCAGTTCCCATCAAACACAGACCTTAAAAGATTGGATGAGGGATTTGAAAAGATTCAGTAAAATCAAACCCCATCCCCTGTCCACCAGTCCGTCTTGTGACGCCCCTCCTCCCGTCTCAGGCTGGCCTTGTCGAGCTCAGCGGGGCCTTCCAGGCTACAAAGGTGGCTCCTGTACGTACTCACTACCCCCCTTCTTTAGCAGACGTCCACTGCATCCTCATTTTCTTTTTGCACCTTCAACACCTCTGTAGCAGCTAACACGCTCATGCTTGGGCCAGTTTGTGATACTCTCATGCTCCATCTTACCCTCACTTACGAACCAGACCTCGAGATACTTGAACCCTTTTACTTGGGTGCAGTGACACGCTTCTGCCTAAACTACCATTATTCCTGCAGCGTCCCTCGGCCTTAGACGTGGTCAGACGTGATGTAGCGGTCTGATGACGCCGGCAGAGACGTTATCCTGAGGCCACCGTGTCGGACAGCGTCTGCACCGTACGCTGCACCCCGCAGATGCTGTCCATCACATCACAAACAGAACCGGTGACCCCGGCAGAACCCAACACCTACTGAGGATGTGCTTGACTTGCAGAGACACTTCTCTGCCTCCGGTCATAGTAAGCATGCTGGTATCTTATAGTACCTCCCAAAAGATCCCCTAAAGGAGACGGGGGCGCCCAGAAAAAAAGTAGATTGGATGGACAAACTCTCAAGACCATTTCAGTATCCTTGATTCCGTCCTGGTCATTGAACAATTAGCTGAACTACATGGACAACACTACAAAAATAACACAGAAGTTCTTCCAGCAAGTATTAACCCTGCAAAGAAATCCTGGTTGTCAGCTGTGCTGTTACCTGTGGTGCAGGTTTGATGGCGGTGGCCTTCAGGCTCATGGAGGCGGGGTTCATGGGGGTCAGCTCCATACCCGGCAGCAGGTCATACAGCTTCTCCTCCGCCTGCTTGTCCACCTTCAGGCCATAGGAGGCGCTGCCGCCTCGACCCATGGCTCCGACCCCGGCAGCGTAGGCCAGGTAGCCCCGCCCACCCAGCCCCCGCACCCCGGCAGCCCCTACAGGTACAGTCATGTAAATTTCTACAGGAGATCGAAAAGGCAGTGAAATCAATCAAATCACCGGAAATCAACCGGGAAGAAGAATCAGACAGTCAGACAAATTATTCAGTCAGAGTCAACAGGTACAGCGGTAGTCATGGTAACATTACACCTGTACTGCTGCGGCGTCTCACGTTCACTGAGGATTATTTCTCTGGATGATTTGTTTTCCAGTTTTTCATCTTCACACCATTCTTCCAGGGTTTAATATTTGATTAACAAAATAAAGTTTCACTTTGATTCAGTGGATCATCTGATTCCTGGTTAACGACAACATTCAGGCATAAAACTTTTTTATAATAACATTCTTTATATTTGGGTGATTTTGATTCGATCCAGTTCAGGTGGACTTTCAAAGCAGTATATGCCCATCATTGAAATAATATTACTGGTGAATTGACCGTTCCAAAAGTGTTGGCATGCCTGTCAATCCCCAAACAGTGGCAGATTTACCACCAGCTGTAGCTGACTTGCTAATTGAGATATTTCAAGTTGTTTATTGAAAAATCCATCTCCAGCCGACTTTTTAAGGGTTTCAAACTGACTCGTATTAATATGATAAATATATATGATATATAATATATCATGCTAACAGACTGAGGCTAAAGCTAATATGTCCCAGGTAAAAAGTCATCATCCTCACCAGTTGATGATCCGTTTAAACAAACACGATGTTTGTTGAATGGCAGTGTGGAGATAGTTTGTTCTAGTGTTAACTACGGGAATTTGGTTCTTACATGACCCTGTTTAGCTTCTTAGCCTACACGGTCTACTTGTTTGTGTTTGGTGACACAACGCTGACGAGAGTTTCTGAGAGCAAACATCCCCGTATCCAGTAAAGATCAGGACAGAACCTCTAACGTTAGCTTGAGCTCTGACAGCTTCCAGGACCAGCTCCCACTGTGGAACAGGGATTCTTACGTAACCTCGAATGCCACAGAGTGGGAACTGCTCCTTGGCTTTGGAAGTCACGCAGGTTACTACTGTAGGTAGAAGGCTAGTTAGCCGGGCATGCTAACACTAGCAGGGGCAGATAAATCCATTCCTTGCTCTTTTGCTCTTCTGATTTTTGTTTTGGAAACTTTTTGTATAAAGAGTATCTCTGCCAGTGGTTGCTCAGCTGTGATTGGTCCTCCAGTGTTTGGGGGAGGAGTTCAGCAAACGGTCAGTTCACCAGCAGAAATCTATTTGATCATGTAGAAACGTTCATGCTGTCCTGTGAAAACCCTGTATCTCCAGCTGTGTAGTGTTTCTTCTTATCTGAACTGAAAAAAGAGATGTGGGGTTTTCAACTGACAGCAGCCGTTTAAAATTCAAAACACAAGGGGAGCTCCGACTCAGAAGCAACAGCTTTTTGCATCTTTCCCAAAGACTGAACTTGTTATGTTTTTTGTTTTTTATAAGCAATAAAGTTTATAATCTGAATTAATAAAATTGAATTAGAGCAAAGCTCACAGACCAGCGGTCGCCAAACTTTAGGTCTGCAGTTGGACCCCCAGTACACCACAGAGACTGACAGGCTGACGTGGACTAACTTTTAAACTCAAGGCATTCTGGGTGCTTTCCTGAATCCCTTAAAGCATTCACTTTTTTCTGTTTCTGAATGTGAGCTCACCTTGTAAGTCTTGTTTAACATGCAGCCAGCAGAGAAGGATCATTCACCTTCTTCTGTTTCAGATTAGGAGGGAAGCAAAGTGTGTCCGTCCTCACCTCTAACAGACGGCGTCCTGATCAGACCTCGGCCTCCAACTGGAGCTTTGGCTGGCGGGAAGCGAAACTGACCTGGTATGGCGGTGTAGGCCTGAGGGGCATAAAACACGGGCGGACCAAGATACGCTGCCGTGGGGTCGTAAACCTAGAGGAGGAGGGGAGGGACAAGTGCTTCCTGTTTATCTTTGATAGACATTATTATTAAAAAGGAAATGTTTTAGTTTGGATTATGAGTCAGATAAAATTACTTTTTATCTAGAACGTTTTATTAACGTTTGTTTGTGCTTTATTGTTGTTGTTACTATCTGTTTCTTTTGGGGGGGTTATATATTAATAATAATACTATTTTATTGGCATTAACATTAGTTGCCTTCAGCTGCCTCTTTGCAGTGTAATGATTGAAACTGTCCACTAGATGGAGCTGTTTCCCACAGTGACATCTACTGTACATCCAAGCATCACTACTCACACCCCTGCTCTGTCTCCATGGAGGTTAACCTTCAGGGAGCAGCTAATGTTACAACAAAGTTTTGTACATAGGGACATCCACCAACGTGTCCCGGAGCAAGACACATAACCCCTAGTTGCTCCAGAGGCGTGCGACCTCTGACATGTATGCATAGCCAGCACATTCACTAAAAGCGTCAGAAAATGACTAATTATTTTTTATTTTTTAAACATATTCCAGACTGAAAAATCAAAAAGTGCATGTCCTTAAACTGTTTTCATTAATGCATTAAAGCTGCTTTAGGATTAACTTGAGAATAGCACCAAAAACACACAGATTGTAAAGCCTATACGCCAACTATTCTGCAATAATATAATACTGTAAATGTAAAATTAGAATAATCCACTTCTATATTCCTAAATGAGCACACAAATCAAAATACGCAGATAAAAAAAACAGTATTAGCGTGTTCACCATCATCATTATGCTTAGAGAACAACAATAAATGATTCCCTTATCACTATGTTGATGTTTCCTCCTCTTCAACAAACACTGTTGTGCGTCAGATTATTTGGAGCGAGGACTTCCTCTTGCAGGACTCGCATGAACCCGGTGTCAGACATTGTGGTGTCTTCGGTGTCCTACCTGTCCCAGAGTGTAGGCAGTGTAGTCGGTCTGCAGCAGAGGTCCTCCCCGCCCGCCAGTCCCTCTGGTGTAACGGACATAACTGTCCTTGTCCACCGGTTTAGCCAGAGTCACCTCGATAGGAGAACCGTCAACCATCTGCAGGGAGCAGGACAAAAAACACATTTCAAAAATGTGGTGGGGTGGATGGAAGAGTGAAATAATCTCAGGACTTTCACTCAGGAGTCCCGTGTGGAAGAAAGTCAAAGGTGACATGTTTAAAGTTAAATAACATTTTGTAGATGACGTAAATAATCTACTTATTTTAACCCAAACCAAACTACGGCCGTTTCACAACATTTTCCTCGTTAAAAATTCATGTGACTTGTGCATGTTGTTTTGGGACACTTCAAAATCGAAACATAGTTATGTAGGTATGAAGGCGTGTTGGTCGCATTGTTAAAATACTCCAAGTCCTGCCAAACATTGCTTAAGTAAAAGTTTATCCGTATAATCATCAGAATGTAAGATGCAGTGAATCATATTCTATAAGGCCGTTCCTAAAAAAAAACAAAAGCATGAGGAACGAGTAAACGTGGAACTCTTTGGCTGTGTAGCTGCTGACCTTTCCGTTGAGGGCGTTCATGGCGTTGATGGCGTCTTCTCTCTGAGTAAAATGGACGAAGGCGTAGTCTCTGATCTTCTTCACTCGCTCCACTGCACCTGTAACACGACAAGCCGCTCTGGAAACTCAAGTTTTTATCTTTATTCAGCCTGTATAGATTCTACAGAGTGTTTACTGATAATTCCCAGTGACTTCATAGTCTTGCATTATTGCATCAATGAAAATGAAATAATAAATTTCCGCTCCATCTACTGACGCTTTAGCGTAATCCCTAACAAACTTCCTGCACCGTGTAAATATAATGACATTAGACTTTTTTATATTTAAAGAGAGCTTATTAAGTTCAAACATCTACCAACTCATTTCCTCAGTAGTATTTTCTTTGTAAATCTGTATGTGAACACATCATACTGGTATCATCAGTGAACACAAAAGAAGATTTACAACAAAAAATTAGTAATATGAAAAAGAAATAAAAAGGTTCCTAAAATGGATCCTTGTGGTACACCACAACTTATATGAACTGTGTTTGAAGCCCAAACATTTATTAAATACTGAGCTCTTTTTGACCAAAGGTTTCTCTTTACATCATCTGAAACTTGTTGCACATCAGTAATCCATTGTTATGCTTTGAGAGTTAACTGCTGGATTGCGTTGTGTTGCAGTACCTGGTCTGAGGCTGTTAAACTCCTTCTCGATGGTCTCCTCGGTGGTCTGCAGCATCAGGTTCCTGACGTAGAGTATCTTGACAGTTGCCATGGTATCCTCGTCCACCTCCACCTCAGGCTCCGCCCAGTCCACGGCGATGGCGTGACCCCACAGCTGAATACGACCTGAGACAACAGGTAGGTTTCACTCTCTTGTGTATCGTCTTTAAAGTCTTTGTTTATGTATTAGGTCTGGAAAACCTCCTCCTGTCTTATGATGCCTTCAAGTCACGCTAGAATTAATAAGAAATGGGAGATCCAGTGAGCTTAGCTCACAGTTCGCAATTTACACATTTCAGTATGCACCTCAGTTTTGGGACCAGGGTTCGGAACATTTTCGGTGTGGCATGTTTGTCACTTCTTTTGAAAATGTAAATGATAAGCTGTGTCATTGGCTATAAATCTCACTGTGAAAATTACTGCACTCAAACATGGTATTCCGTCAGTAAGAAATAGAAGAAATAAATATTGTTGCTAGTGCAGATTATCGGTGAGATACTGAGCCATACATACAATGGCATTGTTTAGCTAACAGACCACAGTTGACCCATTGCCAAAGTCTTACTTAAGAATTTATGTTCAACACGTGCTCAGAAATAGACCTAATGAAAGTGTCTTCAGCAGTAATATTTGATTTACAGCTAGTACTGAACTGACTGTTACACCGCTTGCAGTATCTCAATATAAAAACTGGACTCGTGGCCCAACAGGACCACCAGGGACTCAGCAGCTGCTTCAGTGTTTCGTAAAGGATCTTCTGCTCACTGAGGTTTTCAGCTCTGAAGATGTTTATGGTTATTTCTGAAAGCTGCGCTCACCCCCATCATTTAGAGTTTTATCTTATCATCACACCTGTCAGAGCTCTTCTTCCACTGGACACCGACCCAGGGACACAGGCTGTGATTGGCTGCTGATAATGCTGTCAATCAAATGGAGACTTTGACCTTTTTTATCAGGTTGTGTTTACTGTTACAAGGTGTTTCTTTAAGCGGAATTGTTGGTACTTTAAAATAACTTGTTAGTGAAACCATTCCAGCTGCATGTGTTTAGTCCATCCCAGCCCCTCAGGTGTGCTTTCATGAAGCGATCCTCTCACTTAAATTTGACAAAAACATAAAGTTGGACATTCAGTGTTCGGTGTCTACCTGGCAGCAGTTTGCGGCGGGCCATAGCGGCTGCTCGGTGGCTCTCGTACTCGACGAAGGCGAAGCCTCGGTTCTTAGATTTGTCGGCAGCGCTGGGGTACACGATGACGTCCACAACCCCATCAGTGACCTTCCTCATCTCAGTCAGGATCTCCTCGCGCTTCTTGGTTTTGGGAATCCCGCCTACAAACAGACGGCAGTTGTCCACGCTGGCACAAACTCCCAGGAGGCGGCCATTCCTGCAGGACGGAAGAGAAGCACAGTGATGAGATGACATTTCCAAACATCTAACCCTTCTTACTCTTATTATGAGCAAAGATCAACAGAAAACATTTCATTCTAATTTGAAGGCAGACATCAGCAGCAGCATGTAGATCAGCTGTTGCCAATAAACATAAATTCAGTAGTGGCTGAAATGAAAGTTTTTTTCAGATAAATATTATATGTGAGTGTGATTTGATTCAGATCAACATTTGAGTCTGATCTGCTTCTGGCTGTGAATCAGGAGACTACAGCTGTTTGAAAGTGTCATTCTGCTTCTCAGCTCATTTTCATGTTGGAGGTTCAGTTTGGGAACATTAAAAACTTTAGCCCTAACACTTAGAAATGGACCTCATAAGACTGAATAAAAGATTCTAGATTATTCTGATTCCATAAGATAATTCAATCAAATGCTTCTATCAGTAACACCTGGTCTCTGGGTGGCTGGGATGGTTGGTAGGGTGTTTCTAGATGGGTGGCAAGTTGTTCTTTGGTGATTTCTGGTTCTGATGTGTTTCTCTGCGAGTGCTTTATGAGGTCCGTTGCTAGGCTGCTGTGTGGTCTCGAGGTTCTGGGGGGTTGATTGATTTTAGCTGGTTGTGCGGCTGTAATGTGTTGCTGGATGATGGGTGGGCTGTTCCTTGGTGGTTGCTTGGATGTTCTGCTTTGCTCCGGGCTTAATACTTGCAGCAGCTCATTAGCATTTCTTTGGACAGATTCAAGAAGGCTGCTTAACAGCTGATTGAAACTTCGGTCGTTCTGATATCAAGATGAAGGGTTTCTGAACGAACGCAGCACTCGCCCGGCTGTCGAGGAGTTAATAATGAAAATGCAAATGACTGTTGGTTCGAGTCTCGAGTGTGTTGTTGCTGTGGTTGTGTTGTCTGGGAAACCCTGACCTGATCTCATAGTTGTTGAGCTGCTTCATGGCTGCTTTGGCCTCCTGTTTGGTGTTGAAGGTGACGAAGGCGTAACCTCTGTTGTTCCCGTTAAAGTCCATCATCATCCTCACCTCGTAGATCTTACCGAACTGGAGACAGGAAGAGAGGAATGAAAAAAGATTCAAGAACGACAGGCCATCAAAATATCATACCGTAGTTAAAAACACTCCTTTCACCTTCTCACAGAGTGGAACCAGTTCGTCTTCAAACAGATCTCTCGGTAGCTTCCCCACAAAGATCTCGCTGCCTCTCTCCGGTGGCGGCCCGTCCCAGCCAGGCGGCGGGCCTCCGTACCGCCGCTGGCCGTTCTCCTGAAACACACAGCCCAAAGAATAAAGAATGAGAACAGTAAAAAACATACAGTAATGATTCTGAAGAATATGTACTAAAGTCTATTTCCATCTGAGAATCAAGGGCCGGCTGTTCAGGCAACTAAACCAACATCTGTACAACTTTACTTTGCACTTTTTAAATGAATATTCAACATATAACAACATGCGGTAAGTTGTGTTTGAAGATCAGTTTTGTTTGTTAAAATGCACATTTAAACCTTCACACTTGTTGAAGGACGCTGAGAAAAAAGACATCGCAGCTTCTAAAAATGTTGTCCCACTTCAGAAAGAAACAGACTGAAATGTAGTAAAATCCTCTCGTCCGCCTCGTCCAGATGTTTCAGACATCTGAAACAGTTTCCTACCTGCTGCAGTTGGTATCCTGTGCGTTGCATGAGCGCTCGCAGTGCTGCCTCCTTCGGCGTCCCCGCCAGCCCGTCCCCGCTTGCTTTCTGATTGGATTCCATTGGGTGTGATTGACAGCAATATGAAAATCAGGGAAATTAGGGGTGCTCACTGGAAAATGACAGAAAACAACAGCATAGGTGTTATTCTTGTTACTGTGTTCTGTGAAGCTTTAAATCAGAGATTTTCAACATTGGCTGTCCCTCGATACGCAGAGTTGTGCAAACTTCCATTCTGATCAACATGAATTTAAAGCTGGTGTGAAAACAGAAACCAACACATTGTCACTCCCAACGCTTCACATATGGACGCTTGGTCAGAACCCCTAATGTCGCTTTTTAACGTCTTGGGACGAGTTGGGTGAAGATGGGTTGACAATACAGGAAATCAGCTGCATATAGATGGAGATTTACATTTCAGCAACTTCGACTAATAAAATATCAAACCATAACAGGCAGATTAATAACTCTTTAAGATCATTGATTGTGCACGGCAGCAAGGATCAAGGACGCTGGCAGGATTTCCACTGTTAGTGTAATTAAACAGCAGCCATTCAGTCAACAGTGCAAATCTTGACTCTGTCCCACTTGATGACTTTCAGATGATTGGAAGTTGCCTGAACTGCAGAACATGGGCACAACATTTTAGATGATCTTTGGTAGATGAAGAAGGTGAGGACCGACCGAAAGGCATGCCGGTTACCTGGGAGTGAAACGTGCAGTATCGTAACTTCTATAACATCTAGTTAAAACGATCTTTGTGCTCTTGATGGCTCCCTTTTCAAAACCTTACGAATGTGCCGGTACACCTCTGTGTCCTTGACGACAGAGCAATGGTGGCATAAAGGTTAGATAGGCTGCCTTCTGATTGGTCATCAGTTCAGTCCCTGGACCAGCTGGAGAATTCTCCCTCGCTGCCCTTGAGCAAGGCCCCTCACCTCTAACTCTGTGTCCAACAAGTCAGACTGTGCGTTTCTTAAGGAAACTCAGCATCCTGGCTGGAAACAGTACCGACTGGCGTGGGATGTGCACGGCCCAGGACCTGTTCACCCTGCTGCCGTCTGACAAGAGATACAGAAGCCGTCGCACCACCGGACTGCAAATAATCTGCCAAACCGGACGCTTCAAAACGGCAGTCCACACACCAACGGGCGACGTCACGGTGGTTACGTCCACTTCTTTTTACAGACCGTGTCTCCTCAGAGCTGCTGGTCCTCCATCCTGTTTTCCTGCTACATGATGCGTGTTTGGAAGTCAGCAGCAGAGAGGTCAAGGTCTGTTCAGTAATCATTGACAGAGACTCTGGACAGGCTGCAGCCTGGCTGACTGAGTGGAAACATACAAGGCTTCACCGGGGAATTATGGGAACTGAATTTATTAAACACGCGTGCATTTTTATGCTTCTAAATATGTGAGGGCCTCAGTGACATAAAACCTGCCTTATCCTGTAACTCCTCCCTCCAACTGTAACCCTGAAACCCCGAAACTGAGCCTCAGCCTCAAACAGCATGTCTTAACTCTCTAAAAACATCCTAACCTGCTAAAAGTGCCCTCGCTCTCAGAAAATGAGATGACCTGATGAAATGAACCATCCTCAGTGTCATTCATTAAGCTTTATTTACATGCATTGTTTCAAAAGCAGTCGTGTTTAATAAACTGATCAGTAATTAGCATTATAGATGAACACATTTCACTTTCGTTTGGTTGTTCTTCCACCCGGAGAAACAGCCGTGTTCGAATCACTGAGCAGATAAAGAGACGTGGACTGAGCCATGGGAACACAAACACTGTGGTTTATTCAGGCTCAGTCCCACAGACGCCGTCCTGCTGCAGCAAATACTCACTACAGCACCAGAGGTGGATTCATCCTCCGCTGAAAATAGTCCCCAACAGATGTTAGAAACTACAGTGAACCAATGGGCTCAGAGCAGAGAGCCGCCAACAGGATGATGTTTCGTATCAAGAAGGAACATTTTGAAAAACACCACTGAGCCTCTGAATTATCTGTTAAAATAACAAACTGAGCTCACAGAAAGAGAAAGAGCCCTCATCAGCACACAGCTAAGTGGCTACTTTACGCTAACCCTTTGAACCTTAAAGAAAGGCTGATCTAATCAGTTTAATGCTAAACAGCCTGCTGCTGCATCTTCACTGCATCCATTAGCATGCTGATCACACACTTCCTGTCCTTCTTTCTTTCTTTCTGTTCAATTTCAAAGAGAAACACAGCAGTGAAAATGAGAGATGAGCACTTCACATCAGAGAGGGAGGGACGAGCGAGAGAGCAAGGAAAACAGAGAGAGGTCGAAGGTCACGGGATGACGATGATGATGAGAGCAGCTACAAACACACGACGTCTCTTTGCAGCGTTTGAAGCTGCAAAATTCAGCTGTTTTGTTTCTGTGTCGCCTCTGAAAACGTGTTCAAACTCTCAACTTTATTTAAAACTCTGCAAGGAGCAAAAAAGATCCCAAATCTGTCGGGCTGAACTTATTAATCTGGTATTCAAGTAAAAGTAGAAATACCGTCTAAAAATAGTCTCCTACAAGTAAAAGTCCTGAATTCACATTGATACTTAAGTAAAAGTAAATGTCTGTATTGATGTAGCATCATCAAAACGTACTGAAAGCATCAAAAGAAAAAGTACTCAGAATGTAAACTGGCTCATTTCCTTGAGTTCATTATGTTTTTATCACTAATGAAAACATAAAAGATTATTTTACTGCTTGTTAATGTGGAGCCACTTTTAGATACTTTGTGTACTTGTGTATTGGTAGTAAAGTACTGCATCATATCAGATGTTTTCTTCTGTAAAAAGTAACTACAGATTAATACAGAGCAGTTTAAAGTCCAATATTTCCCTCTGACATGCGGTGCAGTAAAGACGTAGAAATACTCAAGTAAAGTAAAAGTATATCAAATTAGTGCTGAAAATAACGCATCTCAGAAAACATGGAAATACTTTAGTTAAATTAATGAACGTGTATTTGAACAGATGGAGGAGAGGCGGGGTCAAAGGTGAACGGGTTCAGGTGACCCGAGAGGCTGCTGGTGGACAAACAGGCAGCTGGAATCCACCAATCAATACAGAGGACAGAGGGGCGTTTAGCACACGCACGCACACGTGCACACGCACGCACACGTGCACACGCACACACACGCACGCACACGTGCACACGTTACACGCTAAAGATTATTTTCAGTGTTCAGCTGAAAAACAAATGTTTTAGTTCAAAGCGACTCGTTCAGCTTTTCCTTCCGTGGGACAGAAGTTTCATCGGGTTTTAAATTTACAAGAAGGAAGGTCAACATTTGAAGCCCAAACTGTGACTGTGTGATGTCACGTAAAGAAACACAGATAAAAAGTGTCTTATGAGAACCAACACTTTTACACGTTTATCTGACAAACTGTCACCTTCTTGTCTCGGGAATATAGAAAATAAAATAATTTTAGGGCATCATCTAAAAATACATTCGGTGTGTTTCGGGTTCGAGATCAGTCACCTGCCAACAATGTTGCAGAAACTGTCCGACGCAGAGAGATTACAAGAGTGGAACCTCTCCAGAGCTGTTGGCTGCCGGAGGAGGAGGAGCACAAACACATCTCCACCTCACAGAGCGTGAAGTTACCAAAGTCAGCCTACTGACGCTGGACGGTTTCAGACGTTTAGGGCTCCGCGGTCCAGGCTTAGCAGATAATGGTTTGGGTTAAAATAACTATGTAGGTCAGTTAACACATAAGATAACTTACGCAATTTACGTAACTCGCCTCGCCCTCCATCCACCTCCTTCCTCAGTCTGTTCTGTTAAACATCATATACCTGACGCCACAGGGCTTTCTGAACGGTGGCGCTACAGAGTCACAAACTGACGCCGATGGGTCTTGACCATGCGTCCACATGTGACGGGTCGGGGAGCGACGACGGGTTGCAAATAAATATAAATAAATAGTTAAATATTGAAGGAAACTTAAAGCCCAGCCTGCTGTGTGCAGTCAGACAGGCGGGACCGTTTTGTTACTTTAGCCTGTCTTGGTTTTATAAAAGCCTCAGCTCACTTCAGGCCGCAGTATACTGTTATTACATCACAGGTAAAGGGTTGCTAAACAGCATTACTGTGATATAAGAAGCGTATTCCACGGCCTGTTGTGAGGCATGAACGAGCCTCCGTAAACCAGACTGATCGATCGGTTATCCAGGCAGCCAAATAAATAAATAAAAGGAAACTTCTTCTTTCAGGACGGACAGATGTGCACCAGAAATGACTTTATGTTTCTTTTAATCACAATAACTGTTCAGGCTTGTATGGAGGCGTGAACGAGCCTCCGTACAAACAGTTTTTACCGACAGCTGACTGAATAATTAATCCGTTATCTCCAGTGTAACTGATGATGTCACCTTCCTGTCTGTCTCTTCATCCAATCAGCTGTGACGTTAACCCCGCCCCCTGACACCGACATGATTGACAGCAGTGAGGTTCAGTCGCGCATTCTCCTACGATTCCCAGCATGCATTTCAACCAACCTGCCTTATCAGCCAGGTTCAGCCTCTCACGTTAATCTCAGTCGGTTAATAATTAAAAATTCATCTTCTGTCTCGTGAACACAGACACACACAGCAGCTTCCTGTCTGTTGACTCGACTTGTGTTTAGTGCTAATTAGCATTTGTTAGCGTGCTGACACGCTAAACAAAGACAGTCCTGGTTAATGTGCTAACAGAGACTCTGAGAGAAACGCCGCTGCAGCTGAGTCCTCCCTAAGACCAGGAGAGACCGCAGTTCTCAGATCTGTGTGTTTATAAATAGTCTCAGATGGTCTGGGATCAGGTCTGAATCCGCTCCCTAGAGTCCAACCTGAACCTGGAGATCCAGGATTTGACTGGACTAGACGTTTCATTCATGCGTTGCTCTGAACTGTAACTTTACCGTCACTATATTCAGTTTTAACGCCTCCTCTGACACTCTGCAGTCCTGAATTATTACCCGGAGCCAGTTTTCTTTTGATTGACTGTGAAAGACCCGACGTCGCACGCCAGCAAACACACAGAGGTCAGCGTCTGTGGTTTTATTTTCATTTTCAAATAGAATAAAAAGGGAATTCCTGAGCAGATGATAAGGAGGACGTCCTCCATGTTGGCGTTCACCACAGCTGTGGCGACCGGCGCTCTAGAGAGACCTGAGCGCCCAGACTGAGGTCACATTTTAAAAACCTGGACCTGATTTGGACCCCATATGAAAGCTTCTGGAACAGATCAGATGTGAGGAAAGCTGCGTCAGCTGGGTGAAACTGTTCTCTGGCTCTTTTTATTTAAACCCTCACAGAAATATAAATGTACTTAAAAATACATACTTTAGGTACATTTTCTGTAGTTTGACTAAAAGGTACTTTGTTCAGTTAAAAAAAACTCTTTAAATTGAACAAATACTAAAAAAAAGCACCTTAATTTGTACTTTGAAAGGACTTCAGGTCGCTTTGTTAAACATTTAAAATTTAAGGATTTCAATCTATTCAGGGTTTAAAAAGTCTTTTCTTTGTGGATGAAGGAGATTTTTAAAGGCTGAATTTTCACCATTATCGTGAAATGAGTAGTAAGTATAAATTACTGCTTCTTTATAACTTTATTTTATATAAATTTACTTAAAGTACATTTTGCTTTACAATACTTATGTACTTTTACTTCAGTAGCATTGTGGATGGAGTATTTTACGCTGTGGTATTACTTAAATATCCAAATACTTCTCTGTGTCCCTGAGTACTTTAATAAACGGATATTTAACCCTTTAAAAACACCTTAAACCTCACAGAAATGTACTTGTGTATTTGTATCACTGTGTATTTTTCATAATATTTCTGCTTTTACTACAGTAACGTTGTGAATGCAGGACTTTTACTTGCAATGGAGTATTTTTACAACGTGTTAGTACTACAGTAAAGTATCTGAATACACTGTTTATATTATATTTAAAGTTCAGACATTATATTTCTCTTTTTCTCAGTTTAACAGCGGTCGAGAGACACCGACTCAACTCTCTCTCTCTCTCCTTTCTAACACATGAACGCTGCTCGGCCTGTTTGTCCAGTTAGCCTTCCTGATGGCTACTGGTCATCAAACACCAGAGAAGAAGAGTGGTTGAACAACACTTACTTTGCATGCTCTCTCTCTCTCTCTCTCTCTCTCTTTCTTTGGCTTAAAAAGAAATAAAATTTCTTTTCATGAAAAACAGAAAAACTCACCTGAGCAATTTCAGAGATCACCTCCCTCCGCTCAGAGCTGTGTCATTCTGAGGACAGAGTGTGTGCGTGTCCACGTGTCATCAGCGGCCTCACCGGCTGTGTGTGTGTGTGTGATCACATCATATCAAACTCCAAAGGTTCACTGTCTTGGTGTTAGCTTTACGAGCCGGCCGGCGTTAATGTTTAACTGCTGCTATCTGTGGACACACACACACACACACACATGCAAATACACAAACATAACGCACACCCAACCAGCAGGACTGTGTGTGTGTTGCAGGAGGCCTTTGACCGACGGTCTGTATGTGGATCACAGTGCTCTGTAAAGGTCTCTTCACCTACTGACACGCACACGCACAATCACACGCACGCACACGCACAATCACACGCACAATCACACGCACAATCACACGCACACGCAGGGGAAACATGGCAGCTGTTAAACTTGTTAAATCCAGGTTAAATAAAGGTTCAGTTCAATAAAAACTGCCTTCAAACATTTGAATCTCCACTAAATCATTCGTTCTCTGCTGGAAAGCGTCTCTGGGCAATCAGCTTGTCATTTAGCACACCTCCCAGCACGCATTGCATTTGCATGATTTTGTTTATTCGCCGGTGCTCTTGGGTTTGTTTCAGTCTGAGGAAGCTGTGATGGAGTTTTGTTTGTGTGTTTCTGGGAATGAAAACAGACACGATGAAGACACGAGTCTTCGGACCTAAACCACAAATACGTCGTCCGTCACAAACACACCGGGAGGCTCTGACAAACACGACGGTGTACAAAATAATGTTCGCAGAGATTTGCTTTCACTCTGCGAACCTTCAAAACGTACTTTCAATCTTGCAGATCTTTTTTTGTCACATGAAGTTTTCAATCACTGATTTTCGATCTTTCAAATCCTTTTTCCAGTTTCGAAACATGTTGATATTCCTCCCATAGGTTCAGGAAAACATCGCGGTTTGGGTTCAAACATCCCGTCAGAGGGGCGATTTTATCCCACGGGGTCCGCGGTCTAATTTATTTATCAGTTT